ATACTTGGGTGATAATAGGATTTATACCTGCTTAATCCTACAACCTGGGTCCTACACTTGGCTCTTATACGTGACACCTACACCTGAGTCCTACACCTGGCCCCTACACCTGGCTCTTTCTACACCTGAGTCCTACATCTGGGTCCTACACCTAACACCTACACCTGGGTCCAACACCTGGCTCTTCCTACACCTGGTTCCTACATCTGGGTCCTACACCTGGCCCCTACACCTGGCTCTTCCTACACCTGAGTCCTACATCTGGGTCCTACACCTGACACCTACACCTTGGTCCTACACCTGGCTCTTCCTACACCTGGTTCCTACACCTACAAGGATACAACCAGTGGATGCCTCAGTGTGTGTTCAAACCTTCACTACACGGAGACATATTAAGTCCTTATATTCTCAACTAATTTAATAAACTCATATAAATATTGACATAGTGTAAGAGGATATATGAGCAAGAATGTATGAGTGTATGTATGAGTGTGTGTATGAGTGTGTGTATGAGTGTGTGTATGAGTGTATGTATGAGTGTGTGTATGAGTGTGTGTATGAGTGTGTGTATGAGTGTGTGTATGAGTGTGTGTATGAGTGTATGTATGAGTGTGTGTATGAGTGTATGTATGAGTGTGTGTATGAGTGTGTGTATGAGTGTGTGTATGAGTGTATGTATGAGTGTGTATGAACAGTTACCGTGTGTTTTAAGTATACATGTATTATATTCTTTATTTGTTTGGGTGTTAAGTACTTACCTGTGTATTAGGTTAAGGTAGGTTAGTGTTAGGGTAGGTTAGGTTAAGGTAGGTTAGTGTTAGGGTAGGTTAGGTTAAGGTAGGTTAGTGTTAGGGTAGGTTAGGTTAAGGTAGGTTAATTGTTAGGGTAGGTTAGGTTAAGGTAGGTTAGTGTTAGGGTAGGTTAGGTTAAGGTAGGTTAGTGTTAGGGTAGGTTAGGTTAAGGTAGGTTAGTGTTAGGGTAGTCACTCATGGTAAAATAAACTGACGGTAATCATCAGGTTAAATTAAACGAGAACAATAGAACAGGTTAGGTTAGGTTAGGTTTTAAATGATATAAACTGAGGAATTAACATGAATTAATCCCTGGTTTAAGTAGATTACGGCGTCACACCACAAGAGAGAAGTTTTAACAAGTTACTTAACAAAACAAAGACTTGGTGTATAAGGTGTGGTCCCTTGTTGACCTTAAAATTAGCCTTGAGAACCAAACCACAAATACTTCGCTCAGATTCCTTTAATTTCGTTCAGGTGTCGGTGTGAGTTGTGTAGCGAGGCCGTGGTCGATGTGTGGTGGACGGGGGTGAATCATTATCACACAGGTAGATCGTGGTCCAGTTTTTCTTAGGCGTGGTTAGCGGTAGTGGAGAGACACACACACACACACACACATGTATACTCAGACAGACACACAGGTACACACACACACACATGTATACTCAGACAGACACACAGGTACACACACACACACACACACACACATATATATAGACACACACACACACACACACATGTATACTCAGACAGACACACAGGTACACACACACACACATGTATACTCAGACAGACACACAGGTACACACACACACACATGTATACTCAGACAGACACACAGGTACACACACCACACACACACACACACACACATGTATACTCAGACAGACACACAGGTACACACACACACACACACACACATGTATACTCAGACAGACACACAGGTACACACACACACACACACGTATACTCAGACAGACATACAGGTACACACACACACATGTATACTCAGACAGACACACAGGTACACACGTATACTCAGACAGACATACAGGTACACACACACACATGTATACTCAGACAGACACACAGGTACACACACACACACATATACTCAGACAGCAGACATGCAGGTACACACACACACACATATATACTCAGACAGACACACAGGTACACACACACACACACACACACACGTATACTCAGACATGCAGGTACACACACACACATGTATGCTCAGACACGACTGCACACACACACGTATACTCAGACAGACATACAGGTACACACACACACACACATGTATACTCAGACAGACTGGTACACACACACACACATGTATACTCAGACTGAACACACAGGTACACACACACACACACACACGTATACTCAGACAGACACACAGGTACACACACACACTTTAGAGGGACAGTAGGAGTTAGTACTGGATAGGAAGTGTAGGGGAGGGACGGGGACGCCTCTAGCCATCCATCCTTACGTGTTGTTAACTCTCTCTCTCATATATGATTACACAAGCTCATTCCAGTGTTGTAATGTGGTTAAGTGGATAGGTTGTAAAGTGGATGTAGTAACACTGGCGGAGCTGCGTTAGGTTAGGTTAGCCACACACCCCCTACACCCCCTACACCCCACACACACCCCCTACACCCACACACCCCTACACCCACACACCCTACACCCCACACACACGACCTGTAGTTAGTGTTTTGTTATCATCTCAAAACATCTCCAGTAAACTTGTCGTAAATTCACATCTGTTATAAAGGGTGAGGGATTATTATCAGAGAACAGAGGGTAAGAGTCGCATGCATGTGTTCTCTCCACCTCCGCCGCCCACTTTTCTCCTACGTACACTCACGAATGTCTGCCCTCCCCCCCCCCCCACCCCCCACACACTGGAAGTGTGGCCAACATACTGCAGCAGGGTGTGACCCCATAGTGGAATTCCTCTCTCCTGATGGTGGGCAGAATGCTGTAGGGGGTGTGTACGAGTAGTGTTATGCCTGAGACACACGACACTTGGGGGGTTAAATATTGGTACAGTGGTGAGACATGACCAAGTTGTTATGCACCAGTCATGGGAACACTTTCACTCGTTCACCCTCATAATCCTCCTCCCACCTTCCCTCCCCTCCGTATCTCCCTTCCTCCACGCTTCCCTCCCTCCCCTATCTACCTCCTCCTCTCCTTTACCCACATAACGCACCCACCACTGTTGAACAAATGTGCTCCAGTTACACTATACATTGTGTCTTCATCTACGTGTGTACACCCATGAGTGTGTGTGTGTGTGTGTGTGTGTGTGTGTGTGTGTGTGTGTGTGTGTGTGTGTGTGTGTGTGTGTGTGTGTGTGTGTGTGTGTGTGTGTGTGTGTGTGAGTGTGTGTGTGTGTGTCAAGAAGTAGAGCAACAGTGTAACGGGAGAATAATGGCACACACTCTTGGAAAAACAAAGAGATCGACGCACTTAATGACACAATACACGACGTCACTACCAGTCAGTCAGTCAACACAAACCTTGATGGTGTGACAAAATATTCAAGGTGTAAACAATGTTGTCTCCTGGGTAAACAATGTTGTCTCCTGGGTAAACAATGTTGTCTCCTGGGTAAACAATGTTGTCTCCTGGGTAAACAATGTTGTCTCCTGGGTAAACAATGTTGTCTCCTGGGTAAACAATGTTGTCTCCTGGGTAAACAATGATGTCTCCTGGGTAAACAATGATGTCTCCTGGGTAAACAATGTTGTCTCCTGGGTAAACAATGTTGTCTCCTGGGTAAACAATGATGTCTCCTGGGTAAACAATGTTGTCTCCTGGGTAAACAATGTTGTCTCCTGGGTAAACAATGTTGTCTCCTGGGTAAACAATGTTGTCTCCTGGGTAAAAACGTAAAAAAATAAACCGTATTTGAAATTGAGGATGGACACATTTAAATGATAATGATAATGGTGATGACATAACACAGTGAGGGAGGGAGCAGCTGCCTCACCCCCTCACCCCCTCCTGCACTCTACCAAGGACGAACAATCTAGGGCCTCCACTTTCCATTTCCTCTCCTTACTTGCAACTTATACTTTACATCATTGCCGTCCATTTCCCTCACTGTTGTACTCTACGTTACGGCGCTCTACTTACAAAGGGCATCAAGCCACACAAAGTGATGATCGTGAATAGTTCGATTTCTCAGGTAACGTAAATTATACCAACAGTGATGTAGTGTGTGTGCGTGGCTCAGTGTGTACAATATAAAGACGCACACACAAACTTACACTCTGTCTTATTAGAGCGAGGAAGTGTAGAAGGTGATCATTACTTAAGATGTAGTTAAAGTCTCCCAAGTGTGTGAAGCAAGACGTGTCTAGGAGTGGGTGACATTTGTGGTGATAGGTGGCCGAAGTCAATACAGTAACCTAGACAACCAGGTCACGTGGGTACAAACACTTCCACCGAGCTGACACAAAAACTGAACTGCTACTATTACCAGAAAAAAATAACTATTGCAAGAGTTAGCCCAGAGGTGAGGCGGGAGACGGCGTTGCCACACATCGAGGTAGCGGCCCCAACCACCACCACCACCTCCCCGTTATAGAGGAAACATCGTAAAATAAACCAAACTTTCCCTCTTTTATGCTCTTAATCCCTAAACTACGATGTTTATTATTGGAAGCACACAGTCATTAGATCTTTAAATAGCCATTCCGTCTTCCTTTAAGGTGTCTTAGTGCAGAACTTAGGGGATTAAGGTTAAAGTGATTATAATCATCAAAGTGTGGTGAGATAAGGATAGGCACTGGTGTAGAGGCGTGGAGGGGAGGTTAGCTTGGGTGTGAGTGCGCCCCCTGTGTCTCCCAGGTCACGACCGACCCAGTTCCTGCTTCTACACACGTCCACGTTTTGCCCAGTCATCTGTGTACACCTGTCCTGCTCACCCCCACATGTCCCCTTCTACCCTCCACATCCCTACCCTCACACGACCCTACCCTCACACATCCCTACCCTCACACGACCCTACCCTCACACATCCCTACCCTCACACATCCCTACCCTCACACGACCCTACCCTCACACATCCCTACCCTCAAACAAACTTACCCCTCACACATCCCTACCCTCAGTCACTCACGACCATACCCCTCACACTAGTTCCCTGAATCGATCAATTAATTCTGTGTCTCTTGTCCTCAGCTAGCGAGAAGGATTACATCGCTACAATACCTGAGGAGGAGAATGTTGTATGGGCCTGGATACTGTTCTTCTGTTTCATCGTCCCGGAGCTGGGCACTTGGTTCAGGTCCACCCGTATGTGTGTGTTCAAGGTGAGTAATAACGCTGTCATCTCACCTGGTCAATTCCTTTCTGGTTCGTTGTCTCTTTCATATAAAAGTTTCGATGGTTAGATTAGCTAGGTTTAGGTTAGGTTTAGGTTTAAGTTTAGGTTAGGTTAAATTGTCAATCACTTCATCTGACGTCTCCCTCGCTGATAAAAATCACCCCAGGAAACACATGCAAACAAAAGAGCAAAGTACGATAGATGAAAATGTGAACAGGTGAGGAAATAAAGACTGAGAGAAGCTAAACAAAATAAACATATTCACTTAGATTGATAAAAAACAAAACAAATACACAAGGAAACTAGTTGAGAGAAGAGTCACTCAGTAGCACGCCCCTGACCTATGCTCCGTGATGCAGACATAATGATGGTAGTTGTATCTGTAGGACGTCTTAAATTACCAGAGACTGTTATCACACACAGTTGCATATAAGACATTAATTTACCTTTGCATATAAGTAGTGTTAGTTTGAAAGAAGCGCTTGTGCTTAGTTTCATTAGCTGAGACAGTCTACGTGAGTAATAACAAGGCCAGCTCTCTCCTGCACTGTGTTTTATTACGTCAACACACTCTGCCAGGAACACAGAAGAGGACACTCAAGATTATAGTATTTCCTACGATCTTCAGTCTTTACTTTACATCCTGTGTATTGTACTGATTCACAGGTAGAAAAGTATAGTAGTCTAAACTTGACGTCAGTATTGTTTCTGTATAGATGTAACTATAATTATACGTGTGAGCAATGAACTACTGATAAATACAATAACATTGGTCCATTATTTATACAGTGAAACCTCCATATAACGCACTTGTCTGTCCATATAACCCATTAGATGGAAGGTTTTGAATCGAACGGACCTTCGATATGACGGAATTTCCTCTCCGTGTAGTCTGTTAAATAGAGGTTTCGCTGAGGACAAGTATTTAGGTTGTGTTCCTCTCCACCAGTCATGGAAGAAGCCGTTACTTGGGGACTTCTTCGTCGTGTGGTTCTTCGAGACGCTGCACACAGTGGGCACCAGCCTCCTCGTGTACCTGGTGCTACCTGACCTGGACGTCATCAAGGGTGCCATGCTTACCAACTGTGTCGCCTTCATGCCCGGCCTGTTTGGTGGGTCCTGCTCTCCCTCCTACACACACACACACATACATATAACATCATACAAGTCATGTGGTAAACAATATTGAAATCAAAACATGTACAATAGTACTATTAAACTTGTCACTTATTTTTCTTAAGGCTTTCATTACTCCCGTAGGTCTACTATCGCGGACGAAGAAGGATTCTCACGTTTTCCTGAAGGTACTGATGGATCTGCTGGCATTGGCGTGTCAGCTGACAGGATTCGTGGTGTGGCCCATCGTGGAGTACGGTAAAGATCCCAACAGCTGGAGAATATGGCTCATACCCCTGGCCATCTTCTTCACCTCCTTCGGCTGGTGGGAGAACTATGTTGACAAGCACTCCAAGTTCAGTAAGTCACCGTGTTGTTGTTTTACCTGCATCACGCACTTGTATTCTTTCAGCCCTTAACAAAAATGAGTAATTGTAATGAATAAATAAATAATCTTCTAAATTAAAAAACAAAACAAAAACATGCAGGGCCCTTTATATAGATGCTATTTTATATTTAGATTTCAAAATGTTAATATTTTTCTTATATATTAATAAAAAAATGAGATTTATATATAACTTGACATTTGTTCAGCGATGATCAAGTACTTCGGGGGGATCAAAGAGAGGCTGTGGAGGACCCGCTACTTCTGCTATGTGTTCGTCTCACTGTGGAAGTGTCTCGTCTTCTTCACCGTCATGGTCATCTCTATGAGCACTCGCCTCCAGGACTTCTACGCCATATTTGAACTTGGGAAAGCTTTCAGGTTAGTAGAATTTTGGGTTCATGCTGAGGTTCTATATTGTGAGGAACCTACCGTTAACTTCTGTATATATAAAACATGTTTTGAATATGTTTAAAGTGACATATTTCTACTATACTCAGCTGTATCACTTTTCTGTGTCAAGCCTGATTAAAGAGACATCATTTTATCTTCGTTATAGTTTGAATCAGTGAAACAACAATACATACTAAATATTGGGTATTTTAGCTGAAAATATTGAAATAGATAATAATATAAATATAAAATAGGTTGCCTACTATCCATCTTGGGAAGTTATAACTGTTGTTGTTGTGGTGAGCAGCGGACACAGCATCAACGTGACGGAGGTGCGGGAGACGTTGCCGGGACATACAGTACCAGACTTCCCCACTGTGGCTCCGTTGGACAACACCCAGACCATCATGTCTACAGACGGCACCCCAGTATATGTTTTCCTCATCCAGGTGTTCACCGCCTGGATCTGCTATATCTTTGGTAATTAAACCTTCCCTCGATGCAGTACCGTACACTCGCCCCAAAAAGTATCACAGGAGTCGCGGTGTTCATTTTGAAATTCATCAAATCCTTCTGTAAATGTACTTTTTTGGAGCAATTGTACCTTTAAGTGAAATGACTTGTTTTAAGTATGGCACAAAACAAACATAATTCTTAAGTAAATACATATAGCTGTACAATGCTGTGATGAAATGTTTAAATAGAAAGTTATGTCCCACAGGTAAGTTCGCATGTAAGATCTGCATCCAAGGCTTCAGCTTTGCCTTCCCTGTCAACTTGGTCATCCCTGTGTCCATCTCACTCCTCATAACTGCCTGTGGCCTCAGGTTCGACACTGCCTGCTCCTTCAATGTCATGCCCCCGTACCTCTTCTGGGAGTGTAAGAACGGAGACATTCTAAATGACTTCTTAAACCATGACGTAAGTATTTGTTAAATAACTTTTATTTTTACTTTCGTAATAAGTGAGACAAAAAACTGATACAGTACATCATTTTTTAAGCACCACTAACACTTGTATGTACAATTAACTGCCAGTTATTGTGTGAAGTAAGTCTGTACTTCTGCCTATAATTGTACTTGTACTTTCAAGTGTACCTCTACTGAGTTAAATAACTGTACCTGTAGAGTATTATGTTATTTTTTTCTTCTTTTCTTTTATCCTCTTCACCACTGATCGGCTCGCTAGCCGCCTGGGCGATCGGTCACGTCTCTGTCACGCACTGTTGGCAAATACTGGGCATGCACTGGTTCCTGAATACACCTGAACCCGCTGCAGTGTTGGTAAAGTCTTGTCTTGAAAGAGCTCACACTCGGTGGCGTCACAACATTCTCTGGTAGATTGTTCCAAGAGTTTACAATCTACCAGAGAGCGTTGTGACGGCACCGAGTGTGAGCTCTTTCAAGACTAGACTTTACCAACACTGCAGCGGGTTCAGGTACATTCAGGAGCCGGTGCATGCCCAGTATTTGCCAACAGTGCTTGACAGAGACGTGACTGATCGCCCGGGCGGCTAGCGAGCCGATCTTTTGGGGAAGATAAATGAAAAGGAAAAGTAATCAGAGACGTGACCGATTGCCCAAGCGGCTGTGTGTAAAACTATATTTTTATTTCTGAACTAATGAAATGTCGTATTACTCCCGGACAGTACGCATGGGTGTGGCTCTTCTGGTTACTCTCACAGACGTGGATAACATTACACATATGGACGCCCAAGTGTGAGCGTCTTGCCTCCACAGAGAAGCTCTTTGTGACGCCTATGTACAACTCCCTCCTTATCGACCAGTCGATGGCCCTCAACCGACGGCGAGACGACGAAGGTGACGTTAAGACGGAGGACCTCAACCTTAACCCAGAGGAGCACGAGAATGAGGTGAGTCCTCTTGTTGTGATGTGTCTTATGGTGTCGTGTGAAGGATTAATAACAGGGTTTTATGATGCAGTAAATTAAGTATTAACAATGGTGTCATTAAGTTAGAGCTTTTGCAATCTATGTGGTGTGCCAGTTAAGAGGAGGCGGTCATACATTTTATATAATTTAGGTGATATACAACACAGTAATAGTAACCAAGTGGAACTATGACTCTCAGGTGTCGCAGTACTATGAGACCATCTCCATCCACACCGACTCCTCCAACACCAACAATGCCACCAAGATCAAGTCGTCTGACCACATCACCCGCATCTACGCCACAGCTACTATGTGGCACGAGAACGAGGAGGAGATGATGGAGATGTTGAAGTCCATCCTTCGTATGGATGAAGATCAGTCCGCTCGCCGCGTGGCACAGAAATACCTCAAAATTGTCGACCTTGATTACTACGAGTTTGAGAGTAAGGACTCTTGGCTATTTCTCTTGATAACATCATATATGTTTGTATACTGTGTAGCTTCTCTGTTTACCTTGTTTGTCGGTTAATTAAGACTGACTTAACCTTTTTAATTCACAACTTAACCTAGCTTCATAATACCATCTTTACTAATTCACAACTCTTTCATCTTCAGCCCACATTTTCTTCGATGACGCCTTCGAAATTTCTGACGACAACGAAGACGAAAATGTTGTGAACCAGTTTGTGAAGCTTCTGGTGGACCTGATGGACGACGCCGCCACACACGTCCACCAGACTAACATCCGTATCCGCCCTCCCAAGAAGTTTCCCGCCCCTTACGGTGGTCGCCTGGTGTGGACCCTCCCTGGCAAAACCAAGATTGTCGCTCACTTGAAGGATAAGAGCAAAATCCGACACAAGAAGAGATGGTCTCAGGTGGGGCATGGCAACAGCTCGAGGGCCTGACAATGACACCTCAACATTTTGTACACCACTGTAGCATAAAACATGAAGATAACTGTCAGTGGGGTTGTGAGAGTGTAAAGGCCATGTTCAAACTAATGTATTTTGTTATGTAATTGTGATGTTTGGCAGCTTGTACAGTACACAATTATGAGAAAGAAGTTACATGTTTTTCCATTTTATATGACTTTATCAGTTAGGATGTGAGATGCACTCCAGAAGAGAGGAGTAGTGAAGCAGTGCACCAGTCACCTTCATTACAATATACAGTACCTGTATATTTTTCGATTTTCAAACATACATATAGTTAGGTAGTACTTGTGTCAATGAGTGAGGAAGATGAGTGGTTTACTACTTGACCACAGTCATGGTTTGTAATGTATTTCACAACCTAACTGATGAAAATATATATCCCTAGCAAAAAATAAATAAAAAAATAAATAAAATTATATTCTCAATACTCAATACAAACTAGCAAACAGCACACTAACTGACTAGTTTATAATGGGGCATGTCACCTACAGCCAAGACACCTTCCATCAGGCATAACCAACTGATCCCTGTCAATTACTCTACACTATTTTATAGAAGTAATGTTAATAATAGGTAACTGACAAGTGTATCAGCTAATAAGTAATATGTACTATGATCTTTAAAATTACATTCACCTTATTTATTTGGTCACAGGTGATGTACATGTACTATCTCTTGGGCTTCAAACTGATGGACCAGCCCATCTCAGTGGACAGGAAGGAGATCATCGCCGAGAACACCTTCCTGTTGACACTGGACGGAGACATTGACTTCACCCCAAGCGCCGTCGCTCTCTTGGTGGATTTGATGAAAAAGAATACAAACCTGGGAGCTGCTTGTGGACGTATTCACCCTGTAGGCTCTGGTGAGTCGGAAGTCAGGGATTGTAAGAACCTGGCAGTCAGGCATGGGACAGGCCACTGAGTACAGTATTAGGAAAGGTTCTCTTACATTAGATAAAGATTAAAGGACCCTTCAGTACAGAGTTCTGTATGTGAACAGAGGTTCATTTGTACCATGAAAGACTCTTGTAGTAGATCTCAATGATAATAGAGGTGGTTCAGTAATACACTATTTAAACAAAGGTTAAATAGACTGAAGGACCAGCAAATAATTGAAAGAACTTCTTATGTAACGAAAGGTAACCCAGGCTAGGTGAGTCAGGTGACAGACAGTGAATCTTGTATGTCTAGTTTATTTGTTTTTACTAAGAAGGTAACTATGTACTGACTTTATACAGGCCTGATGGTGTGGTACCAGATGTTCGAGTATGCCATTGGTCATTGGCTGCAGAAAGCAACAGAACATATGATTGGCTGCGTGTTGTGTAGTCCCGGCTGCTTCTCCTTGTTCAGAGGGAAGGCTCTCATGGACGACAACGTTATGGCCAGATACACACTCAAGTCCAGTCAGGCTCGTCACTACGTGCAGTACGATCAGGGCAAGTATTGATTTAAGTTGTGGGAGACGACATAACTCATAAGGACATACCGTATTACTCTGTATTTCATGAAATATTTAGTTTCATGTAATGTAATTCATGTTCTTCTTTGTTTTCTTTATATGATATTACTTTGATGTTAAATAATTGTGGTATGAAGAAGGTATTATGCTATCAATATTCAGTAATGTTTGAAATGTCCATCTTAATGACTGACCAAGAACTGGTCTTATTGTAGGAGAGGACAGATGGCTGTGCACACTGCTGCTTCAGCGAGGTTATCGTGTAGAGTACAGTGCTGCCTCCGATGCCTACACTCACGCCCCAGAGGGCTTTTCCGAGTTCTATAACCAGCGGCGACGATGGGTGCCCTCCACCATGGCAAACATTATGGATCTGCTTCAGGCTTACAAGAAAACTATCGAAGTCAACGACAACATCTCTCTACCCTACATTAGCTATCAGGTATAACATTGTCACTCATTACCCGCCTTACATCTGATTATGAAGATTGTTCTTATGTTGTTTCATATTTCAGAGTGAGTTGTACAGTTAGTACTTAGTAGTTGATTAGGATCAGGTTATAATCATGTGATTGGTTGCAGACTATGTTGATGGCAGGTACCATCCTGGGCCCTGCTACCATCTTCCTTATGTTGGTGGGTGCTTTCGTGGCTGCCTTCAGGATTGCTAACTGGCTCTCCTTCCAGTACAACATCATCCCCATTTTCTTGTTCATGGTTGCCTGTTTCACCCTCAAGTCTAGCATTCAGGTAATATTCCCTCATGATATATCAGGAGGAACTTTAGAGCATACAGTATTGTTTTTTATGTATATTGTTTATTATGCAGTACGTATATAGTAAACTGTACAGGTATATTGTATATTATACAGTATATGTTTATATGAGATAATATATAATTTTAATATATTTATAGGAGCACCACTTATTCATTTTCATAAATACTGTCATTCTTAATGTAATATCAAGTAGAGGGAAACATCTTCCTTCGTGTATTTGTTTCTGTCCCATTATACATTAATTGTTGTGTTGTTGGTCTTTTGTGATATGTTCAGTGTTTGTTTTGTTGAACTTTGTGTAACAGTGTTCTTTGTTTTGTGTGTCTGGTGTTGTTTGTGTGGCGACAACCTGGTGCATCAACAGCTGATTGTGGCCCAGATCCTGTCAGCCAGCTATGCCTTGATCATGATGGCTGTCATTGTGGGTACTACACTGCAGCTGGGCGAGGACGGCATCGGCTCACCCTCCGCTATTTTCTTGATTGCGCTCTCGGGCTCGTTCTTCATTGCAGCCTGCATGCATCCGCAAGAGTTTAAATGCATTATTCCTGGTCTGTTGTACCTTTTGTCTATTCCATCTATGTACCTTCTTCTCATCATCTACTCCCTCATTAACCTCAACAATGTCTCCTGGGGTACACGTGAGATTGCTACCAAGAAAACGAAAAAGGTTTGTAACTTCCCACGTGAGTCCAGAATAAGAGCATGGGGACCAACGCTGCTGGAAAATTACATAGGGATGAGGAGTACAATGGAGGTGCTTGGCGATCACTACTGTAGATGTAGTGCATGGGGGTGAGTGGTACAGGGTCGGTGCATGAGGATTATCTGCCATATTGTATCTACTGTTGCTTTTTTCAGCACAAATATATAACTCGATCTTCCTTTAAAATACCTATACAGGGTACAGTATATCTATTATAAACAAATACATTTTGTAGAACAGAAATTACTATAATAATTTACCTTATTTGTAACATCATTTCCACTAACAACTATCAGCCATTACTAAAACCATCGGAACAATTTTCAAAACATAATATAATGGGCAGTAGCGCACCCAGAAATTCTGTAAGGGGGTTGGCCTGGAGGCCATGGACGTACCCAGAAATTCGTCAAGGAGGGAGTGAAATTGCGTGGCCGAAGGCCGAGCTAGCTGGATTTTTTAAACAATTTGGTGAAAGCTGAGACCTAATAAATTGTTTTATACAGTATGAAAGTCAGCAAAAAATTTGGCAAATAATGAGAGTTTTAAATAATTTTGGGTCAAAATATAATACAGGTATTTGATTATTTTAGATTAAAAAAAACATATTTCCTTAGATGATAAACTGATTACAATTGACCACATTTAGATGTATTGATAAGTAAAGGGTTTTAATGCTATAATGAATAAATTAGGAGAGTTTTAGAATTTTTTTTTTTAGAGGCCTACCTTGACAACTTGGGCGAGCGAGGGAGCTTTAAATTGGCAATTACGAGCGAATTGAGGTTTATTTCCTTTATTTTCAGACCAAATGGGACCTATTAGGTAGAAACAAATTCACTTTTGCCTGACCAGGGGGTGACATGTAGGATTCCAGCATCTGACCACGGACGATTAAGGAACCGTGGGCTTAAAGGGGGGGGGGCTGGCCCCATGAGCCCACCCTTTGGGTGCACTAGTGATAATGGGTAATACTTTTACGTCCTTAATGAGGCATCAGTAACACTCTACCACCTTTCACGTTTTTATTTCTCGGTATTTTCAGCTATCGATAACAGAATAAGTTTGGTCATCAAATGTAACTGATGCGTTAATGCCCAGTGTAAACAAAATAAAAAGTTCAGTATGGTGTAGGCCCAAAAATCACTATTACTGTGCAGGGTATTCCAATTTTGAACCTCTGAACTGATTCTTATATATGTACAACAATTCATGTGTGATGGGTGAGATATACACTGTATATCACTTCTACACACATCTGCACATAATTAAGTTCAGGGGCTCAAAGTCGATATAACATTGATTTTTGGACCACCACACATACTATAAAATGTCCACTTAATATATTATAGATACAAATTTCTAAAACAGCATCATGTCAATTTTGAAGTCATGAACTGTCACTTTAATATTGTGTTTCATAACTGTCTGTTTGTATATATGTTAAAGTTTGTTATTATAACTGTACTGTATATTGTTTGTCACAGTTTTGTTACACCTGTACTTTCATGTTGCTTTTTGTTGACAGTTGCTCATTATACTTATATTTATTCAATTATTTGCACAGTATCCTTCCCACAGTCATGCTGTTGTACCTGTTTATAAAAGGACATGTGCCACCAGCATGAAAAATATTTTTATCCCAAATCCATTCTCTAAATCTTGCAATATATGAACGGCTTACTGCTTACTACTACTGCTACTATATGAACGGCTTACTGCTTACTACTACTGCTACTATATGAATGGATCACTGCTTACTACTACTGCTACTATTCACCCATTAATAATTCATTCACCCTCTAACTCACTCATCCTCGAGTTAACCATATCATTTTTAGCCAGGTGACTCATCATTTTAATAATATACTAACAAATAACACAAACACTGGTGGCTGCCTCCTGACTGGCAGATCTCGATAGCTTACGTCTTGACAGCGGTGTACGCCCTGGTGATGATCGTGGTGCTGGTGGGCATGATCCTCAACTTCGCCGAGGAGGGCTGGAACACCCCGACCGCAATCTTCTTCCTTTGTACGACCGCTTCCTTTGTTATAACGGGCCTAGTGCATCCAAAAGAGATATTGTGTCTGCCGTGTGGCTTGGTTTATTACCTGGTGGTGCCATCCATGTACCTGCTGCTCCAGATCTACTCCTGCTTCAACCTTAACAATGTCTCCTGGGGCACCCGTGAGGTCGCTACCAAGGCCAAGAAGAAGACCAGAGAGGTAGAAGTGTTATCCTATTAGTTTCACTTATCTCATTCTTATTCTTTCTTCTAGAGAGAGAAGATGAGAGAAAACTAGCAAAGAATGTCAATAATAAATGGGTTTCTTTACTCCAGCCTACCCTTAACTCTATTACAGTACAGTATAGAATTTAAATAATAAGGGATAGAGGAAGATTGTTGATGTATCTGTTCTGTACTGTCCTGTCAGCCACCACAAACTACTGTACTGTACATACTATCCAATAATATTAAGTGATATGTCAATGTGGCAGTCAAGAGAGCAACGAAACTGTAACCTTCAGGGAAAATTTAGCACACAAGATATTTTTTTTTTTCAGAATTTTTTAACAATGATCACCATGAAGGGTGACTTGTCCACGTGTCTCAATTATTTTGGGGTTGAGCTTTGCACCGTGCATGAACTGTTACTTTGATGACTAAAGCTGGTACAATATTCCTTTAAATAACATCTCCTGAACAAATATATAAACCATATTTTTTTAGCTTACACTGTACTAATAGCATGGAAACACAGTCAAGTGCTGGTGTTTTGTTATTGCATGCATTAGGTGTTTACTGACTATTTAGCCTTGTTTTTGAGTTATGAAATGAATATACCTGTATATATATATATTATATGACTTCAGTATTGTCAATATACTGTACTATACTGTACCAAGACTACTGTATTGGATAACAGGCCTCAGAGAACATAGAAATACCAGCTTATTTTTAGTCTTGTGATAAAAATAAAGCATAAACTTATATATGTTTACAATATTTAAGACTTTATTACAATTTTTCATTTGCTCATCATAGGAAATAGAAGCAGAACGAAAGGCTGCAGAAGAAGCCAAGAAGATGAAGAAGAAGGAGGGCTTCCTTGGGTTCCTCCACAGAGAAAAGGAGAATGATGATGAAGGTTCCATTGAATTCTCTCTGGCTGGTCTCTTCAAGATCATGTGTTGCGTCCATCCCAAAGTCAATGATGAGCGTCAACAGTTGGCCAGCATTGCCAACTCCCTCGACATTCTCAAGAAGCGCTTCGAAACAATTGAGTCGTTAGTCTTCATATTCCTACTTTCTTTCCATTTAAATCAATCAGTTAACTTAATTATTAAAAGAGAATTTACAATGTCATCTTTCTCCCAATACATTTTGAATCATCCCTTTAAAAATATTTTCTCCTCATTCCAGATTCTTAATCTTTGCACTTCAACTGTTTTCTAGTGTTATGTCTTTAATAATGCAGTACAGTATTACAACAATTATATGCAGTACTTGAGCAACAATGGATACAAAACACTCAATGGTTTCATCCCCAACTTAACTCTAAATTGCTCAATCTCTTACCTGTCCTAACTTATACCCTGGTGTGATGTGAAAAACTTATAACTGCCTACAACTACAAGCTCAGTTTAACATATTCTACATACTCTTTCTGATAAATCTCTGAGTATCACAAGATTTCTGTGTCCTGTATTTCCCTGCCTTTTGATGCTCTACTTAGTGACTCCCATATCTGCTGACCTCTTACTGCTGTGTGTTCTAATTTTCTGTGTATGCCAACAGCCACATGGGTATTGCCCCAAGTGCACGTAGAAGGTCAACCATGCAGCCCCGTTCATCCATCAGGGGAGATGGTGTCTCCTCTATCAATGAAGACATTGCCAATGATTACTCCGACAGTGAGAGTGAGAAGTCTGGTAAGTTGTCCTTGCAAAGAGTGCTCATGGGCTGTGAGTTTGTGTTGTATTGTGCCATTAGTTGTTGATTTCCATTTTGATAATCACATGCCTTCGAGGTCACACTTAGCTACACCCCGACATAACTCTTACCACAACTCTTTAATTTTGCTTCTTCCAGGACCCAAGGAGGAGCGGGATGACCTGGTGAACCCTTACTGGATGGAGGACAAGGCACTTAAGCGTGGAGAGGTAGACTACATGCCAGGGGCTGAGGTGCAGTTCTTCAAGGACCTCATTGAGAAATACCTGTATCCCCTGATCAAGAACAGTACTGAGCAGGTACAGTGACTTTACAGGGCCACAAATCCAATTATTATATATATATACAGTATATATATATATATATATATATATATATATATATATATATATATATATATATATATATATATATATATATATATATATATATATATATATATATATATATATATAGTAGTATAGCTCACTGAAACAATATTATGGGTGTTATAAATGCCATATTAATGATCAACAATATACAGTTCTGTAGTATTCCTCAGCTTATGCAGCTTGCTTAGACCAGCACTTTGGTTTTGATTTATAGGTTATTATTATTTTTGATAATTTGAGTACAGTATATTGTAACTAATGAATAATTCTTCTTGTTTTGAACAAATGTTACAAGTACTTAATGACTTACAACAATGTTTCAAAGCAGTAGTTGTCCATAGCATTACAGTAGAGTAGTAGAAAGAGTAGAGGATAAGACATATTTCGAGTGCCACTCAAGTGATACCACCATCTAGGACAGTCGTAAGTATCCTGCTTGTGTTCACTACAACACCTTCCTCTCTACCTGAGGCTTCAAGAATTAGGGTTTTATTCTGCCCTGTAGACTGGGAGAGGGCCACCAGGTGTACCTAGCCCAACTCTCCTTTAGCCAGTTCTACTCTCTGCATTAACCAAAGGTGTATTGGATCACTTATACACTATATATCTATATATATAAAATGACCTTACAAAAATTCTGCTGAGGGAATTCAAGGGTCTCCTGTTACTCATGTCTACAGGTGCAACACAGCATCAATTATCTAATTCATGCTAAATTGCTCCGTCAGTACTGTACAGTACATTACAGTACATTATTCAACACTTGAGAGTGTCAGAGTGTGTACTGCTGTTGTCCACAGTCGTCATAATGATTCTCCCACACAGCAGTTTGACAGTCACCTAAAATTTACAAAAAGAATACAGTCAACTAGTGGAGAGTTATACAAAACAAAATTAAAATGTTTATAAACTGTGGAGCAACATTTTAAAGTACAGTACAGTACTGTAGTTATGAATAAAGGAAATTGATTTTAGAATTTTAAAAGTTGATGTGAAACAAGTAACTTTTTATTAATTATTTTGGTGGTCAGCCACATGGAGTATGCAACATCAGTTAATTGAAGTGCTGCTGCTGTGCCTTACTGCTGTATATCATTATTTTGGTGATGAATATTGTCAGACAGTCTGAAACATAATATGCAAATCTATTTTAGATTTTTAAGTTATATGCAGTAGTATATACTGTACAGTCTATAGTAAAAAAATAAGTATTTTAATAAGAAGAATACATACAGTATTGTTAGATGCCATGCAGTTCACAATATTTTTCTATTTTCACTTAAAACTAATGCATGTACTGTACTGTATTAAGTTTTTTAACACGCAATGTTTCAGATTATTTGACACAACACTCACCATCATTAGCCCTCAGTTTCTTATGAGCTTTCACATATTTATTCCACCCTCCAGCGGGGTGTGCTGGAGTGCATGTGCTGCAGTGTAACACATGCATGGTCTCCAAGCACATGGTCTCTATTTTACTCTACCAGTCTTTTCCTACTCACTAATGGGAATGGAAAGCATTAAACTATGACTATCAGCATAATAATGTACTCTGCTGTGTGTGATTTTTTTTGTATGTAAGATTTTAAAGCAATTTGAAATTTCTGTCCACTTTAATTGATAACTATATAAAGGAAGGTAGTAAAAGATCTCAGTTGATTTAATCACTATTGGCCAACCAACTCATAATAAAAAAACTTTATAATTCTTTTGACTTATAATTAAATATTACTTAATGACTTAATTTGTCATGCCTGTAAAACTAAAACAGTCCTTCTGAGAACTGTCATTTTAATACTGTGTTATATATGGCATCCGTTGCTGCCATTAGTCTTCCACTGAATTGTCTTCTGGTCATGGCTATCACTACCTTTTATGGCTCTTTAAAATAGAATCTGCTGGTGTTGTAAATTATCCTCACTATGGACTGTATAAAGCATAGTCGAGACAGTTAAATAGGTTGGTTACCGTTATCATCATCATAACTGACACAGATACATATACTAACAATATATGTTAATGCTGAAGTCATATACAATTACCACAGCTTAATCAGGTCAAAGTACAGTACAGTACTCTCAGGTTGTTAGTTTATGAATGAGGACCAACATTGCTTGGGGCAGTTTGTGTGAACAGGTCTTCACTTAACAGACTTTAATTATATAGAAATGAAAATAATTTCTACAGTGGATTATCATTCAACACTACATGTCTGAACATTTCATATACACTAGTGTTATTATTAGGATTACTGTACATGTGGTGGTTTATTTTAACTTAGAGAACTACTCAAGGTTTACATAAATAGTATTACAGTTAATGCATATTAACATACAGTTTGAAATAGGGCAGGTAGTTATTATGGCCAGAGAGCAGAAATCTGTTGATCAAATTATAATTTAAAATCTGGTCAGGAGATTGGCATGACAATGTATATTTACTGTAGAGCATGTCAGAAAATTCTGGGGCTCACCTGCTGAATGTTTACAGATCCATTTAGTGAAAAGCCTATTGGTGTAGATAGATGACTGTCAATGTAGAGAACATATATTACTGTATTATTCTGTACATAGAGACTTTTGGGGAATAGTTATGTACAAAGAACGGTTTTTTTAGTGTTTTTCACCCTCCAAAGGTCAGTTTTGTTATGTAAGTGGATAGCTCTTTACTTCTGGTTCCTGTTAAGTACTATACTTGCTCACCTTGACTGTCTTCATAACTAATGTAAATTTAAAGGCAGCACCACTCTTAATAAGGCTGATCTTCTAAGAAGGACTTCATTAATACAAGTCTCTGTCAAAGGTTACGGGGTGTGCACGTACTAATCCCCATCCTCCCTTCCACTTCTCTTCCCCCTCTAGAAAAAAATGGAGGTTGACTTAAAGGAACTTCGGAATTTAGCAGTCTTCTCCTTCACTATGATGAATGCTATCTTTGTTCTTATTGTCTTCCTGCTCCAACTGAACAAAGACGTTATCCATATCGACTGGCCACTGGGTGTGAAGACCAACATTACATTCATCGAAGCGACCAGCGAGGTAGGTGGGCCTCGACCCAAACAGAGTTGGCGTCGGTCTTTGTAACTTGTCAGTGATGTGTGTGGTGCATGTGTCTTCCCAACAGAAACAAGCTGAGGTCGAACTAAAGGAGCTTAGAAACAAATCTTTCTTCGGTTTCTTCATGCTCAACGCGCTTTTTGTGCTCATTGTGTTCCTACTCCAACTGAACAAAGATGAACTACACATCGACTGGCCACTGGGCATCAAAGAGAACATCACTATTATACCAGATACTCAGGAGGTAACCTGGACCCTCCCTCTGCTCCTGCTGGTTGTGGGGCCTGAGGACTACTCTCCCCACCTCTCACAGTCCTCCTTCAGCTCCTTATACTTTGGGAGTTTCTTGGGGCTAAACAGGAGGATTACCTTCCTTTTCTCCATCAACTTTATCCTTAAGCAATATAGCCTCTGGAGCTCCTGACCCAATATAACACTTAGGTTGACCTCGCATGACTTTATCTTGACCCAGCATGCTAACATTGATGAAGCATGATACCTGCTTGACTGAAATGACCTGATGGTTCATCTTATGTAACAGAAAGAATTTTTGCTGTAGTAATAATTTTTTAAACTTCATTAAAAAAGACAAAACCAATTAAAAAGTAATTAAATATCCATTGCTTTAAGTGATAAACTGTGATTATTACCTTAATATGTTGATCACTGAGAAAAACTGTGGCTTTAAAATGCTTTTATAGCCTCTATATACTGTACAGCTGTACTCTAATACTACTACAGTACAGTATATAAGCCTTCAGCAGCATGTTAGTTTATTATTACAGTATCATTAACTGCTAAATAATGTATCAGTAAAGGAATTTCATTTATAGAATTATGATTATACAACTCATTAAATTGTAAAATGCTGATGAAAGAGAAAAACCTCGCTTTTAATGCATCTTTTTTTCATTTTTGTAATTACCTTTGATATAAACTTAACTCACCTTAATAAATAATGGTCATTACTGTATTTGCAGATAAAATTTGATCATTATTTCAAATAGCAGTCTAGTTGTTCTATCCCTACTTACTATCCACCTGTGACACTCTCCTGTGATTACCTTGTGACTGTGCTAGCTGAGGTCCTTAGTACGACTGCCTCAACCTGACAATAGCCTACCTCTGTTGACTACTCCACTCTCATTAATGACTCATTTCCTGGTGACTGGTTATTTCAATACAGTACTACTTAACTGTTACTGACTCCTTTTACTATTCAAATTATTTAATCAAGTAACTGCCTCTACTTTGTGACTGATTCTTCTTAATAATCAACTGTAGTTAGTGACTGCCCTTACTGCTGTTTGATCATACTGTATGACTGCATTTTCTCACCTAACTACCTACAGTATCTAGTGACTAGGTTTACTGTATATATTGATTATCTCTACTTAATGACTGCATCTACTTAGTGAATCAGTTTTTGATGACTGCCCTTACCTGGTGACCTTTACTTCTTGGGTTGCTCAGACTGGTGGCTGACTCTATCTAGTAGTGACTTTCCCTACGTGGTGACAGACTGGTCCTACTTAGTTACAATACTGTCTCCATCTGTTGTCCTCCGATGAGTGGTGCTTTATTCCTGTAGCCAGTTCTCGCTGAGAGAGAGAAATAATGATTGGCCACAATAACTAAAATTCTTTTTTTTATTAGTAAATTGGTTATGAATCTTTTTTTTTAAATAAATTTTTAAATAGAGGCATAATTATCAGTACCTGAAGTTACAGGAATTTGTTACTAATCAAGAGTACAGTACTGTACAATATTTTTAATTTTTAATTTTTAATTTTACCTGTTTCAGAATGTATCTGTACCTTCTCTTAAGGTAACACGTTAACAGCCACATTGCAGCCAATGATGCAAAAAATAAAAATACAGCAGGTGGTTGATATACTAGATAGGTTTAAATTTCAATTAGAAAGTTCAGTTGGATTATTTCTTGACTAGTTTATCACACACTCAGCATAAATTGAAACAAAAGGTGATTTACAAGAGTACCTGAGGCCTTAATAAATCCCTACTTTGATATCCTAAAATGTTTCAACCACAGTACTGCTGCAACATAAGAATCTTTTGAGCATTGTGAGGAAAAAGTATTTAGTGTGTCTTCATAGATGCTGTCTGATTGTGTCTTGTCTCCCTCAGGTGTTATGCACATACTGTATTACTCTGACTCTCTTGTTTCTTGTCATTATTATATGTACTGTATTTGTACAGTGCTGTATACCCCAGTAAATTTCAACAATCACCTCTAACAAAGATTCTTCACAGTATTTAAGGGTATCTGATACACTCTTAATCCCCTGACAATAAATTTTATATGTCTTGGTTAAAGGCAGCGAGAACTGGCATTGAAGACTTAGTTTCCCTTTCAGATGTGAACTAATCCTGATTACTGTGTGTGCCCCCCGTGCATGCCAACTCTGTATGATGGTGCGGGTGTTCTCTTGTTGCATGAATGGCATGGTCACGTGTTAGTCACAACAAGAGAATTTAATAAGTTATAATGTGATACTGTATTAATAGCTGTTGCATGAATATTTTGTTGCACATGTTTTAGTTATAGAAAATAAGTATCATCTTTGTATTTTGTTAATTTAGAATTCTATTTCAAAATTTCTTAACAACATCTCATCCAATCATTCTGCTTTAGATATAAATACAGTAATAACCTTTAAGAAATGTAAAACAGACAATATGAAACTTGAAATACAACATTGTAAGTATAGTTAAAATTCTTATCAAAGGCTTTTAATGCATATCTTTTCAAAAGTGTATAACGATGACAGCAGCATATGTTAGGTTTCATTATATATATTACAAGATAATGTAAGTTTCGATCACATTATTTGTAAACTTTGAATTATTTGAACAATAGTTGATGTCTAAGAGATAACAAATCCTCCCTGTTAGTAGCACAAAAGTTTAGCTGTGTTAATCATCTGCCTCACCTTTACACCTCCATCTGCCACTCTCAGGTGCTCATCAGCCAAGAATACCTGCAGCTGGAACCTATTGGTCTCGTGTTTGTGTTCTTCTTTGCCCTCATCTTGGTTATCCAGTTCATTGCTATGTTGTTCCATCGCTTTGGAACCATCTCGCATATCCTCGCCTCTACGGAACTGACGTGCTGCAATAAGAAAGTATGTTGGTATTGTGGCTGAAAAATGAGTACCATTAATATTGTTTTTGTCAATACAGTACCTGTACAGTACAAGCATAAGTATGCATTATATTCTTTATTAAGTCTTATATTCGAAATATGCCACATATGTTGTCAACCATAATGTTATAAAGTATTGTACAGTATTTCTTTTTTCCATATGTAAGAGGTAAAGTGTTGTTCAGTACAGCATTGTATTTAATCTGCTTATGTCTGAAAGTAAAGTAAAAGAAAGTACAATGTGTTTCTAAATGTATTTTCAGGTCATTAAATCTTGTTCATAATGTAAATTTTATCACCCTATAAAGCATTTGTGCATCATACTCTACTGTAATCCATGTGTACAGCATTATAATCTTTTTTTTGGACAATGTGATTTACTAAGTGCATATTTGTTCAGTGCTGTAGTTTATTTTTTATGGTGAAGAAAGAAATATGTTAACAGCCAGGAAAGTTATACTATTGTAGCACTAGTTGTCCCACTGATTCATTTCTTGTTTACATCATCAGGCAGAAGATGCTACTGAAGATGCATTCATCCAAAGAAATGCTGTTGACATTGTTCGGCAGTTACAAAGACTCAAAGGCATTGATGGTGATTATGATAACGATAGTGTTGAAGGAGGACAACTTGGAAGACGCAAGACCATCCACAACTTAGAACGGCACAGGCAGAAGAAACAGGCCATTGGTACTCTTGATGTGGCCTTCAAGAAACGTTTCTTCAGTATCTCGGCAGAAGCTGCAGAAAACGGCATGGACACCGGTATGTACAGTATATTCGATAGGTATCTGTCAGTCCATGATTATCAACTATAGGAATCATATCATTAGGTCAAATTTTATCCCAACATTTATCTACCCATATATTTACCTGATGACAACTGGAATACCATTGCATCAGATAATCATAGCCAACCCACACATGCATGGAAAGTGGCCATAATCAGCTATGATGATGAAATAGAATGTGGTAATTATAAAATCGATTAAAGGTCAGTGATACATTTTCTTTGGAAATTATCACGTTCGTACAGTATAGTACAGTATACTATTATAAAGCTACAAATGATTTAGTCACAGGATGTACTGTTAGCCTGCCTTGCATTCTTAGGGCTTAGAGAAGTTTATTGCTCACAAAATTATTCAAAGAATTTTAAATTACTATTTATAGCGATCCTTAAGCACTTTTATTATTTTCTTATTGTTGTTGACAGAGACACCCGTGCTAGGAAACATGCGCCGTCTAAGCATACGTCGTGAAACCATGAAGGCTCTAGCTGAGAGACGTGAGACAGTGGTCCAAGAAAGAAGGCAGTCCAAAATGATGACAATGGGAGCAAAGAAGGTAATGTATCATGAATTAAATCTTTTTATAACAGCTGCTCCATACCTCAGGCTGGGAAGGAAACAGGGAGAAGAGGTGGTGAAAGGCCAAAGAAAACATAAAAATTGAGATGTTAGTTCAATGTAAGGAAGCACAGCATGCTTATAAAAAGGGCTGACCCAAGTGATTTAACAGTTGAGAAGAGGTGTTGGGTGGGTTACAGTGTGGGAATTGGGTGACGACATCTAGAGATCACAAACCAGGGATACATTTTGTGAATATCAGATTCAAAACTTTAAACTAAAGAATTATTATTCAGGGTAAAACTCTTTAACAATTAGCTACAGTGTAATGCTTAAGCATTGTTTTCAACCACACACAGTTTACAGTACAGTACAATGTAACTGTTTAGATTAAGAGTAAAGAAATCATAGTTGTTGAGTGTAAGGAAACAAAATTGGTATTGTTGATTGTTCCTGGTCAGTTTTAGTTTCAGAAGTTTATAATCTTACTTCTTGATATTACTGTACACTGCTGTATTTAAATCATACAAGTATTATGTTTGCAAAAAGAAAACTTGAACAGGGAAGCCTCTTTCCACCTTTAAATACAGGATAACTAATATTTTCTATTTCATCCAACCAGCGTACATCTTTTGCTACTGACGTAGATATCATTTGAGCTGATCAAGGTAAAAACGAGTATATAATTAATTCCAGGGTTTATATGTGCGTTTTTGTCTACGTTTGAAAATTGTCCTTTGTATTTTGCACTTACTAGAAATAGCTGTTTATTACATACAGTTTTTTAAGATGTTCCTTTCTGTTTTGGCAGTGAGTTCATACACTCCATTCTAATTAAGTGTGATCAGTTCTCATAATTTACCGATAAAAAGCTTTCTGTGTTCATGTAATTCTTTTTCTCTATTGATTGTCATTACTCAACACATTCCTTGATAGTCCGCCTCGCCTTCATGTAGCATTGTACTGGCAATATTTTTTCTTATGTGTTTACCCTGCAGTGTTATGTGTCTGTGTTGAGTGTTAATGATAAAGAGTTAATACAGTATACAATCAAGACTTTTGACAACTAATTACAGATTGGGAAAAAACAACACTTATGTGGTAGATATAAAGAGTTGATTGTAATGTTTTGTCTGTCTGTATTTAACTTGAAAGCTAATTTTTTTTTTTTTTTTGATCATTATTCAAGGGTAAAATTCTGAATCTGGTATATTCCATTTCTGCCTTAACTACTGAATATTCAACATGCAGTGAAAAGATACCCATTGCATGTCAACCTTTGCATGTATCTTTTGTCATGTTAAATCAAGTTTTATAGCCTCTAATTTTCTTCAAGTTGTATTTATTGATGTCTGTCTGAAGTACTATCTCCTTCTGATATGTATACAAACTGTATATACATTCAGTGTTATTCTCTTTGTATATAGTCTGCACCTCATCTTGTATATTTCCCATTCACAACATTTTACCTTCACTAAAGTCCATGGTCGACAACTGACTCTCACACAGTACAGTACAGTTATTACAGGAGTCCCAGTGTCCATTCAGCAGTACAGCGGTTATTACAAATGTATAATATAGTATAATCCTTTCAATACTGTACTGGTGTCTCTTGGTCTGTTTACAAATATAGTACAGTACTATTACCAAAGGACTCTCTACAACACAGCAGCAAAGTACTGTACCTGACTACTCTCACCCACCTAATACTGGTGCAGTAAAGACCCACCTACCCTCCTCCACCCACCACAGTAAAGACCCACCTACCCTCCTCTACCCACCACAATAAAGACCCACCTACCCTCCTCCACCCACCACAATAAAGACCCACCTACCCTCCTCCACCCACCACAATAAAGACCCACCTGCCCTCCTCCACCCACCACAATAAAGACCCACCTACCCTCCTTCAATCTCCACCACTCCACAATATAGACCTGGGTGTTGCTCTCGGTATCACCACTAACGTCTGTGCATGATTCTCCTCCAGCCTCGATCGCGCTCCTCCATCACCTCGGATGTAGACAACCAGAGGCTCTTCACCCCTCTCTCTACCCACCCATACCCTTCGCATCACTTCTGAGTGGTATAATTCTTCTTCAGATTGCATCTAATGTAGGCTTTATCCCGTCTCTCCCTCCCCAACCATTTAAACCCATGCTTACTGCTTTTTTCCTTGCTTACTCCGAACCAATTTCTCATTCCCACCTCAGCCTCTAAGCACCCCTGTATCTTCCCCATCCTCTTCCCTACCTGTATAAGATAAGGCTGCCTGTGTTTATGTTTACGTCAACCAAGCTATTAATCTTACCATTGTCTTCTTTTTCCTGGTGGTGTAATCTAAATTTAATTCTCTTAGTAAGCTTTATAAATTAGCATATTACAGTATACAGTATGTGGTTCTTCCTAAGGCTTCACAGATTCATTCCTTATGGCACATATTATGTAACATTTCCTTGTAATAGTTTTCACTTTCACAATCTCCATTTTATATCCTACCAAGATCCATCTTGGTTCACTGGTCACTTCCCTTGAAAATGATCATCAACTTGTACCCATCATCATAACTCCCTAATAGGAGGGTTGGTGGTACTGTACAGTGGCAATGCACATATCTCTCACAACTGTGTCATGGATTCAATCACCGACCTGGACAGACATGAAAAGGGTGTTATCCAGTGTGATATTGTACTACCAAACATTACAAGTTTTGTTTGGGTACACTGGTTTCCTCCGGTAGTAACACTGGACACTAAAGATCATAACAAAGAACAGATACACTTCTAGAATGGTGAAATGATAAATAAATAGAAGTGTAATATGAAGGTCATTTATATTAAATACTTGAGTATGAGGACCTGAACCCTTGAGTATGAGGACCTGAACCCTTGAGTATTAGGACCTGAACCCTTGTGTATTAGGGCCTGAACCCTCGAGTATGAGGACCTGAACCCTCGAGTATGAGGACCTGAACCCTTGAGTATGAGGACCTGAACCTTTGAGAACTAGAACCCTAATATCATTACTGTATACTGTAATACAACAGTGCTTACTCAATGGTAGACACCTCACATACTGTACTTAGTACAGTACAGTGTACTGTATTTTCTGGATAAGGATTGTACTCTGTATTTGTGATTCTGGATTAATCTCTACAGTTGCTAACAATGGCCTAGTCATTGGCTGCATACAATTTTGTTTGTTGCCTCTATTTGTATTTATTTGCTTTATATGTTATAGAGTTACCTCGTAGACTCTCTTAACCCCTCTGCTAACTAATACTGTAGTTAAATAACTAACATTTTGATATCAGCTTATGTAAATTGTACTGTATAGTACAGTTCATGTATTTTTTAATTTTTTAACACTTACTAAAGTTGACATTGAGAGTATATATAATTATATATTATATGACTATCAGGTGCTTCAATTAGGCATGATGCTGTTTTAGTTTTACTTCTGTGGATGTTTATAAAGGACACAGTTATAGTGTGTTGACAGTACAAATACTTAAATGTGACAGATATGCACCACCCAACATGCATAAATTTTTGTTCATGTTTAGTTCAGAGTTTCAAAATTGGTGTGGCAATGAAGGTCTTAACAAGGTAACAAAGAGGCCATCTGCCCAAACAGCTATTAAGCTGATAAGTGGTGGAAATAAAAAAGGTGAAAAAGAACAAGATCTGCTTTAATTATGCCCCCTAACTGTTAAAGCATTAAGAGATTGTTTCAGTGTAATTTTGATCCCATGTTGGACAATATTCTTGTGATTTAGCACAAGTTAGTCAGTTACTGGACATACATTCTTACCACTATAGTTATGAGGAAAATTTACGATACAAACTGAAAACCAATACTTCAATTGTAAATAATATAAGGCTTATATTGTGTGAGGCCTATGAGATCTGAAATCACATCTGCCTTACCAAATTGAAAGTCTTTATTATATAAAATGAAGTACAGTATATTGAAATGCTGTGGTTTAAGCCACCCACATCTTCTCTGCATGTTGTACATATTGTTTCTTATTAAATGTAACTTATCACCACCTACACCAATTGGTATGTTTTACTGTTACTACCCTTACCACAGGTGTTTCTCCAGCTAACATTTATTTTGCCATTCTTACAGCCCAATCTTTAGACTTGTACTTACCACTGTTTGACACCCACAGCCACGCACCCGTATGTCGATTGCATCTGAGGTGGACAACCAGCGCGTGTTCACCCCCGGTGGTGGCAATATTAATGACGCATATGAATCGGATACTGAGCATTACGGTGCTCCTCCCTCCATCAGAAGCGCCATGAGGTACAGGACAGCAGAAGAAAATATTCCTTCAAAAATATACTCTTAAAAATACTAATCATAAATTTTATTGGAAATTTCTTGATGTGTATCAGTCATCTTCCCGCCTTCTTATGTGAAGCAACACCAGTTTATAACTTGCTTCATCACAACTGTCCACACCCGTCTCACTCTAAGAGGTCCACTCAATATGACCCTTTGTAAGTGAGTGTATTCTCTCTCTCCTAGACATATACCACAAGTATTGCCTAGATTTCCTCTTCTAGTTTTTTGAGCAATATACGTGACAGATGGAGGAAGTGAACTAGGTACTGGCCTCAAAGTACCTCTGGCTTGAATGGTACTGTATTCATAATTGTCATAGATAAATGATAATGTATTTTAATTGTTAGTGCAGTAAACCAGTGATTCATGAAGATTAAATCTTAATCCTTTTATAAATATAATGATAATAATTAGGTGGAGAGGCACAACTGTGATGATGCAATAAGTCATGATTTATGTATACTATTGCAGAACAGATATTTTACTTTGGTATTTCTTCTTATTTCTTGCAACGTTTTAATGGCTATATTGACCTAGATATGCAATTTGTTTTGTAAAAATATTTAAAAAAATCTGATTTGCAATTCATTATACACAATGCTTTGTTGATTTGTAGAATATAATATTGGGGAACTCTCTAGATACTTGATATTGTTCAACTGTTGTATTATGTTTCTATTGATTCTTTGTCATTAGTCGAGTGATCTGTCTCCCCATAGATCCTTCACTCATCCCTTATGTGGGCTGCAATCCTCGGCCAACTCCTGTAAATGTAATATTGTATAGAAATGTGTATAAACAATAAAATGTGATGTTTACATAGTGCATTGATTAAATACCCAATTACTGAAGCCTGCCAGCTCCAGAGTAATGTCCTCTGAGGTGTTTACTGTATAGCTTCTATTAGGTCACCCCTTGCCCGCCTATAGTATGAGCAAGGCGATTGCAGGCATTCTAATCTCTGGATACCTGAGGTGCCGTAGTGCCGGTGAGCATTGTGATGGCACCAAGTGTGAGCTCATTCAAGGCCAAACTTGACCAACACTGGAGTAGGTTCCGATATATTCAGAAGCCAGTGCATGCCCAGTATCTGCCAACGGTGCGTATCAGAGACGTGACCAACCGCCCAAGCGGCTGACTATCCGATCAATGGCGAAGAGGATAAAAGTAAAAGTAACAGTCTGGTGGCTCTCCTTTGGACGTTTTCAATCAATTGACATTCTTTAGCACATCTCAGGGACCAGACAGAGTGACAGTACTCAAAGCATACTTTATACACTATGCTGGTCAAGTTCACCAGCCTATAATTATTTGTTGAGTGGTAATCTCCCTGTTTGAATGTAGTACAGTACTCACATATGCCAGTTTCTAGTTGCTGGGGATCTTTTGTTTGTTCATGCATCTGCGGAACAGGATTTTAAGGGGCTCAGCAAGCTTATTGCATAACTCTCTTAGTAACCTGTGATGCATGCTTTCAGGAACCAGGCTGTTATGAACCCTTAGCTTTGACAGTTTATTCCAAATACACTCTTCTGAGAACATAATGTGTGTCAGCACTCTGTTGAAACGTCTTTAGTCAAACGCAAGGATTTTATTGATATCCTCACTTGTGAACACTGAGGAAAAGTCTATTTACGTAGCATTAACACAAAAAACAAAGTTATACATACTACAGACGGGCAAGGGGCGACCAAATTGAGGTGTATAAGCATCTCTAGGGGCACTACTCAGTCGAGTGTCCTTACTTGGAGCTGGCGGACGCTCGCCCCACAAGGGGTCACAGCTCAAGATTGAAGAAGCCGCAGGTCTAGAAAACTGTGAGGGCAAACTTTTTCGGGGTGAGAGTTGTGAACCCTTGGAACAGTCTACCAGAGAGTGTTGTGACGGCACCAAGTGTGAGCTCTTTCAAGACCAGACTTGACCAACACTTAAGTAGGTTCAGGTACATTCAGGAGCCGGTGCATGCCCAGTACTTGCCAACAGTGCGTAACAGAGACGTGACCGATCGCCCAAGCTGCTAACGAGCCGATCAGTGGTGAAGAGGATAAAATTAAAAAGTAAAGTGATCTAACATAGCACTTACATTGTGGAGAGGACATACATGTGGCTATCATCATACTGCGACCCAGTGATCAGAGCTGAATCACTTGTCCAGTTCACAACAAGCATGTCTAACACCTAAATTCCAATCAGAGTCAGAGAGAAACAGACAGCCCTCGAACTGGCCTGGCATAGAGAGACAGGAGGAGCAGAATCTTCCCAGAATAAAAATGGGTCCTGTAAGACTGATGACATGTTAGAGGCAATGTAAATATAGTACATTTGACTACGTTTCATTTCCTCATTGTAAAGTTAGATGCCTATTCACAGCCATATCCCCTTGGCCGGTACGCCATAAAAACAATAGTCACTCCTAATTCAACGTTGATAAAAGAAAACGTTGTTGGAGTGCAGGAGTATTAGCGACCTGGTGGAGTACAATAACAACTGAAGACTGATCACTGGTGACTGTACTGCTGTTATCGGTGGAAGAGTTTGTCACCAGGAAAGCTACACGATTACTAGAAGAATGAGAAATGAAGATATTCAGTGACAAACTACCCAGTTCTTAAAAACAAGAAGTGGGTGAACGTGTGTTACAAGGAAGAGGAGAGGTCAGTGCTGCTATACGCAACTTTTAACTCCATATATTGTCATCATGTCTTCCATGGTAGGGAATAAGGGTTATGTACCCAGAATATCTCAGTTGGATTCCTTATTCCTCAATAGAGAGGCTTATTCTATGGTAAAAAATCAGTTGCTGGGTGCTGTTAAATACATTGGACAAACCTTTGTCACAATCCTCGAACCTGAAATTGATGCAGCCCTTCAGTATTTAATTTTGAAATATACTGTTGAGAAAGGAAAAAGTTCAGTTGGTCAACAGCTTTTGCAAATAAAATATGAAGAAACAGTCTCAACAAGAAGACTCCATAGTTATATAATAATGTTGGTTGTAGGAAACTGGATAAAACACAGAGCTGGTCTCATAACCTACACAGTTACAAAGAACGAAAGTGTAAAAGAAGCTACCAGTCAGTGTCTTAGTGGGTTTGAAATAGTGTTTAAAGTTCTGCAAGTCATCAATCTGCTGGTGTTCCTTCAAAAGGGATCTTATCCAACTGTTCTAGAAAGGCTCTTTGGTCTGAGAAATGTACCTGCAAACCCCGGCAGTGTGCGAAGAATATCCTACACGTACTTCACACGAGAGCTCTTGTGGCATGGTTTTGCAGAACTTCTTGCATTTATTTTACCATTAATCAACGTGCAGTATTTCCATAGTATTGTCAGAAAATTTGTGCCAAGTTCAAGTGAAAATGACCATAGTTCAGAGGATGAACCAAAGGCAGAATTTGTGCTACAGACAACATGTGTAGTTTGTAATAATAATCCAGTTCTCCCTCACAGTTTTGGGTGTTGCCACATTGCTTGTTACTATTGTGTCTACTCCAGCTATTCTTCTGATCCACTGTTCTCTTGTCCACTTTGTGGTCATCAGATAGAGAACAAAGTTCAAATTGTCCCAACATATGTTTCATAATTTATTGAAATTGTTACTTCCATGTAAAGAGTTTCACTTAATTTTTTCTAGATTTATAATGATATATCTTGTAATCGTGAATTTAAAAAAAAAATGTTTTGTGTAGTGCTTTCTTGGGTGATGGAAGGTAACATTTGATACTTTTATTTGTTTACAATAAATGTGATTATAAGATGGTCAGACTAGGAATTGTAAGGCCATATAACATTAGATATGACAAGATTGTGTAAGGATGTCAATTGTACAGTAAAAAGATTGTTAGGATTTATTTAACTGATATAGGTCTGGGAAGTACAGAATATTTTAATGAAGTGTTATTGCCAGTTAGTAATAAAATCACTTTTTTCATATATTGTACTTTGTTGCATAACAGGAATAGGCAACCTAATGATCTCTCAAGCATCATGGGGCATCTCTGAGTGTTTCCTTTTATTCAACACAGTAATTAATGACTTTCTCCAGATAATGTTGTGGGAATTGTACTGTACAGTACAAAGAATCAAATATGAATAACAGAAGAGAGAAGCTGTTGCATCTCCAATTATAACTGTACTAGTAATGTTATAAAAAAAAGTAAAATTTAAAAATAGGGACCCAATCTACATACAGTATTACCCCGCTTTACGCGGTTTCACTTTCCGCGATTTCTCATTTACGCGGTGCCTCGCCAGAACCGAACTTTCACTTTCTGCGGTGCATCTGCTCATATACGCTGGAAGTGGCGCGGGCAGGATGCGCACAAGGTCGCCCAGTCATCAAAACATTACCGAGTTCTTCACCCGCCACCCACCACAGCCGGCCTAAGTCAGTGATAGTGAGGATATGGACTTATGTGGACTTTGAGGGGTTTGACAAAGAGGCCCTGCAAGCCTATGTGGTGGATAGTGATACAATTGATACAAGTGATACAGGTGAGGGCCAATAATCTGCCCTCTGCCTCGGAACCAACCCCCCATCCATGTGTGCCCAGCCATCTTTTCTACTAATGTAAGTGTTAAAAAAACTAATATTATTGATATTTCTCTTAATTATTAATTGTGTGTGCATACCATCATAAAATTAAGATGTAATTTTTACTACAACGTAGGTATTGTGTCTGAAAAAGTGGAGTTTGGGGGTCGGGCCAGTCTCTATTGGAATTAATCCCATATATTCTGTTGTTCACTTTACGCGGTTTTCACTTTCTGCGGTACCCCAAGGGTTCAATTGACCGCGTAAATCGGGGTACTACTGTACTGTATAATGTTTAGATACATTTGCCAGCCTCTCACTGAGAGTGCCATACAGTACTGTATCTTAACCTTCTGGTACTCCTGGCGACGGTTGGAAATCTCGGCCCCTCTCAGTCTTTTGACGCAGGTGTCGGTAACAGGAACGTTTTTCCATTTTAGTAAACTTTGGGTAGAGCGATCCAGACCTAAATTACACCCTTAGAGATGCATCTGTCAGCCCATAAGGCTAGTGGGAAGAACTATGGTGGTTTGATAGGGCTTATTCACTGTTCCAGTATTTCTGCTTATGGGAGAGGTGTTCTCAATGTGAGGTATGGCGGAGCAGGAGGGCTCGGGCCAGCATGGGAACGCTTAGTGACGCGGTCTGTGTCAAAAGACCAGAGGGGAGTTAAGTGTTCCCGTTTACTGTATATACATAATATTGTTTAATGGTAATTTGTGACCGTAGTATGAAGAATCAGCTCAAACACAAGAGACTATTTCTCATATATTATTGTTGTACAATTTTTCTTGTAATAATTAGTATTACTACTGTATTTATATAAAAGTTTACTCTGAGAGTTCTAATGGGATGTAGGTTACCTTCGTAAATGGTCAGATCATGTTACAAGTAATGCCTTCTATGAAAGTTTCAGTTCCTTATGGATGAATTGTTCATTAGATTTTAAATTAAAGTAAAGTAATGAACTCATCAAAGTATACCTGATTTACAAAAAAAAAAGGTGTATGGGAACATGGGATCCAAAATGCAAAAGGTTTTTCCTATGGGGAAAAACCCACCCGAAAACATCTTAAAATACTTCAAACATGTTTTCACCGAGTTTTTTTTTGTATACAATAATTATAAGCCAATAATAAACATACCCGGTAAGCAAAATACTGTACTTGCACTGCAGGACACAAAATTACTTAGAAACTGTGCCACTGGTTGTGAAGCAGTGTGAGATTCAGCCAAGACACAATTTCAGGTGTTTTGCTTCACTGGATTTGATTTTTGATGAAGTTTTATTTAAGGAAGTACTAAACTTATCCATATAACATTTTATTCTTAACATGAACATCATATTAAACTTAAGGATGCAAAACACATCAGTGTTCCCATTGTCAATATATCTTGAGTTAGCATCTTGCCACTGCTTCACAGCGATCATGTGAGTCACGATGACTAAATCACTACAGTACTGTACCGTGTATGCAAGTTTTAAGATTACAGATTATTTTGTCATTAATATACTACATGTGCAACACACTTAAGATCCTCGATGATTAGTTAATCAATTTTCTCCGATTTTTTTTTTATTAGGAAAGCATATGAGATTGTTATTAGTTAGTGTAACTTATTTTCTCCAGCTTTAGTATATATATTTGCCTACATTAAATGTATGTGGCTCATTCATCCTGTCACCAGACCTCATTAGTCCTTTATATTCTGAGGAGCCTACAGTGGTAAAAGTAGATGGTAATTTTTTATTTCTCAAGTCAGTAAACTGCCAACTCCTTCACTAAATACTAAGGATGTTTGTAGAAATGGATGACTTATCTTTACAGTCAGCTATATTCTTCTTTTAGTGGCAGTAAGTACCTTGTTAAGGTTAAGAATGTTTAGCAGATGTGATAAGTGAAAGGTTACCCGGAGATAATATTCTGTAGAGGCAAAAGTTTAGCAACTACAGTATTTCCACAATGTTGATTTTGAAGATGTGAGGCAGACCAGCCAACTAGCTAATGGTATGGAGCCAGTATAGTATATACTGTACTGTAAAAGATCACTTAATTAATTAAAATTTATTCCATTAAGTACAACCTCCTGTATTGCATTTGGAGATCATTTTCAATTTAAAGAAATGTACAGGCAAATACTTTTGTTTAATATTAAGACTATCATTATTATACAGTATTGTATACAGTAGCTATATTGTTGTGCAAATATTGTAATCAAGTAACAGTTGTTAGCCAGTGTAATGGCACAATTCAGGGTTTGTAAAAAATAGTTTCAAAAGTTTTAAGAGCTAAACTTGTGATAATTTTTCTACTGTAATTGAGAAATGGCTTAATGCATATTTATAGTGTATGTAATGGTTAAAAGGAAACTGCTAATAAATATTTTATATACCTTTTATATTTATCAAACAAAAACTTTAAAGGTTAATTAGAATGTACAGGTTCTCCTCAACATACGACTGCCCCAGTTGTACCAAAAAAATATTCAAATTACGTATTTTTGAGTCCAGACGTTAGTGACTGCACGGTGTACTGACAAAATTTTCGTCTGTAATTCCCTTTAAAATGACTGGCAAGCTTAAAAGTGAGTGTTGTGGTGCTGAGAAGAAAAGGACATCGATTTTAGATTTTTTGTGTATTATTTTCGCATTTTTTATTTACGACCTGGATTTGGGTCCCTAACCCCTTCGTAAGTCGGGGACTGCCTGTACAGTATTCATTCCTTAGCAGGGGGCTCAGGTTTTAGGTGAACAGTAATAAAGTAACAAAACTGGTGATCTTCACCCCTGGTCTGATGGCTTTCCAAATGGTTACTCTGAGTATCTGTGTGATGCACTGTGTAACACTAATGATTTATCCTTTGTCACATACAGTATAGTTAATATAGAGAAGTTAACATGAATGCAATGAAGACCTTAATGAAAAACAGACACTATTATTATTATACTGGTACTGTACTACATGTAAGAAAAGTCTTCCACCAAAGGAAATGAATTGCTGTAAAGGGATTTTAGATACAGTAGTATTAGGAGATGAAACAAAGTTCCTGTAACTCCTCAGTATTATAAATTATATTTGATTTAAAGTAACATTATTGGACGAAATATAAAACCTCCTTCAATAGGAAGAACTGTATTACTATGTTTTGTAAGTCGAACACAATTTCACATCAGTGGACAAATTGCTGTAAAAATTAAATGACCTTACAAAACCTCTTTATTATACCATATAATAAGAAATTGAGTTAAATGGGATTAACTGTAAGTAATAATCATAACCAAATAGTGAGCAAATCTATTAACATTTAACGTGATAGTGGATGTGTATAGTACATTAAATGGGCAAAGAAATGCAGTCTTTTCATCAACATCATTTATTAATAATCATTAAGTATAAGCAAAGCACATTGGGAATTCTTGATTAAACATACAGTACAAGCATAGTGTTAAAGTTTGTTTAATATCACTAAGCCCTCGTCAAAGATGATTTTTTCACAGATGAATCTCAAACTAGCGGATGACATTGACCTGAAAAGTAAGACAAACATTAACAAGCTATTCACAATTTTAAAGCAATTCAGTTTTGCAATTACAATATAAATGCTACCTTTGATATTATTTATCAGTAAATTATATGTTTCATTCAACAACTATGCAATTTGCTACATTATAGTTAAACAATATCAAATTAGAAGCAAACATCATTATATGAAGGTTGTCAACTGTGTTAAGATTTGGAGAAAAAAATAATTTAATGAGCAGTAGGAAATAATTTATAGAAATGTACTCACAATATCATCAATCTTCAGGATTGAGCGAACGCACTCTGCAGAGAGTGTGATGGCCGAGGTAGAAACCAAGAGAGGTTGAAGAACATTTTCATCAATAATGTTGCTGATACTTCCCTGTAAAAAATAAACAAATAAATATATCGTGCACAAGTTGTGCGAGATTATGCTCGGCATTAAGTTTAATTTTTTGCAGTTCTCCTGAATAACTGAATCTATACACATCATACACATACAAATAAATGCTTTATGAAAAACAAATTACCCAAGATGAGTACACTTTATAGGACTGCTTGAACTACAAATTTATTAAATATTTGATGACCACAACTTTACTCTGAACACCTAGACCTTAACTTTACAAAAATAAGTACAGTACTTGAAACCCATTTCTCTCATATGCAATTAATGAGACTATATTAAAATAAAAATACTAGGTATTCTCTAACTCCTTCATTACGGGGACATCACTTAATAATTTATTTGGCTAACACCAGACGGTTTTATTCAGCACAGAGGACCCTGTACACAAGGGGCTAATCATTTGCATTCTAACAATCTATCCTACACTGATCAACCAAATTCCCAATGGCAGCAGCTCATTAAGCTCAGCTCCCGTAACAAAGAGTTTTCTTACCTTGCGGACATTAATTCCAGCATGGGTTTCCCCACGAGCATGTCTGTTACGCAGTTCCGTCACCGTTGAAATGGGACTGAGGCCAGCATTTTCAGCCAAAATGCCTGGGATTACCTCCAGTGATTCAGCAAAGGCTCTGAAATTTAAGGAAGTATCATAATAGTACTGTTCTTAATTTTTCAAAATTCTTCTATTTTCCTAATAATCAGATTTCTTCTAAATGTTAATGTTAATCTTCACCAGAAACTAGACATCTGTGGATTTTCATATTAGCAAGAACGTAAAAGTTCATATATAATTGTTAAGAGTAATATATTACATTCATATATTCCTAGTAAACAAAGGCCTGTGGCTTGGAACTACAGCACTTTTTCTTTTACGGGGAACAGCCCACCCGGGCACAGGTCATCGACCCACAATGAGGCCTGGGGCAAAAAAAATAAGACTAAAAAGTTTCCTTTGTCATCTCCATCTAAAACTTAGAAAATTCCTCCTATTCAAATCCTTACCGGAAGCAGTATGCATCCATGCCCTTAAGAGTATGTGCATGCTGTGTTAGCTTGACTGATAATTCTGCCTCAGGTGCTCCACCACCAGGAATTAGGAACCTCTTCTTAACCAAACAACGAATCACACAAAGTGCATCATGAAGGGATCTATCAGCTTCCTCCAAAACCTGCAAAGTTGAGGGGAAAAAGTGCTCCATTAATCCTAGCATATCATTCCTTTAATAAATGAGATATTACCTGTTGAATATTAAAAAAGTAAAACAATACTTCAATATGTAAGAAAATCTCTTCCACTTACAAGAATTATTGGTACATCACACACACAATCTTTAAAATGCTACTCCTCACCTGTCTATTGCTTCCCCTAAGCAATATTGATACAGTCCTTCCTGGATTCTGCACTCCTGTAACTTTTACTAATTTGCTGGTACCAGCTTGAATTTCTTCTGCCAGTTCAGCTGTGCCCATGGACTCTGGAGTAAAATGATCTAGAGAAGCAACAGGTCTGCACCCAAGAGTTTTACATACAAACTCAATATCCTCGCGTTCAATATCCTTGATGACCATTATTTTCTGCTTGGCCAGGAGATGAAGGGCCAAATCACTCACAGCATCCCTGGTAAAATTAATTAATCATTAACCACCTAAATCATAACACAAACTCAGTAATATTTATATTGACTTGATATATTTGATGATCCAAGGTGTACCCATATTCACTACTTGTACAATATTATACAGGATAAGGGGGACTTCCAGGAAAAGATCCCATTTACTGTACACTCGCTCCAAAAAGTATTTCCACGGAGGAGTCTCGGTAGTTATCAAAATCCTTCATATGCTGTCATATTGTCTCTCATAACCGTAAGGATACTTTTGGAGCGAGTAGACACAGTCAAGGATTATAACATAATTGGCCAGCAAACATTGTGGCCCCTAATGTTTCCTCCCTCTAAAATTTCAAGCATTTACCCTTATAATGGATGATGGCTGGAAACAATGAGACATGATTTACGAAGATACTCCCCCCTTCCACAACAATACCCCAAGTCTCGTTTAACCCTGTCCATAATGTACCTAAATTGTTCATTTGATTGTCAAACTGTATCCTTTTATGATCTGCCAAACTATTTAATAACTTTCAGCCAGGTAACCAAAGAATTTTAACTCGGCAACATACAAAACAGGCTTTAAAACTTGCCTCCATTACCTGGATTCACTTCAACACATTGAAAGCAACAACTAACAAAGGGTTTTCTGGTGATGAAAACCTAACCCACAGTTAATTATATCCAGGTACTGTACCCAAGAACCTTAACATGATAAAACTCACCGAAGGATAGACTTCTGAATAAGGAGAACATTACAGCCAGCAGCCTTAATTTTCTTGGTTATATTAAGGATATATTGACGTTCTTCACGCAGGACACGATCCATGGCAGCGTAGTCACGAATGAGAACAGTGTTGTCCATCTGAAATTATTCACGGGTGATTTAAAAAAGATAAAATACAGGTATATAAACTAAAAATAGTTCATTGGCATAAATGAAATCTAGTTGTATAGTTACAAAATGAAATAAAAATTATGAACACTTACTGAAAAATTAAAAAGTATCAAACTGGTTAAAACTACAATTATACTTAAGTGTGAATGGTGATAGGGTTTGAAAGGCATATACGGTAGTACTGTATATTAATGTAAAATATAATAACAAATTAGGATCAGAACTTTTCAAATACGCTATAGTATAAGCATCTAAAATGTGGTAATTTAAAGTTGAGAAATTCAAATACAAACAGTATACTGTACAGTATTCCTTATTCTAAAGATGACAATAGTACAGTATAATGAACACTGAAGTATCACTTGTCAATAATACTTAAGTTAATTTAACTTACATCAGTTTTAGGTGGAGAAATGCAAAACTGAATCAATCCAATCTTGACTTTTTCCACCTTGTTTGGTCCTCCATAACCCTGAGTCTTCTGTGTGAACACAATACCATCCACTAACTGAGAATCTTCAACTGTCTCGCCAAGTTTCTTAATGATACGGATGTCCTTAAGATCTACATTCTTGTCTTGGTTTGGGTCCACTATTTTGAGGATTGCATCTACAGCCATGGGGGCCAGCATGCCCGAGTGCTCGTGTACAACCTGTCATAAAACAATATATTGTACTGTATTAAAATTTTTACTACATCCAATTCTACAAATAGCTATCTTTACTGCTGTATTCTAAGTCTATGCCTTGGATATCAGTACATGTAATACAAGTAAGAGTACTTTACAGTAAAAGAAAATAGATAAATATAAAAAGCACTTCACACGAAAACATACACGACGCATTCTTCCTTCCATTTGTTTGCTACTTTGTACCATTTTATGAGCAACAGTTCTTTACCTTTGAGTTGAGAGAGGTGTTTGCACTCTTCAGAAGTGATAAATTATCAGAGAGATCTACAGGGATAGCCATAGATTCCAAGACCTCTACAGCCTTGCTAGAGAAATGTAAAAGAGAGTCGGAAATAGTGGCTGGGTGGAATCCTTTTGATAGCAGCTTTTGGGATGTTTCCAACATGGAACCTGTGACAGAAATATACTGTAGTAATATACTTTGGCTACTGTATAGTATTTTATATGAAATGCATTAAGCCTAATGTTACCTTTAAAAATTAATAGAGCATACCAAATACTTTAAGTAAATATCAATGGAAAAAATAAATATTTTGTAACAACACCGTACAGTACCTGCCAAGATGACCACACTGGTGGTACCATCACCCGCCTCAGCATCCTGAGCCTGAGACAGCTCAACGAGCATCTTAGCTGCTGGGTGAAGTACTTTCATCTGTTTTAAAATGGTTGCACCATCATTTGTAATTGTGACTTCACCCTTCCCATCTTGAATCATCTTATCCATGCCCCTTGGACCAAGGGATGTCTTGATGACATCAGCCACAGCTGTAAGAGTAATCAAGGTTAGCTCAATTTTGGGCCAAAGTTAAGAAAAGATGTATTTCAGTATATTTAACTCGTATTGTTATATCTGTAACCGAAAACAACACACGGAACATTACCAATTTAACGTATCATAACCAAAACACAAGGTCTACCACTAAATATTATGATGAACCAACACAACCTACCAGTACCTATCCTAGGGTGGCTGTGCAGTATGTTGTTGTTATTATTATTATTATTATTATTATTATTATTATTTTAGGTAAAGTAAAGTAGGTTGTTTTAAGTAAGTTCATAAAGATTAGAAAGAAGGTTCAGTCAGTCAGTTGTCTGCTGGAAAACGGTCAGACTTTATCAGTTGCTGTCACGTGTTTGTTGTGCAAGCATGGCACACTCATGTAGCAGGCAGGTGGGGAACTAGGGGAGAAAACCCTAAATAAAAGTGTTATTACTCCAAATGACAAACAGACACTAGCAGGTACAGAATGAGGGAAAGTTGGTTGATAGGTCGTCAGTGCACAATGCATCCGATATTTGTCACCTGCAACATGGCATCAGTATTATTGCGTTTACACACCGTTCATTCCTACCACTAATCTATTATCATATTCGAATAAGACGTCTAATTATAAGATAATTTTCATCTATTACATTACCGGCGGAAATGTATAATAACGGAGATAGCATATCCAAAATTCTTTCTATTTTCTTCCATTAATCTCCCTCCATTATCGCCTGCCTCACCTCCAACACTGCGTGTCTCCTTCATAAATCATCACGCGCATGCGTTCCCGTACACGTCACGCAGCCAATCAAAAGCGTTTTTGCTTTTGGAACCAATTAACATGATTTTGGGTTTAATTCGCAGTATATTTGGCCCAATCAAATTCGAGTTTTATTTTGGGTCTCATATTTTGAAATTCAAGTTCAGTTCCAACAATGGAAGTCTGTGATGGGTGTCACTTAAAGTATTTGGAGCTGATTGCGAGTTTTTGGAAAAAAACGTAGAAACTAAAGCATTTTTTCGATCGCATGGTGTTCTTCCAACCCCAGTAAAGTGTACTAAGAGCAAGACTGAATGTAAATATCGCAAAGACCAACATATGTGGCGTTGGGTAAGAATCTCAGAATCCAACGACGAACAAGAACCAGGCCAATAAGGTAAGAAATATGTGATTCCATCATATGGTGAGAGTCAGTTAGGTTAGGTTTTTGTTTTTCTAGTGTTTTTTGGTGTATTTTGCCATGATTTTTTTTTTGGAAAACGTCCAACGAAAAAAATTCGAAAAAAAAACCTGGCTAATTTCCGCCAGAAATGAAGGTCATATTCGGTCTAAACACACACAAATACACTAGAAAAATATATTTTTGACTTTCTAACAGAGAACAGTGTGACAATGCAAATTTACCATGGCATCAAAGCAGGTATGTGACAGTAGCATCTGTCATTATTTACAGGAAAAACAAGAGAAAAGGACGTGAACAGACCCTGATTTGTCTTGTCTAAGTAAAAAAAAGTAGTTTTCTTCAACCTGTATAGAGATCTTGCCTAAGGTGACTGGACAACCCTGGTGACAGTCATTAAACAGTACCCATAATATTCAAAACTTGGAACTAAAATGACAGAAAAATGTTCGAAACACTGGTGACTTCTTGACACCCAAACAATCGATGACTGTGGGGTGTGGTCACTAGGACTGTGGGGTGGTTATGAGGATCGCCTTTCATTCAACAGTACATACTACACAACATAGCTTCCAAATAAGTTCATCTACAGCCATGAGTCATACCAAACTATTATTTATGGATTGATCTAGATTAATACACCTCACTATACTCCAAGTCAGACAGTCTCTAAATATTTCTATTAAACTGTAAGTCACGAATCAATAATTAAATGGTTTATTTAATGTCCCTCTCTTGGCTTACCTTTAGCCGCTACTATGTTACTGCCTCTGATCTGTGCAGGCTTCTCCTTGTCCTTAAATTCTGATCTACTCTGCCCTCTGGCACCAAGGGTAACAGCTTTCATAGGCATCTTGGACATTTATGATGGCAGCTTTCAGATTTTGGTTATAAACTCCACCGTTGATGTATTTTCACACAGATGTCTGACGATTCACAGGCAGCTGCCGGAGACTCTCCCAGGACGGCGGCGGCTCGGTGAGTGGGTCGTCTGCTGGGGTGAGACTCGTGCACTGCTCTATGAACTATCGTAGGGTCCATCACCAGGGTACGGGACAGAATTATTTATTTATTCAGGAAAATCGACAAATAAGTTCATATTGGTTCGGCACATACATAAAAAAGTACGGTATATGTCAATAATTGTAAATAGTAAGTTAATTCAGCTAAGGGTAGCCTAAGAAAGCCGTTAGATGCGTATTTCCGTTGAGGTTATATTATTGCTAATTAAAATGAAACGACATCCTATAAACAAATGGCCTTCAGGTATAATATATAGTGATATTCATATAACAATTCACATTTGTTCACGAATGCTCGTGTAGCACCTTATGGTATAATATAAACACTGAAAGATATCGCAATATACCACTGCCCAGTTTATTTGTCTCTATTATTGTTTGTGATGGAATCATAAATAGACAGGTTAAGAGCAATTATAATTTAAACACAGAAATATGGGTTTTCTACGGTAATTACACAAGTCTATTAATAATTAGAGAAATGTTGATACGTTCACAGTTTGGTAATTATCGTACATAACACGAGCAACGTTAACTCGAGAAGGTACTAGAAGTGGAATTTGACAGATATTGTGCATTCATCTAGGATATAAATCAAAACAAAATAATAGTAAAACTTACTTAATTTATCGAATCATTTCCGGTAATCAATGACGAATTAGAAAAATAGTATGTTCACCCTATAAATTACCCCACCCTTCATTACCACTACCCTGTGTGCTCAGGTGGAGGACCATTAAAGGTACAGCTGTGCATTAATTTGGGATAAAGATCATTTATTTCTTGATATCAACGGGATAAATTTCTAATGGCTTTCAAAATTAATTTCGAAACCTGGTTTCCATAGTCACCAAATTCTGTATTTCAATTGTGACTGTGTCTTCAACTTAATATTAAATTCATAACCAAATTTATAATTCATTGTCTATATTATATAATTAACTGAATATTTGTTGACACTTTACTATTCTTTAATAGCTATTATAAATGTTAGCTCGTTAAAGTTTAAGTTTTACCGTGTATCATTGTTGTGTAATTAACGTGTTGGGACAAGGTGGTATATATGGTAAACAAACTGGTGTCTGCAGCGACGACGCCTCGACCTGCCTGATGGAGAGCCACCACAGAGAGGAGAACCAAACTAAACCATGTGAATATGACCCCAGTAAGATGTTGCTTTTATTACCATGAATACTGACGGTCAGTTATTATGGCACTGTAGCCGGGCCAGTTTATTTAATGTTGTCCCCATCCGCCAGCTAGTCCACTCGTTGGGAACATTCTATTTCATGTACTAACATCATTACTGTTTGGTGAATATCATCCAGACTTAGTAAGGTTATACCCAGGGGAAAAGGGAAAATCTCTATTAATTTTGGGGTTTATAGGTGTGTTTGGGGGGGGGTAGAATTAGTAAATGGTGCTTCTCACTGCAGAAAGAAGGGCAGGGCTCTACAAAAATAGATAGAAAATATCTAAATTGTCTGAAGTTCTAAACTTTCTACAGGAAAACATGTGTTGAGTGTTTCTTTATAGTATATGACTTCAAGACTGGCATGCACAGTATTCATTTATGATAGATGATACCAACCAAACTAATCGGACCTAACCCAATGATTTTAGAATATTATTTTAGTAAATCTGATGAGGAGTTAGAAAAAAATTACTGAATATTCAGTGCTTAAGACTTAGCAGGATGGCATTGGCCTCCCAACCTTGATGCTTCAGTGAAATGCCGTAAACCACCGTTGAACCATCTCGTTATAGAAGTAATAGTGTTATTGATGTTAACTTCAGGATTGCTTCACATAACCTCTCACCATGCATTAAGATACTTGTGTGTTTAATCAGTACTGTAATTCTAAAAGTACAGTATACATGTACTCTACATAATCGATTCTTAGAGTGTTAATCCTGTGCTTTTCTTTACAGATGTCAATCAAGATGAGCTCATCATGGCACAGGAAAAGCAAATTGCTGAAGAGGTACAGAACAGTATGGTAGTTTTCCCTATTGATTATAAATAAACCTTGTGAAGCTTTTGCATAAGGGTCATGTAATAATAGTGCAATATTGGGTATAACCTAAGTCTGTATAAAATGACCTGTGAATATAATATCTACAGTATAGACTCTGGATAACTAGAAACTATCCTGATATGTGTGTCCGTCTGTCTAGTTCATTGCTATCAAAAGTATTTATGGTGTGATCTAAAATGATCTTTATAATATTTACAGATTAAGGCTAACACGTCAATGGTAGGGTCACTTGCTGGTCTTGGTTCACTGGAGGAGGAGTATTCAAATGATCCTGTATACTCTAGTAAGGTGTGTTACTGGTGCTTCTCATACAGATCATGACTGGCATTATTCAGGTTTCCTTTAATCAGTTCTCTATGTGTTACTTGTGTCTCTGTTTCTGCAGGTTCTTAATGGAGTCTATTACTGTACAGTGCAGTGCTATCCTTTAATTTTGCTGTGTGAGCAATTGTTATGGTCTATAGCACTTTACTTTTTGTTCAGGGTTTTTATATAATAATAATAATAATAATAATAATAATAATAACAATAATAATAATAATAATGGAGATGAGGATAAATTAAACCTGGTTTGGTTAACGGAGAGGTGTAATGTGTAGTTTTTAATTACAGTATTATGCCATTTTACTAAGGTAGCCAATTAAATTTTTTTAAATTCTTCATTATCCCAAGCAATTATTTCATTTATAATTTGAAACTACAGTACTATTCTTTTTCTATCTTTACTAACAGGTTAGAACTCTTCTGCCCAAGTTCTCAAATGTTCGACGCACTAGACCAGATGGCAACTGCTTTCTAAGAGGTTTCATATTTGCTTACTTAGAGTACTGTATTCATCACAGGGATGAATTAGCTAGGTGAGTATAGTTTAAGCAGTGTGCAGTACTGTATTAATTTTTATCAGTGCAGTACAACAGTCACATGATGAGGTACTTTGATCTACCATTCTAACAATCATCTCTGTTTTCTCCTCCACATAAATCTTAGCCATTTTCTTATCAAACATCATTATTCAGATGAGAACTACCTTGTTTTAATTTTAAGAATTTTTTTCTCGTCCAAGTATAAATCATAAACCAGCCAATAGCAATGTGCATCACATTGTACTGTATAACTGAACACAAAAGTAAGCATTAAGCATGAAGACAAGTACTGTACTACATCTACTGAATGTAATTATCCAGTGGAATATCAGAACAGCAGAAGGAAGAAGCCATTTCATAATATCACTGTCGTAAGTGAGGAAAATTCATTTCACTGTGCCAGTAGATATATACTGTATAGTATTATGATCATGAGATTTGTGCATGTAGTATTGCACTGTAAACAACTTACAAAAAACCTGTTTACTGTGTGTGTCATTACCATACAGTCCCATATTGTTAATTATTTCACTGCAGCGCTATTGTGACTTAACACCCTTCCCCTTGTGTGGCACCTTTTTCAAGAATTAAACAATATATACAGTACAGTATATACTGTATACATGTATATTTGTACCATATTGAAAGTGGCATCAAATAGAGTACAGTGGTCCTTCGGCTAACGAACGGTTTGATTAATGAAATTTCGGTTAATGAATTAGCTCCCATAAGGATCTTCAATTCGATTAACGAACAAAACTTCAATTAACGAAGTCCTTACGACAAACACGTTTTGTTGTGAGCATCAGGTGATCGGCTAGTCTGCCAATACAGTAATCTGTTCTATGTTTACATTTGTTTCCAGTGGAGTAAATATCAAGAAGGTTGTGCTCTTAAATATTTTTGCATTTTTTATATTAAAATTATTAGTCATTTTAAAATTTAGTTAACATATTGACAATAATTATATGCAATACAGGGAACTAGTTTTTTGTGTGCCCATCAGCCGCTTGACTCACCCGCCAAAGCGTCAGTTTAACTTTGTTTACTGTGGAGGAAACATCGTGTTTGTCGCTCTCTTGAATACAGAGTATTTTTACGTTTTTATATTAAAATTATTGGTTATTCTGAAATTTAGTTAACATATTGATAATATATAGTGCAGTGCAGTGTTGATTTAAATAAAATAATCTTTAATTACAGCTAGTGAACTTAAAATTTTATTGGTGAAATTACTGCATCAAGCATGGGTCCAAAGAAAGGCGATTTCTCCTCCATCCCCACTTCCTTCTCTCTCCCTTCTCCTCCTCCACCCCCACTTCTAATTCCCATCATCCTCATCAACCAGCAACATTCTACATACACACCTCAAAGTTAGTGTACTTTACTGCATTTTGTTTATACTTTGTATGTACTTTTCTGTGAGCTGGAACCAATTACCCAATATCCCATTGAAATAATGGATTCGGTTAACAAAATTTTTGGTTAATGAACGACTCTGTGGAACGAATTGTGTTCGTTAACTGAGGGACCACTGTACTCTTTCATAAAGACAGCAGTACTGTACGATGTTCCTTGTACGATCTTTCTCACCTCATGTGAAAATTATCTTAGCTGATATTAACACACCAGCCAGTGGTACCCAGCCTACCTACTTGTCATTTTGCAGGCAACTGATACTTGAGAACAAAAATTGACTGATCCACTTTATGGTAACATCACAGGGGTGATGGGATATTGCCTTCAGTCAGTAGATTAAAGAAGTATTGTGCGTGGGCTGACTGTATGTTTAGTGGAAAATGTTACATCAGGTTTTGATTAATTAATGTGTTTCATCCATGACTATTTTGAGACAATACAGTATATTTTTCAGATTCAAGAAATACCTAGAAGGAAGCAAAGAAGAACTTTTTGATATGGGATTTCCCAAGTTTACTACTGAAGATTTCCATGAAATGGTAAGTTTGATACAAGATAAGCATCAGGCCTAATTGCTAGACATTTAATAAAGATGTCATGTACAGTATATTGTACCTGTTTATTTATTTCTGTAGTGCCTCTAACTTACTCACTCACTTATTATCAGTTTGCATTCTGCAGATGGATGAAGTTATTGGTGTCCAGACCTAATGCTTTAATCCGGGATAAAGATAATTGTGATCGATAAAAAGAGGATTAAAATTTATTCAGTATGCAGAATTATAAAGCAAATCAGTCGTACATGGCTCAGTTAATAGCACTCTGGATTGCCAGGTCATGGGACATGAGATAAATCATGTGGCCAGAGGGTACATTGAGTTGGCCACCTACCACAGTAATGCCTGGGGCTAAATTGAATTACCTTGTTTGGGGACTGCCATTTCACAAAGTGTAGGAAACATTTTAAAGGGTGTCATCTTTGGTCAATTTTTTATTACACTTTTTATGACTGTATTCTTCATTTCCAGTTTATGGAGGTTGTGAGTGACTTGGAAGGCAGTGGCAGTGTGGGTCGTGTAGAAGCTGTTTGTAACGATGCTGGAACCTCGGACTATCTAGTGGTGTACCTGCGACTTCTCATCTCAGCACACCTTCAGAAGAATGCAGAGTTTTTTAGCTTTTTTATTGAAGGTGGCAGGACAGTAGAGGAGTTTTGTAAACAGGTTAGTGTGAAGGACCACTTTAAATATCGTACAGTAATCCTTATTATGCTGTTCTTCAGATTTCAAGATTGTTATAAGCTGTATTTTGGAGGTTTTGTAAAAGGACCATCTACCCCTTCTTCCCTGCATAAATACTGCTCTGTGAGCATATATGTTACAAAATTTTCACTAAGTCAGTCAGCTTGACAGTTAAAATATCTAGGTATTGTATAAGCTATGCCTTGAAAACTAGATGTGATACAGCAAAAGTAAGGGTAGATTTGTAATTAATCAGTATGCTTCAATTAGTGAGAATCATCAAATATGATTCATGGACCAAAAACCTTGTTGACCAGTGGTATTAAAAGCATAATTTTGATGATAGTATATTTTATGATATTTTCATATTTCAATACTTTGGAGTGTAACATTGGTAAGAAATGATGCAGTACAGTATACCTGAAAATGGTTCTTGCTTTCAGGAAGTGGAGCCAATGTACCGAGAGTGTGACCATCTTCACATCGTAGCACTAACAGCTGCTGTGGGAGTTGGTGTAAGAGTGATGTACTTAGACCGAGGAGAAGGAGCTGCAATTGTGTCTCATGATTTCCCAGAGGATAAGGAACCAATCATTCATCTACTCTACCGCCCAGGACACTATGATATACTCTATAAGGCATAATATTTAATTAACATAGCACCTTGTTGAAATAATAGGTTTCACATATGTTCTTTTGTCTATTCAGGGGCATAATTTCCTTGTGCTCCATCTGCTCCATAACCCATTGAGTTTTGTAAAGTTATATACACTTCAAGTACAGGTATATCATTAACATACTTCAAGGGTATTTTTAATGTTGTCTCAATAGTATAACTTTACATTATTAGACAGTATTCTTATCAGTATTTATGACTGTTGTTGTCAGATCTGGTTTGATGTCTTCTTTTAAAACAATTCACTCATATATGCAATTTTTTTTTATCTTCATAATAAAGAAATATTTTGTACATCTCATTTCAACCTTTGGCCAATTTTTCAGACGCAAGCACAGTATAGGTGTTGTATTTAGAACAGCTCCTCGGAGTAATTAACTTTTGTAATGAACCAATTCTTATTTGTATGCTTTGAATACATAAATGCACTGGAAATGTTTTTTACTAATACTTATGAGGATTTGGATATTTATACTGTAAATTTTGGAGATATTCAACACTGCTTATCCTGTATAGCTATTTATTTCTTAATAGCATTTACAGCCCATAGTTCTTGGTTAGTATTATATTGAAGGTTTCTCATAAAGGAACAGCCTAATAAAAAAGATGCATGATATATAAGAACTGTAGAACTATAAACTAAGGAATGCATGCTACTGTGTCAGAATGCATTTGATTGTGGGCTACTACTGTCGATCATTACTTTTATTATGGATAAATAAAATAAACTTTGAACTTCTTATAGTCATTCTCAACTCTTATCCTTCCTGCTGCCACTAGTCCTCTAGCAGTGTGAGTAAATGAACTTTCATATGAAAAATCTAAAAGTATAGCATAAAACTGGAAATCTCAGCATCAGGTATGGTAACTTTCTGGGATGGAAGTACTGCTGATAGGTGATGCTACTATTTATATTCCAAATGGCTCATACCAGATAATTTTACTCAAATCAGAGGTGGCCCTATACACAAGGGGTTAAGTGGTGCTTGGCGTGGTAGTGTTTTAGATGGTGTTCTAGATGGTAGTGTTCTAAATGGTAGTGTTCTAGATGGTGGTGTTCTAGATGGAAGTATTCTAGATGGTAGTGTTCTAGATGGTAGTGTTTTAGGTGGTAGTGTTCTGGATGGTGGTGTTCTACATGGTAGTATTCTAGATGGTAGTGTTCTAGATGGTAGTGTTCTAGATGGTAGTATTCTAGATGGTAGTGTTCTGGATGGTGGTGTTCTAGATGGTAGTATTCTAGATGGTAGTATTCTAGATGGTAGTGTTTTAGTGTTCTGGATAGTGTTCTAGATGGTAGTGTTCTAGATGGTCTAGATGGTAGTATTCTAGATGGTAGTGTTCTAGATGGTAGTGTTTTAGGTGGTAGTGTTCTGGATGGTGGTGTTCTAGATGGTAGTATTCTAGATGGTAGTGTTCTGGATGGTGGTGTTCTAGATGGTAGTATTCTAGATGGTAGTGTTCTAGATGGTAGTGTTCTGGATGGTGGTGTTCTAGATGGTAGTATTCTAGATGGTAGTGTTCTGGATGGTGGTGTTCTAGATGGTAGTATTCTAGATGGTAGTGTTCTAGATGGTAGTGTTCTAGATGGTGGATGGTAGTCTAGATGGTAGTGTTCTAGATGGTAGTGTTCTAGATGGTAGTGTTCTAGATGGTAGTATTCTAGATGGTAGTGTTCTAGATGGTAGTGTTCTAGATGGTAGTATTCTAGATGGTAGTGTTCTAGATGGTAGTGTTCTAGATGGTAGTGTTCTAGATGGTAGTGTTCTAGATGGTAGTGTTCTAGATGGTGGTGTTCTAGATGGTAGTATTCTAGATGGTAGTGTTCTAGATGGTAGTGTTCTAGATGGTAGTGTTCTAGATGGTAGTGTTCTAGATGGTAGTGTTCTAGATGGTAGTGTTCTAGATGGTAGTGTTCTAGATGGTAGTGTTCTAGATGGTAGTGTTCTAGATGGTAGTGGTAGTGTTCTATGAGTGGTGGTGTTCTAGATGGTAGTATTCTAGATGGTAGTGTTCTAGATGGTAGTGTTCTAGATGGTAGTGGTAGTGTTCTAGATGGTAGTGTTCTAGATGGTAGTGTTCTAGATGGTAGTGTTCTAGATGGTAGTGTTTTAGGTGGTAGTGTTCTGGATGGTGGTGTTCTAGATGGTAGTATTCTAGATGGTAGTGTTCTAGATGGTAGTGTTTTAGGTGGTAGTGTTCTAGATGGTAGTGTTCTGGATGGTGGTGTTCTAGATGGTAGTATTCTAGATGGTAGTGTTCTAGATGGTAGTGTTTTAGGTGGTAGTGTTCTGGATGGTGGTGTTCTAGATGGTAGTGTTCTAGATGGTAGTGTTCTAGATGGTAGTGTTCTAGATGGTAGTGTTCTAGATGGTAGTATTCTAGATGGTAGTGTTCTGGATGGTGGTGTTCTAGACTCTAGACGGAAGTGATCTAGGTGCCAGTAAGAGAGCTCAGGCTCTCAGACATGTCAATATTGTTATCTACTCTGTATCTCTATTGTTTGGTTCAGTACTTGACAGTGTTGGGGGTGACGTACAGTACTCGGGGCCACCACCGTCACCGTGAGTCCTCTCCTATTGTGGGACAGCAACCCGTTGGTGTGGTAACGGTGAAAAGATATAGGAAAGGAAAGGTACGTCTTTCTCAAATCTCATTAAGTTAAGCCCCACTTTACCTACAATTATTATCATATTATATAATTCATATATAAATTAAACCTAACCTAATTAAAAGCAATATAATCTAAATTTAACATCAATATATCTTGACTTATGGACCTACCCTAAGGAGGAATTACCGAGGCGATACCCATATGAGCCGGGGTGTAGGAGTTGTTCAGTAATGGTGGGAGTTAATTGTGTACTTCTCTGTGTTAATGACACCAGCTCACGGTCCTCTGATATTACTAGCATATATTGTGTGAGTATTGATGAGTAATATAGCAGGTTATACTTAACGCGTTATCCTGATGTGGTAGCTGCAGGACCTGCCTTTTTGACGTTACTGTCCTCCCTTACGAGTGAATCATATCTAAAAACATGTCTCTTCTCGGTATTTTTACACAATAGAAATTTACCTTGTTTCAACCCCAGGCAAAACAGCTCTCAGTCAGTATGACTCGGCATAAATTATGTGAAATAAATTGAAGGTGTTTAAAAGCCAAAAGGGTCAATTTAGGATAGTAGCCAGATTGCAGTTCGGTTAGGTTAAGGCTGTTAGCACGAGAAACGGAGGTCAGGTTCGTTCAATCACAAGAACCATAGGATAAAAACTTATTTTGGTATTATTTTACTTTAGGACATAGTGCCCCCGAAAGTTATAAACCATTGAAACATTTACATCTCTCTACTCTGAGCATTTTGAACCCCATATATACATGGCGGAAATGGATAATAGCAACACAATTGAATTTAATTGATTTTAAGTAGTTTTCAGTCTTGGTCTGTGAGGAGACATCGGCACATCACGCATGTGCTTTGACTGACGTCTTCCAGTGGTGACCAATGATGTATTGATATAACGCGAATTTTTTTCGACCAATCACATTTTATTTTTTTCAGAGGAAGCAGCCTGGGTACGGATTTTAATTTCATTGACCAGTCTCACAATGGCGGTGGTTGGTTTTTATTTATGCTTCTCCGATTATTTTAAGTTTATTGCTGAGTTTTAGGAGAAATACTATCATTCTATCCAATTCTTATGTATCCCTGGTCCTTCCACTTCTAACTAAGGTACTGTATTGTACTTTCGGACATGGTGCACCCCACAGTTTTAAACTGTTGAAATATTTAAGTTAGTTTATGCTAGGCCTGCCAGGGGTCCGGGGTGGAGCCCGGCTAGGTGTTAGGTTAGATGGCTCGTTTTCATTTTCTCCTCCATCCCAAAACCCCGATTACTCATGCTCCCCCCATTATTGTTGGGGGGGGGGAGCAAAACGATCAATTTCCGCCCAAAACGGAGGTAAGATTCGTTTAAAACATCAAAATACACTGGGAAAACATGTTGGTCAACCCCTAGGAACTCATGTCCTAAAGTGAAAATTTACTCTTATTTTGTATGGAAAAATAGAAACCTGGCTACTTTCATAAATTGAACCGCCAAAAGTGGTATTATCATATTTTTTTATATGGTCTTTGGTAATAGTAGAGCGCTTTTTTATGATCAAGCAGCAGCTTTTTGGCGTTAAAACCATTATGTTGATTTGCATAGTACAGTATTCAAATCCAGGTACTGTACTGTATTACTCTGGAAGGAGAGCTTGGGTTAACTAGCAACATTGGACAATTTTTTTAAATATATATTTTTTATTGTACTTTAAGAATACCCTATATCTAAAAAATGACGATGGTTTGGAAATATCCTAATATTATTCTGGTGAATTATCTGTCCTGAACACTGATCTACTTACATACTTTTCCTCCCCTTGATGCCATATTTATTAAAGGTATACAGGATATTTACTTGACCGTCCATTACTGTACAGAGAAACACTCTCGACCTTACCACGTTTAATGATTGATCGGAGATAAAATGAATCAACGTTACCTACCTAGGTTAGGTTAGGTTTGTTCACTTTAGGCGGTTATTGTAAGGCATTTTCGATGCACAGAATAGCTAACACCATAGCTATTCTGTATGCGCCGATGCTGTTTTTGATTTGTGCGCATAGCACTTGAGCTAACACCTCGAGGAGGCGTTAGCCTTTCGCAGGGCTCAAGTGGCACAAATAGCTAACAGCCAATCAGCGAATTCTCCCGGTGAAAATAACGCGGATCATGGCCGCTTATGTAGAATATTTTGATTAATATTGAAGAGTTGGAGGCATTTAAGGCAATAAATAACTGTGATATAATAATAAAAATAATTCTATATACGGTAGTATACTGTGTTGGATAGGACCTAAAACAAAGCGTAAGGCATGAAAGAATTGAAAAGGATGTGCTTAGTTGAAACCTGTTTAGATACTTTAAATAAAGATGAACAAGTTGATTAAAGTTCTGTAAATGCAAAAATTACTACTTAAAACTAACCTGAAATTCAATGTATTGCGTGTTTATGTATGCGAACAGCTGCAGCGAGGTGAGAGCGTGTAGTGTGGCTTAAAGCTCCCACCTCGGACTCCCGGAGTTCGGGGACCACCAACCTTTACAACTGGTCCAATTTTTTGTGTTATTCTTATTTATTGTTGACTGATTGACTTTTTTTCCTTTTTTGTCTTCTTTCCATAATTTTCCATATATTTTCTTCACTATTTCTTTCTGTATTGTGTCCAAATAACAGTTCTCCTAATTTTATTGTTTTCTGAAGACTGTGTTGTACAACAGTTATTCCCAAGACGGTTTTACAATGTTGTATTTTGTAATGATAGTCCGGGAAAGCTAATGCGTTAGCTATTCTGTGCTTCTTAAAATGCTTTACAATAAATGCCTTTTATCTCCGATAAATCATATGCTGTGCAATTACAATGTTGGAAAGTGTATTGAACAGTTGCTGGGAATCATTCCTGTGTATGAAATGGTTGAAAAGCATGTTAATAATTAAAAATGGTGGGAAAACCACAGGTTAACATGGATTATTTCTAGACAATAAAATAGCAAAAATTAAAAAAGAAAATTGGCAATCCTCATAATTTTTGGGAATACTGTACTGTATTCTATAAGTAAGAAAGAAGTTGTTTTCTATATTAATCTATTCTAATTTTGCTGGCTAACCAGCATCCACAGTCCTGAGTTCTCTACTGTACTATAGCTATACAGTATACAGAACTGTGCAGTATACTGTACATGTATAGCACATAAGTGATTAAATATATCCATAGAAGATAAAAGCTTTTTTACCTCATGAAAATTACAAAAAGTTATGTGATCATTGCTCGATATAAAAGTGAATGTTAAGATGAGTTCCTTATTATGAAGTTTAAATCTTAATACTGTATATGGTAATGGTAACTAACATGCTTTAAAATCTTTTTAGATAATCATACATGAAATAGTTAAGGAAAATCTCTTATAATGGATCCTGCTGAGCAAGACACCTCAGACTCTGAAGGGGATGACATGGAATTAATAGTAAGTTGTCTTTCTTCAAGTAGAGTCCAATACTGTACTGTACTGTACTGTAATTTAAGATGAAAGTATTAAATTTCAAAGCTCTCAACTGACTAGTTAAACAAATATATTTAGATTCATAGAAATGTATGGGTTGTTTATGGTGCCTAGGAAAGTTTTGTGGTTAGTAAAAAGATATAAAGATAAAGTTTTGAAGTGCTAAACATTTTATTGTATTTGCATGAGTGCTGTCCTCAAAATGGTTTTCTTTCTCCCATCCAGGGGTAAGACTGCCTTAGTATACTGTACTTACACCTAGTCACAGTAGTGTAACTGGAGTACTGTACAGTATATGAGAGCAAAATAACCACCACAGGCTTTTAACATGAAGGAGAAAAGTCCTTCCTCATATAATGTTGTCTTTCAGGGGTGGGCCTAAAATAATATAAATTATTTACCCCCACATTTTCCCCATAAGATCCTTAACATTGTTAATGTGATTCATGGTATCTTATACTGTACTGTATTGTATATAAGTACTGTAACAACTACAGTACACTGATGATCAGACTACAGTACTCATGCATTTTGCAGAAAAGGGACTCCATAGAGTGCCCACAGAATCATCCTGGAGAGGAAAGTATACCAACTATATTGAAAACAAAAGATTCTACCTCAGAGGATGACAGTGTTCCAAAAAGTACTTCAGACAATTCAATGAAGATAGCGCCCCAACCCTTACCTGAGCCTAATGAAGTAGCTACCAAAATTGTGACCTTTGGCGGCAGAGGACAAGAGTCGAGTGATGATGAGGAGAGTGATAATGAAGGTGGAGTAGATATAAGTGCAGAAATAGATGATGCACTTGATGAAGGGTAAGTAATTATGTTTTGTCTTTCTAATAAAGTGAATAAAATTGATCAGTACAGGGTATTGTTTTGTTAGGCCTTTAATGATATAGTAATTGCTTAGAATTTTAATGTCTACTTTAAAGTTTTCAAATCTTAGAATTTTATTATATACTGTACCCATTTCATCATAGACCTGTTGCTTAAAAATTAGACTCATGTTCACCCTTAGTTTTTAAAGCTCGTTAGGTTAGGATAAAATTGGTTGGGTTATATTGGATTGGGTTAGGTTAAGTAGGGCTTAGGGTAGATTAGTTAGATTAAGTTAGGTTAGAATAGTTATCCTCTCTGTGGATCTACACTGTTCAAACCTGTAATAAATTATTTTGGAAATATGAATACAGTACCCGGACATAATGATAATTAATATGTTACTATTGTCATTGTTATTAGGAATTGATGGATTGTTTCCAGATACATGGGGATGGAATGTACGTTAGAAAGAGGATTTTCTCTGAATGAGGCCGCCATTGCCCGCGATCTGCGCCACGAACGCTATGATGAATTAGCCATCAAGTACCAACGAGACCCGTCATTTGCACGTTACCGAACATCATTTGGACATTTTATTCCTCTTCGAAAATCACCTAAGTATTACATGAAGATCCATTTACTTGAAGTTTATACAGTGTTGATATTTTGGAAGCATTGCAGTGGGTGAAACAACAGGTACAGTACATAGTGAACTCCCTCGTGTGAAGCAGATGTGATATTTTGTGTAAGTGGTCTGTGTTTAATTGTCATTTAACAACAGATATTACCTTCACATCCTTAGAAACTTGTTCACACCTCTATCGCCAGTATTAACCCAATAACTGCGCCATTTGGGAAACAACAAAAATATATGAGAAATTAAATTAAATATTTTTTTCTTATGAAGTAGAATACTACATCAATTTAGAAGCCATGAAAACCATGTGGAAACTTTGTGCTCATCATGGATGGTGAGTTATGAGTCTGTGAAGTTAGGTAGAGTAACTGACAACTGTTAAGCCCTGGTGGTTGTGATGCAAGAGGTGGTTGTGGTGCAGCAGTGTGTTTTTGTGGTGCAGTGTGGGTGGTGAACCAGGCTGTGGCTTGTAGGTGTGGGTGAGGGGCCACTGAGGGCAGGAGAAGGGTGAAGAGGTGCAAATAATTCCAGATCATTCCAAGATGATGATAGCAAGTTGATATAAGGCTCCACCAGCCTTGTGTCTCACTCTTGAGTGTCTTTAATTTTAAATACTGTGTTGGGTATATACATGATTTTATTTTTAGCATATGTAATTGACATTTGAAATTGAAACTTACTTGTACAAACTTGCAAAACATTATACTGTACAGTACCTGTACTACAATTTGTATTTACAAATATACTGGTAAGTGTTTAAGGAATTTTTAAAGTTTATTTCCTAGACATACAGGTATTTACTCTTGAGTTTGCAATAATTTATTCTTAGCTTAAATTTGAGCAATCTCGTTCAGCCAAAACAAAGCAATTACAGTACTTAATGATTTCCTTGTAAATTTCAGAGTGAAGGATGAAATGCCAGTAGACAAAGCTGGCTTATACAGCTTCACCACCTTGTCTTGGATCACAAACCTCATGTGGAAAGCATATAAGACAGGTCTTAAGGATGAAGATATTCCCATATGTTCAAAATATGATATGTGCCTCTATAATGCTGACAGGTAATATATATCTTAGTTTTGTGGCTCGTTTAGAGCTTTGAATATAACCCATAGAGTTCAGGTACTGCCCCTCTCTCACCCTGTTGCCTTCAGGTAAAGTCAAATGAATTAATGGCTGACTCAAGACCTAGCTCACCTTACTTTACTCTTATATCTTGCAAAAGCAGTAAATATTCTTATAAAGTTGTAGACAGATGCAGAATAACAGAGTATGGAAAAAAAGTTTGTCTTACAACTACAGTACTCTGGTGGGTGTTTCTCTCTACTGGCAATAACATTATAATATACACAATAATGGCCAGGGATGTTGGCGGTCAACATGGGCTGATATTTGGGTGTTGGCTGGTGGCAGTGTTACCATGAGGTAGTCAGTGGGTCGTCTTTACTTATATAGTTTTGTTTTGTTTTTGTTTTTTACCTTTACAGATATTGTATTTATATACAGTACAGGGGTATCTTAATTTCCTCCTACTTTCCTAACTTACTTGGTGGAAATTGATGGTGTCTCTTGATGTTGGCCGTAGCCGCCTACAGTGCATGTCAATAGACATTAGCTGTATGATAGGTGCCATGGCATATGAAAATAGCCCTTGATAATAAACAACATCTTCTCCAGAAACCTTTTATTCATATACATTACAGTACATATTGCACGTAAACACAACAGGTCATGTATTTATTGAGCCTTTTTGGAATTTGCAGGTTAGAAAATTTGTGGAATGAAGAAATTAAAAGGAATGGAAAAGATGATGCTTCCCTGCAGCGAGCTGTGTGGCCGTTTTTGAGAACCCGTCTCCTCATTGGTCTCGTTATGTTTTTCATTACTCTAATTTTAGGATTCCTTGGACCGGTAAGTTGTTTTGATTTTTTTTTGACAAATGCAAATTTAATATTTATGCATTTTGATATTAATATTGTGGTGGAATTTAGTGAAAAATAAATAAGAAAAGACTGATGTTGCTGCCATAAAATGAGGATCGTCTTTAAATTTAAAGTTTCTGACAGCAAATTGCATAACCTCTAGCTCATATATTTAACTTGCATTCAATATACCGTAAAACCCAGGTTATCTGGCACCTACGGGGATTGAGAAGCAAGACGCATGTACAGTACAGCATATCTTAATTTTAGTCAATACATCACTATACTGACCTGTACTAGGTCCAGGACAATGTACCAGTCATCAAGTTTCAGTGAAAATATTTAATGATAAATTTTTCCTCCTGTCATAGAGCATCAGTCAGATACTGAGGTCTTGTTTGGTATACTGTAGTTAGAGAAGTATTGGAGGTGAAATTGTGCAGCTTTTTATTCATTTTTACATTGAGTAACAAAAATTAATCTTCTTTCACAGACCATATTCATGCGCTATCTAATTAATTGGTTATCGACGGATGATCCTATTTCCTATGGAGTGGCATGGACACTAGGTCTTTTGTTTACAGAGTGTATGCGTATCATTCTCTTCTGTTTGGTCTGGTGCATCAACTATAGGTAGGAAGCCAGTCTTATTTTTTCTTGAGTCAAAAGTAATATTTGATTGTTTTAAATTTTCAGTTGTATACATCTAATTTTTCACCTTTAATATTAAGATCTGTGATGATGAATTAATGGGTCAGTAACAAGGTTTTCAGTGGGATTTTTTTGTGTGTGTAATAAAACCTGTTTTATTTTATTAGCTAATGAAGTACCAGTAATTATGTAGCCAAATCCTAACTTGGGATTTTGTAATGCATTCTTTCATTTTGAAGTTTTCATTTTATCCTTAATCTAGATTAAGTGTATTTAAAGGTATTTTTGTATACTCTACTTTAGAAATGGGATTCGTTTGAGAGCTGCATGTCTTGGATTGGTGTATAAGAAGCTAATGAGAATGTCAAACTTAGGAAATAAAAGTGTTGGGGAGGTAAGTACAGTATTGTAATGCATGTGGTACAGTGGACTCTGAATAATTCATGTTAGTGTTAGGGAGAATTACTTTTAGTACAATATCTATGTGTTAGTATGGTTTTTAATGTACCTGTATTATATATGATACTTATTGTTTATTAAAGCAGTTTTGGAACATTTTATGGGTATTATTTGGCATCTGAAACCTAAGTAATTGCTGTATTTCCATTTAAATCAGTTAAACTGAAATTTGCAATTTGATAATTGATGATGTCTCCTGGTACCTAATCCATGAATTATTGAGACCCACTGTACAGTACTGTAGAAGTACAGTAATGTACATTAGGTCTTTTATGTGCTTTGCAAGATATTTATTGTAAGGAAAAGTAAATATCAATACTGTATGTTGTAATGTAGATGGAGACTCATTTAGGGAAGTGGAATATTTTGATGGTTTACTCAGAACTCACCACTAGTACTTATTACATATCAACTGATACTCAATTCATATTGTACTATTGTTTTTATTTGAGTAAGAAGTGTTTGAACTAACATTTATATTCTTTATTCAGGTGATAAATCTATTTGCCAATGATGCTCAGCGGATATATGATTTAGTGGTAATTGGTCCACTAATCGTTGGAGGTCCCTTGGTGGCGATTGGTGGAGTGGTATATATTCTGTGGCTCCTGGGACCGTGGGCTCTGTTTGGCATGGTGGCTTTTCTTCTTTTCTATCCATTCCAGGTAATGTTTTTAATGTATGACACTTTTAATGAACATAGTGTATGGTGAGAGTACTGGGGGAAATTCCTAGTCACTCTTGAGAAGGTTGGTAGTAAAGATAATAAAGAGTTAGTTATTACTGGTGTATGCAGTTGTGTTTGGAGAGAATATTTAAATGATGATGATGGAATGTCTTCTCAGTCATATATCATTGATTAGTATATATTTTACTGCCAATATTAATTCTTTTACATTTTTTTCTAGTATGGACTCTCGCGTTTAACCGGATATTTGCGTCGTCGTACAGTTACCGTGACTGATGAGAGAGTCCGCATGATGAATGAACTCCTCATGTGTGTGAAGTTTATCAAGATGTATGCTTGGGAGAAGAGCTTTGCTTCTACTATTTCAGGTACTGTATAGGTATATTAATATTGACCTGTACATTAAGATTATCAATATCGATTTGTTTAACTCTTAGCCAGGCTTATTCACCATCACAAGATCAAAAGTTCTACCAAGCAAAGATATTCCTCTGAAGTATTGAGACTCATGGTTTTCACTGATGTACTGTTTATGCAGTACATGTGTGACTTATACTTGATCAGGTGTTCATATTCTCACCACCACATCAAGCTGACTATTGGGGATTTGAATATTGGTTACTATATGCATGTATAAACTTTCATAGTCCTCTGGCTACTTGTGTGACTGCTCATGACCTCCCACTGTGCTCTGAATTTAATGTTAGAACACATACTACAGGTACTTAATTTTGTTTATAATCATCCAGTTTGTCTTTCTTGTATACAAAATATCTCAGTGCCTATATGTAAACACGATTGCTGTTCTAAGTAAAATTAGTTTATCTTTTGGCAGCTATAGCCAATGATTACACTTTTCTCGGACAGAATGAAATATTTTCCATATGAAACACTTCAGAGATACGTGGTCGTGAGAGACGATTACTAGAGAAGTCGGCATATGTGCAGAGCATCAGCCTGGCTATGGCGCCAACTGTACCAATAGTTGCTGCCATTATTACTTTCTTGGCTCACATTGGTGCTGGGTATAATCTTACTGCAGCTCAGGTAATGAAGTTTTGAGTTTTTTTATCTTGAATAGTTTGCCAATAAGAGATTCTTTATATGCATCATGTTGTGATAGCAAGAGGTAGCATAAGGTTATCATAATTTCATTTACACATTCAATCATTTTATGAATCTTTTGTCACATTCAAGAGTGCAGGTAAACACTGTCTTATTCAAACTTAATTGCCTCATTTTATGTATGATTTGTTTTCTGCACAGCTCAGTACAGTATCTTAGTTATGTCACAGTTTATTTGTGAGAAGTGAGAATGATAATAAATGGAAAGCACAGGGTGAAAGAGATTTGAAAGAAATGAGAAAAGGTTCTGATAATTGATGAACTGAGGAAAGACTTGGCCCTGATCATGTCATTAGAGGGGAGTATCCTGGAGGAGTGAAGCATTTACACTGTATCTCTGGTTTTAGGAAATTAAAATGTATCCATAACTCTCAGCAGTTCTTAGAATGACTTTCTTCGTGGGTAATAATTAAACGAAGACCCAAATTTGCCATATATTTTACAGAAAACCTTATCTCTACTTGGCTTGTTCTATTGTGCATCTGTCTTTAGAATCTTAAAGTTTTTTTTTCTTTTGGTGTAAAATATTGAATTCTTGTAAGAAAGTGGCCTCACTACACAACAAATAATGATAGAGTAAGTAAAATTGTCCTCAGGTTTAACAATTGGATAAGCATGTTTATAAACTATGCAGTTATATAGTTCAGCATTAATATAAACAATATAGGTATACGGTGCACGTAGGCCGTGGGAGTATACAGTTTCCTGTGTGCCGAGACAGTGCAGGTAAACAGTAAGGCTGTTTCCTGCTGTTAAGATATGATTTACACCATTCAACAGATCCATTGCCAAGAGCCTGCAGTTTTCACCTAGTACTGTATACCCTGATTGACTGTGTTTGCAAGTCTAGCATTACCATACCTGTGTAATTTTCCTGAGCTGTCTGGGATCTGATGTGGTCAGTGAGATGGATCAGACTGGTGACACTTCATCAAATTTTTGGTTGTTTTAGAATCATGATAAGTATAATTACTAGTAACATGCAGTAGACTTGTATTATAGACCCTCTTGAATATCCATTGACTTGTAATGTTTAGAAAACACATTTGTATGTTTATATGAGGTGTTGCCAAATTTAGTGATGACCTTGACATGTATGTAGTATCTCCAGAGTCGGTAGAAGAGAACAAACTATATCCAGGGATGCCCAGTCATTACCAGTAGCAGGAAAATAAGATGTATGGTATATGCTGGTGGTCTTGGTGTTGAGTGGGGAAGTATCAGTGATGAGCTGGGGAGGCGGCTGGGCCCTTCATCACAGTCACACCTCCCTTCCTTGTTCTTTCTTTCCCACAACTAATAAATGCTGCACATCATTTTAAAGGCTGTTTTAGGTGCTCTACTTTTTACACAGATTTTGACCATTCTACAGACTCTGGGGATATTGTTACCACAGAAAATGGATTTTCATGAACAGTAAACATCAAGGTCGTCACTATGTCAATAACGCTCGTATGTATGCGTTTATACAGTTAGAAGCAAAGTCAACTTCTTTTGCTTTGGCCAGTTGGGACAGACCTACATTCATTGAATATTTTTGTGACTACTGTACTCCTTATGCATTCTTTTCAGGCTTATTCTCTTCTCATGGTATTCAACACAGTCATAAGAAATGGCTTCTCTTCTTCAACTTATTGTTTGCTTTTAGCACAAGGAAGAATTTCTCTGATTCGTTTTCAGGTTAGCCTTTACATTTAGTTTACTCTATCATTCATGTTAATATAAGGTACAGTACAGTGAAGTATCTGTCAACAGAAAATCTACTTTACAAAATAATTTATTTTTTGAAAGATTTGAGCATTTTAAGAAGGAAATTTAGGAATAAACATTAATTTTCTTTCATTGAATTATCTACATATTACTTGAGAGTCATTGGACACTCAGGCAACTGGTTGAGGGATGGTATGCATAGTGTGGTGTGGTATGAGTGACAAGCTTAATTTCCTTCACATGAGTTTAGGGAGGAAGTTACATGGAGATTGTAGGAGAAAGATGACTCATTGAATGCTTATTTATAGACTTTATAACACTGAGTATTAGAGAATAATGAAATCAGTTATTGTACAGGTACAATATTTACAGAAACTAATAATGTACCCAAACTGACCCAAGTACCTTTACTGTACTCTGGTTAATTAGTATTACTGTACATGGTTCCTTTTGACACATGCTCTTGATAATATCCACTTTATGCAAGTATTCATTTTAAGGAAGCTTCTTGGTCCCAAACTTTTTGATTGACAGATATTTTACTGTACAATTCTGCATTGTGTTGATTGACCTATTGACTCCAGTGCCTGGCTTTGAACCTAAGTTCCATAAATCAATGAATCAATGTACAGTACCACAAAGTGTTTCTTACGTCTTATAACAGAGCTTTATTTTATTTTCCTAATATCGGTATGAAATTCAATGCAAATCACATTTTATGACTTGGATTGTTGCAACTGACTGAGGCAACACCTTCCACAAAAAACTCCAGAGGGGGTATTAATTTAATGGTAATTCAAATTAAATCAAATCAAATAACTCACACTAAGCATATGAACTTGGTCAGGTAATGTTTATTTACTATACGTAGCATCTAATTATATACCTGAATCCAGTTGAGCAGTTGACTCAAGGTCCAGTATGGGTTCTTGTTCACTGAAGAGGTAGAAGTATGAACCTCACCTTTATGGCTGAAAAGGTTTAAGAGTGTATGAACCTGAATCCTTACTGGATCTTGGTTCATGGTGTGAAGTGTTACTGTTGTAAGTGACCATTATCTGGCCTTAACCACCTTCATTGTGTGATCAACCATTAAATTATGTACTGACTAAATGAGGCTCAAAAGACATCTAGTGGTAGGTGTCTCTTGGCTCACCTGTTACACTCCTTTGCTTATAAAATGAGGCATCATACTACAAGCCTTCAGTTTTGTTCTTGGATATAATATTTTAAGGTGAGAATGTAAGTATGTACAGTATTTATCGGGTAATTCATGTACCCGGTATATATAAAACCATAGTGTCTCTTTATGTGTGTGACTACAGTACAGTTGTACCCCGCTTAACGCGGTTTCACTTAATGCGATTTCTCATTTACGCGGTGCCTCGCCAGAACCGAACTTTCACTTAACGCGGTTCATCTACTCATATACGCGGGAAGCGGCGCGGGCGCGATGCGCACAAGGTCGCCCAGTCATCAAAACATTACCGAGTTTTTCACCCGCCACCCACCACAGCCGGCCCAAGTCAGTGATAATTATAGTGAGGATATGGACTTATATGGACTTTGAGGGGTTTGACAAAGAGGCCCTGCAAGCCTCTGTGTTGGATAGTGATACAATTGATACAAGTGATACAGGTGAGGGCCAATAATCTGCCCTCTGCCTCGGAACCAACCCCCCATCCCCATGTGTCCAGCCATCTTTTCTACTATTGTAAGTGTTAAAAAACCTAATATTATTGATATTTCTCTTAATTATTATTTGTGTGTGCATACCATCATAAAGTTAAGATAGTATTTTTACTACAACATAGTTGTGTGTCGTCAAAAAGTGGAGTTTGGGGGCCGGGCCAGTCTCTATTGGAATTAATCCCATATGTTCTGTTGTTCACTTAACGCGGTACCCTGTGGGTTCAATTGACCGCGTTAAGCGGGGTGCAACTGTACGTGTATTCCTGTGTCTTCACGAGAGGCTTGTGTGAGAACTACCACCAGTCATCTGGGGCAGACCTGCGATGCATTCCCAAGGGAGCTTGTAGTATTTTTTTTTTTCTTTACGGGGATAAGCCCACCCGGGCACAGGTTACTGACCCACATCAGGGCCTGGGGGGCGAAAATATTATAATAATAATAATAGTAATAGTAATAATAATAATAATAATAATAATAATAATAATAATAATAATAATAATAATAATAACAATTATTATTATTATAATAATTAATAAATATTAATAACAAAATACTCACAAAAAAAAGAAAATATTAAACAATCATTATCATAAATAAATACAAAATCGAAAAAAATAAATCAAGAATGAGAAATGATAAACATTATGTATGTTGTATTGTCAAAGTAAGAGAAACAATTGAAACCCTGCAATTGTGTGTAAATGAAGCAGAAAGTCAGATCAGCAACCTGGGACTTGGTCACAATTTTTGTGATGCCATATGGCAGCAGGGTCTACCATTAGACAACACATTATGCTTCCAATATCTTCCCAGGCGGTAGTACCTTCCTGTTTGGTAGCTGCTTAGTTTAGACAATGGCTATGCTTCACTCAGGAATTGAGTTTACAGATGATTGACACCTCTTGAATCACTCAAGCCAAATTATTTCAAGCTCCAGCTATTGTCAGTATATGCTGTTACACTGTGCCTTCCAGATCCCAGGTGGACTCACCTAGATGGATGAGATATGGTTACATTTTGTTACCATATACTTTACACTATATAGACAGTATATTTATTTTCATTTGTAACTCAGCTCAGATTGTGGTCATATTATATTAGGATAAAGTTAGATTACATTTAAAATAGCTTAGGATAAGATTAGGATTGTCTCAAGGAAACAGGGACTGGGGCAGCTGCTGAGTTGGTAGACACAGCATTGAAGGATTTTTACACAGTTGATACACAATGAAAAAAATGTATATAGCAGAATGATAAATTTTGAGAAAGTTTTAGTGTTATGAAGGGAGTACAGTAGCAGGCAAATGCTAACATACATAAATGGGTTGAACTTGTGGAGAGAATGGCTATGGGTAGAAAAAGTAAAAGAGTGTGTTTGATGTGAATGGGAATACAGATATTAACTGAAGGAAAGTTAGAAAGACAAAGTGGAGGAGTGTGTATGTTTGATGGATGTTTTGATAAAGAGGAACTGGTTCTAGTACATTTTCTACTCTGTCGTGTGCTGTGGGAAGACTTACCGGCTTAGATGTTTACAGAAGTGAAATATCTAAAACAAAGTGTATTCAGTAAATCAGAACAGGACAGTAATATATCTACCCAGTGTACAGGATAAAGATGCATAATGATGATGACCACATTCAAAAGGGGGTTATGTAAAGTTAAGAAAGGCTTCATGTTTAGGGATCAAAATGTAATACTGTACTAGAGAATATTACTAGAAACTACAAGGAAAATGTTACACGAGACAAATGAAGGATTGACGCATTCTGAAGTCGTCTATTGATGTTAACATAATTATCAAGTTGACCTGTGCATTGATATCAACAAGCTAGTCTCCTAAGGTAAGTATCAACAAATCAGATTTAAATTACATAAAGTTGAGACCTACTGTATATGCTAAATGGGTGTAGGTAATGTTCATTTTCTTTTGGAACAACACAGTAAGATTTCACAAGTTGGATCATTTCTTTACAGCTAGTACGGAATGATGTGATCCACTAGACCCAAGTCAGTAGGTAAATTGGTGGTGGGAGAAAACATAATTATACACCATAGAGACTTGAGTCAAGCTTCCATGTATGGCACTATGTATGAATGTTTGTTTATATGTGAACATGTGCATACATATAGAAATATATATGTGCATATCAGTGTGTGAGTGCTTGAATGTACTGTACAGCCATGGATAAAAGCTCCAATACATACTTGTTTGAAGCTGCAGAGAGCCTTAAGTAGTTACCACAGCTGGGAACCTCAGGGCAACCAGGCTCTAGAATTTTTAGTCTAAGGCACATTATAGGACTTGTATCTGTGGCTGTACATGTCAGTACGTATATCTTGTTTACCTGTGTGTTTCTGTTTGCATGTGTTTATGTGTGTGTTTCTATTTGTCTCTATTTTTCTTTTATCTGTCCAGTGTTGGTACAGGTGTATATTTCCATTTACCGTTTATACTATCTTACATCTTTTATAGTTTATATGTCTTTCTATGAACTGTACTGGTGTTTGTTGTCCATCGGGTTGTCATCAGTTTTATCTCCTTGGCAGCATGTTCTCACTTTATCCCATTTTATCATTCAGTGTTATTAGTAAAGTTGCTGTAAAACTCCTTCTCTCAGCCAGTCATGAAGGATATATAACCTACAGTGGGGTCCTCTATTCTTTCTTTCTCATTTTTTTATACAGCAGTGACGAGGTCATTATCTGAAAACACACGTGTCTTTCCTTGATGTGAAAACAAGTCGTAGTGAGTAAGTATCGGTGGTTATTGTAATTTCTGACTGTTTTTTGTAAGCATGTTTTTTTTACATAGATAACCGAGTTATCTTTATTAATTGATTGTTTGTCGTAGGCATGGTCGTATTTTGGACTGTCTGGGATATTACACTTAGGTATGGATTGCATCACCTTTCCTGTACCGGGCATTCGGGCTGGACAAGTCTCTTTAAAGAGATATGAGGTATATTATATGGAGTAGCTTTTGTGTAAGGATATGATTGGCTCCTGTGCTGGGCTGTACACAAAAGTGATATGTAGAATTTTTATGTGTGTGATTTTATAGAAGTGTGATGTGCTGTGTGGTGTACTACAGCCCCTGGGACACTTATTATTTTGAAAGTGCTGTACAGTACTCTAGTCTATTCCTTTACTCCTTTATCGTATGTTATACTGTACTGTATGTATGGTTTTGTGTGTGTGCGTGTATGTGAGTGCATACTTATACACGTGATGTTCTTTCCTGTTATTACCAACTTGTATTCTTTAACTGTCATCTGCTATGTTATGTGTTCACACTGCTTACAGGTCCAGTACTGTACTGCCTGTGTGTTAAGGTCTCTGTTTCTTCATCTGCAGTGCTTAAGCTGGAAGCTTTAATGATTGGTTCAGTTTCTATGTGTGTATATATTTTACCTAGAAAAATTTGATTGAAGGGCTTGTAAGCACCTTGCTTCATAGAAGAACCATACATGTAAGATATTAAAAAATAATAATTTTTTTTCTAGGGTATGTCAGTGATTTCTTATCTCTTGGGAAATGCTCGTTCATCATTCAATATCCTGAGGTTTTCTATTAGTGCCATTGTTGAGGGCGCTGACTCTTTAAGGAGGATTAAGGTGAACTTGTCGTACTGTTTAAGCATGTTGCCGGTCAAGAGTTTTTGCTTCTCCTTATTTTATTTCACAATAATAAGTTATATCTTTCATGCCTTATTAGATGATGCTGTACTGTACTTAATCTTAGAGTAGTTTTTGCTTTATAGAAAAGATAATTAGTTTCTTTTTGGTATTCGACGTGATGGCCGCTACTTTATCTGGCATACTGTACACTCCTAGGGTGAAAGAAGGTGGTTGTTGCTTTATGCATCTCAAAGTTTGTTTACTTTATACAATACTGATACTTTAACAAGCTTATTAACTGCAACTGGTAGTAAATATTACTTCTTGAGCTACAGTACTGCATATAAGTCACCTGTACTATTATTTATATTGTATATCTATCTACTGTACTTAGTTGAGAAAAAGAAGAAAATAAGTAATTCAGTATTGCCGAACACTTATTGGATACTTCTTATGAAACTTTACATTCAATCAAAGCTCCAAAATCTGAACACCATGGGACCAAGCAGTGTGTGGATTTCTGAAAATGATGCACTATTGAGTGGTGTAGAGTCCAAATTATGGTTTTGGAAAAAGAATTGCTTTTAAAGTGTATTTGTATGTAATGAATATAAAGATATACTGGACATATAACTGCAAGGATACAGAATTAGAATACTGTACTGTATAATTTTTTTTGGTAAGTGTTATATTATGAGATATGAGGTTACAGGCATGCGTGTAACTGGTATGTCACCATTATGCAATTATTTTAGTGAAACTATCTGGCATATCTCTCACTACTGTGTCCAGGGTTTAACTCCTGGCCCGGGACAGATGAGTGTAGAGTTAGCCATACCAAGCATTGGCTTCCGTTCCCTGTCAAAGTGGTAAATTAAAGGAGCCAGATATAGGTACCCCACCATGTCTCCATTGCTTAACCCCCTGTGTCCAGGATTGCTTCTGAGCTGAATAAAATTGACTGGCCCTAGCCAAATAAAATATTAAAAGTGACGTCCTCATACAGCATCATGATCTGCTGACATTGCTTCATGCAATGATTTATGCTTGCTGTGCTTTTGTTTGTGTACTGGGAGCAAAGAAATTTCAAAATCTTGTCCCTCTGCATTTTGATATAAATTGTCTTTTCCAACACCATGATGTTGAGCAAAATTGATCTCTGAAACACCATTGACTAATTTTAGTAATATTTCAACTTTTTGATTGATAGTAAGAGTAATATCCTTCATCTTTGCATAATTGCAAGCATCACTCTGACTTGGAATCCATTACATTAAGGTAGAATTTCTGAATTAAGAGGATATTGCAGCATCACTGTTACAGTGAACAATATGATGCAGCAGACCATGAAACATTGACAGTGTGGGCAGTGCACGAAATAATAGCAGCTAAATTCCTAAAGTCACACTTGAGTCTTGACACACACTCTCAGTCTGAAATGATGGTGAATCTTGAGTGTTCCAGATGCTGTACAGTATATGGAAGAGAAGGGTATAAATATTCGTGAAAGGCAGTCAAAGATGAGAAGATGGGGGAAAGGTCAACACAAAGTATTAAAGAGAATAAGAAGTTGTATTAGAAAGAAATGAATAGGATGAGATGGCAAGAGAATAAATGGAGATGGTAATAAAAAAATGTAAAGTTTAAAGAGAAAAAAAGTGAGAAGTAAGGAAGAGGTGAGACAGATTGTAAACGAGCTTAAGGGTTGTAAGGATGGAATTACTGCTAAAATCTATAGGGATCGAAGGATTGTGGAAGATATGGGTGATGAAGGGAAAAGAATTAAAGAATGTTTAGTTCTCCAGTGTGAAGTGAAGGATAATAAGAGTGAATGTTGAACTAACAGGTAGATATCCCTCACTTAATGAATGGGGTTAGGTTCCTGAAAAAACATTTATATTTAGGTAGTGTTGACCCCTGGTGACCTTTTAGACATTTGTATTTTTTAAGGGAGAGGGAGCAGGTAGTAAGAGGTTGTTGTTGAAGGATTAATCTTTAAGACACTGCTTGGGTCTTTATGTGTGTTGTTGTTGTATCATAGCAAGTCATTTTTTATGGGAGGAATAACTCAGGTTGTCATTGTGTGTGTACTGTACTGTGGGTGAAGGTGTTATCTGTAGTCATCAAGTTCTGTGGAATGTAATTTTATCATGTATGTTGGTGATAATTCACCTGAAGTTGTGGGTATTGTCATCATGTATGTGTAATACTGTACAGGTACTGTACATGTGAATGTTGATTTCTAGTTTGAAAGAGTTGTATTAATGGTTCTAAAATTCTTGTAGTGTGGTGTAATGTAGTTGTTAATGCATGTGTATTATTGTCTTAATAACTAACATGGGTCTTTCTAGTTGTTTTGTCTTTAGAACACAAAAGCTTATTATTATTATTAATATAGCTCTGTACTAAAGTTTTGTATAATATTTTGGACCTTGGTGCAAGAATGACCAATGTCAATAAAACAGCTTTCACAATGATGATGTTGCTTAAAGTTAGCCATGGTGATGGCTAACTGAGTGTAACCATTACTGATAAGATAGTGGACTGATACATACTGTCTAGTAGTGAACCTTTTAACTGATCTGAGCACTGATGTGGTTCAAACAAAAATACAAAAGAAATTGACTTAGTCTTTGTTACATTGAGGTTCAGAATTATTCTAAAAAATTCATAATTAAATAATAAATAATGTCATTATTAACCTATGACTTAATTCATTGCATTAAGATTTAAATTCTTTCAGTTTGGGAATGTATTTTATATCCAAAGCTTTTAAAGTGTGTGCCTACTGTATGTACAGTATGAATTTTTTACTTGAAGAATAAATGATGTAATTTGTATAAGTTCTTTAAAATTTTGAATTTCTTAACTTAATATAGAAACTTGCTTCTTACATAGATCATAATAATATTTGTTAAAAAACTAGCCAAAATCGTCATCCAAACTCTCAGAATATCCTGCTAATGGATGAGCTGACTCCGTATGTGGAGAAGCCACAGGATGCAGATACTGCCATTATTTTTCATGATGCTACACTGGCTTGGGATACTGTGTCACTACATAAAAAGAGAAGGAAGAAAAGAAGGTAAGATCCCCCTCCCTTTCTTTCCGTGATTACCAGTCTGTGCTTTGACCACATAACTGTCAATTGTAAAATTACCTAATATTTATGGTTAACTGTCGTGAGTGACATGTGAGATTCTGACACTATCAAAGTGGAAAAAGTATTTACAGCAAGCAGTCTTCTCACCCACGTGAAGGACTGAATATCTGATCCCATCTGATCTGGTTGACTCAGAGTCCAGCGAGGCCTCAGGTCAGGGGTTGAAGAATTTGACCCTCGGCACTGTACTCACTCATTCTAACCCTTTTGTGGCTTTCTTCTCATGCTGATAATTGTCTTATATACTGTAATGTTTATTGGCCAAAATAATAATATAAAACAACTTAACACTTTCAGGAAAAAAACTGATTATGTGTCTCCGGCTGATCGTTTATTACCTAAAGTGGTAGACCTCCAGTATAGTGAGGTTCTCTTTGGTATCAACTTGTCTGTGAAGAAGGTGAGGACATTTATGACTCCTAAATTTCTTATTAATGATCACTGTGTAGCAGAGCTTGAGTGTGGAAAAATCTAAATTGATGAGGGAGGACATTGAGGTGAAGTAGGTTATTGAGATCACTCCATTGTTGTTAGAAGGTTGGGATTAATTAGAACATTGAGGCATCTAAGTAATACACATACACCGTCATACGGTATAGTATACGGATTTCCTAGTTCCTTAAGTGAAAACATCTAATAAACTGAGATAGATTACTAGATAAATTGATTACTTTTATAACTCTGCTATGTTTCTTCCTTTAGGGGGAGCTGATTGCAGTGTGTGGAGCTGTAGGTGCAGGAAAGTCGTCACTCGTCAGTGCTCTGCTCGGCCATATGCGTCTACGGTCAGGAGAAGTTTGTCTAAGTGGGGCATGTGCTTATGTTGGGCAGCAAGCGTGGATTCTTAATGCCACTTTCAGAGACAATATTCTTCTTGATGAACCCTTTGATTCCAAGAGGTGAGATTTTGTCAGGTTTTCAGCTGTTAGTTGATAATTCCCTTTACAGATTATTGAATTTATTACATTGAAAATCGTTCAACAAATACAAAATCATCATAATCCCTTTTATAATTGAAAAACTCTGTCAAGGTATTTTATTGTTATGCTTAAAACTAGACAGTAGGTGATTGATATCAAGCCACAAGTGTGGATATAGAGTGAAAAGCTGCTTTTTAGATTTATGTAATATAATATACAGTACAGAGGAAATGCAGATACTGTATTCTTTGATTTAATTTGGTGTCATAATTGTTCACAGATACTACAGAGTGATTCATGCTTGTAATCTAAACCAAGATGTTGGAGCAATGCCTGCAGGAGACTTCACAGAAATAGGCGAGCGTGGCATCAATCTGTCCGGTGGCCAAAAGCAGCGCTTGTCTCTTGCCAGAGCAATATATGCAAATAAGTATGTTGTATTTTTATGACCTTGTATCTCTGTATAGGCAACAAATCTGGAAATGGTCATATCCCAGAGCTCCAATTAGTGGCTGCTTGATTTTGATGACATTATAAAACATGATTTCACTTCTCTATTAAATGTATCATAAAAGCAAAAACGAGTTTTGTGAGTAGTGTGAAAATAACATCTTTCATTGCTTTAATTCACAGACAAGTGTATTTATTGGATGATCCTCTGAGTGCTGTTGATGCTCATGTTGGTAGCCACATCTTTCAGTGGGTCATTAAGGGAGCGCTGCGAGACAAGACAACAGTTTTTGTCACACACCAACTTCAGGTACCTTTGTCTCCCAATAATCGTGTACCTGTCACTGTATTTTTCCCACACAGAGAATATGTAATATAGGATGCATCTCTGAACACTAATTTGGGATAGATGATAACAACTTTCTTAATCTTCAACATTATTTTCAGCATGTATTAATATAATTTTGTATTGTCTGTTCATAATTTAAAGTATAATTGTTTTGAAATGTTGAAGGTTTTGAATGAATTGAGAAAATTTGAGAAAAACAGAGAAAGGAATATAAATTGAGGTAGAGGAAAACTTTCTTGGGATATATGAGAGAAAGGGAAGGTGAGACCATTAATGGATTATAAAGGTTGAATTATCTGAGTTCTTATGGTCTGGTTTGTTAAAGTAATTATAATGAGTAAAATTCTCATTCTTGTCGTTGATTGATAGTTTGTGACTCCTGAGGTGACAAACCAGAGGGAGGAAGGACAAAAAAGAACTCTGGAATTTTCTGTAAAAAGTTTATTAATGTACTTTTATTTTAACAAAGAAATTGGCATGAAAATTCATATACAGTGGTCCCTTGGTTAACAAGCGCCTCGGTTAACGAGATTTCGGTTAACGATTTACCTTCCATAAGATTCTTAACTTCGGTTAACGAGCAATCCCTCGATTAACGAGTTTTTTATGAGCCGACTTCAACATGTTTTCGCTTGCATTTGGCGGTCCACCAGCTGTAGTATTAGTCCGCCAATACAGTAATCGGTTTTAGGGCTTAAATTCCTTACTATTTTAGTAAATATCAAGAAGTTTATACTATTCAATAATTTTAAAAGTTTAATATTAACTTTTTTAGTCATTTTAACAATTATTGAACATAATTGAAGGTAAAGAAACTAGTTTCTGGCATGCCATCCAGCCTGTTAACACACCAGACAGGCATTAGTCTCTCTCTGTTTTCAGTGGAGGTAACATCTTGCTTGAGACTCTCTTCAACTAAATGCTTTTTTTCTGTGTTTCCAAGCAAATTATTGGTCATTTTGAAATGTATTTTACATATTGACAATATATAATGCAGTGCAGTATTGATTTAAAGAAAATAATCTTGAATTACACCAAGAGAACTAAAATTTTATGGGTGAAATGGTGCCATGGGGTGACTTCTCTTCCACCCCAATGCCTTCTCTTCTCCCTTCTCCTCCACCCCCATTCTAATTCCCATCATCATCATCATCATCATCATCATCATCATCATCATCATCCAGGAGCCTTCTACATACACACCTCAAAGTAAGTGTACATTTCTACCTTTTTTGTTGAATTTAGGCAATTTTCGGTGAGCTGGAACCAATTACCCAAAAACCCATTGAAACAATGGTTTCGGTTTACGAGTTTTTCGGTTAACGAGCAACCTGCTGGAACGAATTGTGCTCGTTAACCGAGGGACCACTGTACTGTACAGTATTATTGTGACTTAATGATTGTTTATGCTTTAAGTAAACCTGTTTAAATCTTTTACTGTGTATGATAATTATTTTGTCATTTTAAAACTCTCTTATTAATATACTGTCTATTTGATATCCTCTCAGTACCTACCACAGTGTGATCGTATAGTGTACCTGCGTGATGGCCGTGTATTTGAGCTGGGCACACACACCAATCTTATGGAAGCCAATAGCGAATATGCTGCATTGTACAATACACATATGGACACAGTCCAAAAAGAAGAAAGTGAAAAGTAAGTTGTTAATTCTTTTTAAAGTAAACTAATGTATATTTTGCTTGTTTTTTCATACCTGTTGGTTGGGGACAAGAGCACATATGCACCCGTCACTTCATTTTCCTTGAATTATTTAGATGTATGGCATCCTTTAAGACTGCTGAGTCATTTATTTATTTATTTATTTTTTTTTTTAAACTTGTGAACGTCGAAAAGAAACATCATAACCGTGTACTGTTGGTTATGTTGTATTCATATGTACAGTGTTAATAAAATTAATATGCTCCGTTATTTTATTCTCTGTTTCTTTTCTACAGAGAAAAGGAACCCATAAGAGGCTCACGTGTACGACAAGACTCGGTTCTGTCATCAGATAGTGGAAAAACTAGCGCACATGACAGTAGTCCAGAAAAAAGCCTTAAGGATAACACACAGAGGAAAGCAGCAGAAGGTGGGCAGTAACACTAATGAGAGTACTGTAGCTTACATAATATATGACTAAATGACAAAGGAATACTGCTTCATAATCACAAGAGATGAGATTGTTCAGGGTTGAGTTTGAGGTTTATTTTTAGGTTAAATTTGTTAAAAATATCATAAACCCAACGTCCCCCTTTACATAGTTGTAAGAAACATCCTTAACTAATATACAATTCCTTAGGGCTTAACTCTGTATCTGCTCTTCACTACAAAAAATCAGATTTTTTTGTAATCGTCTTCACATTCATTCTGTACCTACTCGTTTCTGTATTGTTTGTGGGTCTCTTTCAATAGCAATCTGTACATCTGTCTGTGGTCAGTCTTTGAGTTTACTATTCCTGCCAGAACTCGGTGAAATAAGTTTACTTTAATCATTACTGTTTATTTGACATGTAATTTTGTGACAGGTGCAGGTCAACTTATAGCAGAAGAAAAGCTTGATAAAGGTGACATTCCAAGGTCTACATACCACTCGTACATAATGGCGGCCGGTGGATACATCATTTCAACACTGGTCATGTTAACCTTCATTCTCAATGTTGGATTTACGGCCTTCAGTTCCTGGTGGCTCTCATATTGGCTTTCAACAGGAAGTGGAGTAAGTACAGTACTGGTATAACTTGTTTGGTAAAAGTTACTTTTCAAGAAGAGAAAATGGGGTTTTGTTTAGATAACTGAAAATTGAGGTTGGTAAAGAGTGTATGGATCATCGACGACAGTGGAAGAGAGGGGATGACTGACAAGGAAGTTGTACGTTGGAAGAGAGGAAATGATGGATACAAGGAGAAGGGATGTCCAGGATGAATGTGGATATAATGCAATAGAGGATGTATGTGTGTGATTAAAGTATAATATATACACTAAATAATAATAAAGACGGAAGGCGATATATTTCAGTGAAAAAGAATGAGTAAATATGTGCCTAACTGTTAGTGGTTTGAGGAAGTTGTATTTAAGCATCATAGTTACCAAGTATGTAAAAGAAAATTACTTTTACCCACTTTACTGAATATGTAGAAGTTGCTAATTTTAACCGTCAATATACAAGATTTTCCCGAGTTATTTACAAAAGTAGAATACAGGAATGCCCTGGTTGTGTAAAGGTTATAGACTCAGTCATGTTTTTACTGTGAGCCTTGCGTACTTTCTATGGCCTTTGTGTGTCTTCACTGCCAGTACCAAAAATCCAATTATAATTATGACAATAATAACTGCCACTGAAATTTTCCAGTAATGATGATTTACCTCACTTGTTTTACAAAGACTTGATAAATGACTCTTTCCGTTTTTATCCAAACAGAAAGATGAATGCATAAATAGTTTGTAAGTGTCCTTTCTTTCTTGAATGAAACTGTTCAATGTTCTTTCATTCATTTCTGTCATCTCCTCAATATATTTTAAAGTGTTACAGGTACAGTGTGTTGTGTGCAGTATGTTGTTTTGCATTTTCAACTTTTCATTAAATATTGTAAAGTAAAATATGAGACTACCACGTCCATGTTCATAGAAGTGATTACTGGAAAATACAAATGTACCTTGATCATACTTTGAACGTAGCCAAGTCAGTCCAAGCCTTTCTATGTGAAAAAATGAATTATTATTGACCTGTAATAGAATGGCACTGTTTACCACCAAACTCTCCAGTGCTAGACTCTTGATGGTATTCCCTTGGAGTGTAAAATTATAAGTGTCAGTATCCATGGAGAGGAAGTTGAGGGCACCAATGTAATTACCCTGGATGATGGTCTCGTGTGAATCCTGGATGATGGCGCCAGTTTTTATGCTCCCAATGTTGTTATTTTCCAGTACAAAAGTATGGACCTGATAAGGAGATAAACTGTGTGAAATTTCATCGTAGGTTTTACTATAAATACAGGCCATACAAGTTAAGTTTTCTGACATGTTTTGCAAGGTACCTTACTCTTTAGTTTGATCCAAAATATATACAGTATGATAAATGCAGTTATTACACACAGTGGATGCGACTTACGTATCTCGACGATAAGTTGATTTCTCCGAGCACTTTGATATTGCTGTTCCTTATGGCTACAAGATCCAATTGTTGTCCTTCTTGTGTTTGGATGAGGATGTCAATTTGATCATTCCAGTTCATCTTTTCCAAAGAAATATTCTTCAGTTTGTGGGCATGAATGTTTAGTGATCCTTGCAGGGTATCAAAGGTGCAGTGGGACAGCCTCAAGATCCTGTAAAATAAATTTGTGCACTGTCTGGTTTGTCCTTAATATACAGTAGTATTACACTTAGTACAGTATTTACTAAATCTCATTCAATAACATTTTTGCTCCATGTGTGCGCTAGTTTAGAAAACTGAACCTGAAATCCTGGTCTCTAAGCGAGCCCATATCAGACAAATTCCATCCCTTCCCTCTTCCCTTGAAGATGCATGAATGAGTAGAAAATTGAATGAGGCTGATCCTAGGTACTGGGTAATGGTTGAACACACCTGGTTCCCTTTGGCTGTAAATCATTTTAAATTTACAATAGTTTGTGTAAATCATTTAAAACTTACTGTAGAGGGGAATTGTATTGTGTGAAGAAGTCATAGGCCAGATGTACATGATCTATGTCGTGAAGGTGTAGTGTGTGAATATTGTTGAGGGAAGTAAGAGTTGGACCACTGAGGTGCACTGTTGAACATCCACCAATCCTCCAGTGTTGGGTGTTATCTGGAATATTGATGTGCCTGTTCTCGTAACTGATGTTCTTGTCCTGTACGATCAGTGTCTGGAAAGAAAAAATTTTTGGTATTACAGTAGAACGTCGATATAGCTGAGATACAGATACATTCCAAGAGAGGTCGCTTTAAACCGAATTCACACTAAATCGAAGTGTTGTTTCAATGGAATAATTTAGTTTGGTACTCGAGAGAAACACTAAATACCCCTGCACTAAAAAGACTGAAAGTCTACCCAGATGCACCTCAGCCCATCTCCTAGAATAAACAAAAATATCACTGAACTGACATGGAAGACTTTAATTAACATTGCTGGAGTTCATATAAGATAGTGATTAATTTGAATATAAACATGCTATAGTTTGCGCTAGAATTTTTTTTTTTTTTAATCATTTAGTACATTATTTTGAGTACATGTACAGTACAGCTTTGCCCTTAGGACAGTGTAGCGTGCCCAGAGAAACATTAGGCGCAAAATTTTAAATATGATGCGCCAGATTGACTCGCGCAAAATAGGAAAGATTCGCTTTAAAGTAAAACATTGTCCTTAATTGTGGGTGTCGCTTTAAATCAATAATCTTCAATTGAATCTCTCTAAATTGATGTTCTACTGTATATTTATAAAAGTAATTTTGATTAATATTTAGTACAGAAGAATGATAATGGTTTTGAATGTCGGAAGAAGAGAAAATGATAGTTCAAGCAGAATAAAAGTACTATACTGTTTAGCATTACTGTAATATCAACTCTAAATTACTGTGGTTCTACAGTATATTAACTTTGGAATGAGTAGATATTACTGTGATTTTATAAATCAACAGAAGTTCAATGTTACTGTCTTTTACTGTACAATATAAGTGTCGTACAGTTATTGTATTGACGTTTACGCTGCATGAGAATACTCTACAGTTATTGTAAATGATTTTTATGATATTGTGATTTTTTCCTACTTGGCATGCACTACTGTAGTTATCTGTTAAGTATAGTATAGTGCTTGTACTATAAATTTACAACTGGTGAAAAAGTAAACCATAACTAAATTACATACATAGAATATGACTTACATCAGTGACTGAAGGACAGGAGCAGGTGAATATTGACTCACCAGTTGTAATGGATTCTTCAGCACAAAACTGTTCAGTGGCTCCCACATCAGCCAGAACAAAGTCTGTTACAACATAAACCACCACCAGTAGAGAACACCACACTGTTCTAACATTTAATGGCCACATTTCACAAGTACACTGGTTCTGTATGATACTTAGTTTTAGGTTACTGGAAGTGAGTCTGTATTCTTGTGCTATCTCCCAAGTGATAAGATAAGAGTCTTGGCATTTGCAAGTTGACGACAGACCTGTGTTTGGTTGTTGGCATTCATTTCTTATTGTTAAAGTTTTTTATATGAATGAAGATCTATAAAAGTAGAGGTTTTCAAATTTTTGCTATTTTAAATGATGTTACTGTACTTGTACTGCATTTGAATTGCATTTTCCATCAAGTTTATATGTGTATGTATGTGTGTGTTGTGTGTGTTTGTATGTTTGTATGTTTGTATATGTGTGTATGTGCTCTCCTACTTTTTTTATATGAATTTTATCTATAGTAGCTTAGTATGTATCCAGATAACACTTTTATGTTAGTTCCCCAATATTTTCCCCATAAGCAGGTCATACTGCATATAGTGGTGTATACACTGATTACCTGCTGGTCTAAGGAAATTGATTTTTCAGCCCTGGTTCTCCAGAAGATTTATCATTATCCTTGAAATATGGACTGCCTCTAGCCATCACTCGTGTCCTACACATTACACTGATATTGTTAACACCCGTCATTTCGTGAAATGCCCTCTCCACTCTCCACAAACACCATTATGTTTCATCAGTATCCTATTAACTTTCTTCAAAATGCTGTCATTCTTCATTTACTTGTGTTGATGTACTGTAGCAGTTCTGGTCGGCCACAGTGTTGGGGGTTATATATATTCACCCCCCTTTTTACTCTGTTCTCTCAGCCATAGAGTTCTTACCTACAGTGCTTGTTGCTGGTGTTGTGCTAACTGGTTCAGTACATACATTAGAATTTGAGTTCATAATTAAAGGTCTTTTCTTTGTTAGGAACCCTTGCCAGTCGTTTCTTTATATCATGTGCAGAGATTTTCTAGTACTGTACATGTAATTGATAATTTACCTTTATGACATCCAGTATAATCTGTGTAATGATGAATTTCTTTATTTCAAATTATTGATATTTCTTGATACACTTTACAGAATACAACTGTGGTAATAGGGAATGAGACCATCATCAGTGACAATATAGCTGATAATCCTGACTGTCAGTTTTACCAGACTGTTTATGGGTGTTTCATCCTCATCATCCTGGGAACTTCACTTATCAGAGGTTTTGCATTTATGAAGGTGTGTGTCAATACTAAATTGTAATGTTTTTATAATACATGGTCTCAAAGATTTGATTATTGTTAATGGTCTTCACACGCACACTCACGCACACACACGACTGTAGACTCACTTCTTTAACCCACCAACTAACAAGCTAACACCAATAATATTAAGCAATTTTTAGTAATATAATTTAAAACAAAACTCTGGATGGATGTTATTTTCACCTAAAGTCAGGTTGATTGGGTAACATATTCTTTAATCTTTCCAGCATGCTTATGAATGGACCATACACCTGACTCACTCAGGTTAAACATGCGGTCAATTAGCACCAGGTCGCTCCGTTATGCCATTACTGTTTATCATGCCATGGGTCTAGCTTTGTCCTTACTTATGAGCATCTAATATGATGCTGTATACTCTGTACTCTATAGTTAAACTCAAAACTCTAAAATTTAAGTTTCCACAAAGCTCAAGAATCCACACAGCTACAGATTTAAAGAGCTCTAAATTCTGTGTGCTTTTGCCACCCACACAATCATTGTCTTGTGACCTATTGCATTATATTGTTTGCTGTGACTGTAACTTCATTTCTTTTGTAAGAATAGATTCCATGCTGAAAAACATGGTGTTGGAAAGAAAATTTATTTTATATCGCGGTGCATCATGACAAAATTTGGAAATTCTTTGTGGAGTGAAAGAAACAAGGGTGTAAGTGACCAAGCATAAATCATTGCCTGGAGCAAAGTCAACAGAGCTTGATGCAATATTGTTTGAGGGGTGCCTGCTTCTGCCTCCCTTTTATTTGAATAAGCCTAACAGTTTCACCATAACTTGAAAATAATGCATGAAATGATATGTAATGGTGACATATTGGCAACAGCTTTATACCTGTATAACACCTCATAAAGCATATTATAATGGACGTATTATCACAATTTGTTATATTATACACATTATATATTTAGTTTAATTTGTATATCTTTAAATTTATTTTATACAAATCAGTACTACCGGTATTTAATTTTTTTTTATGCAAAATACCATTCAAAATCACATAACTTCCAGAAGTGTGCACATTGCTTGGTCCTAATGTGTGTGGATATTTAAGCTTTGAATGTATATGTATATTTTTTTCTAACAGGCGATTTCTGCTTATATCAATACACTGCCTTATGCTCACCAAACATACATATTTTCTTCCATGCACACACACTCTTTATGCCAGCGTTGTACACTTAATTAAATTGAATATAATGGATAGTCTTCCACCGAAAATATTTAGTACATGAAAGTAGTAGTGGTTTATGCTTCTAGAGATACATTTCTATTTTAATTATCCATTGTTTTGTGTTTTAATGATTTCCAGGTAACATTAGTGGCTTCAAGTCAAATGCACAACCAAGTTTTTATGAAAATATTTCGCAGTCCAATGAGTTTTTTTGACACCACTCCATCTGGTCGCATCATAAACCTTTTCTCTCGGGACATGGACGAAGGTAAAACCACTGGCACAATGTTTGAATTAGTCTTAATGTAAATACCAAAATATACTTGACTTGTGCCTAGTTGTCATGTCCTTTCATTGTCATTTTAAATTTATTGTCAGTAATAGTTTGGTGGAATAATAGTTCATTTTTGTTTCTCTTTTCAGTTGATGTTCGAGTTCCTATGACTGTGGAAACATTCTTGCAAAATATTTGCTTGATCGCCAGCTCTCTCATATTTGTGTGTCTTGTCTTCCCACACTTCTTACCTATTTTACTTTTACTGGCAATTTTATTTTTATATATCCGTAAGGTCTTCAGGTAAGTTTAATTATTGATTGTGTGTTATTATTACATATCTCAAACACCCTCCCTGAACACAGTACATTATGCCATCGTTAATAAGATAAAAAAGAGGCTCTTGGTCAATCGAATTACCGAAAAGTCCGAATTGACCAAGTTCTGAATTTTTTTACATTATTTGACAATTTCCAAATTTTTGTGTTTGTTGATTCGTTTGTTTTCTGTTCACTTTGATCATATTGTTCTTCATTATTTAAACCAACAAACATACTCAGTTACCATGCCTTGGCTGCCACATAAAATATTGTACAGTATTTGAAATTAATGTGCAAACAAATATTTTAATGACATTTTTTTCAATGCTTATTACTCGCCAACTGTGGGTTCCCGAGGTGTGATTTTGGTGTTTTTGTGTTATTCTGGTAGAACATAATTAGTTGAACCCCTTAAATACCAATTCCAAGAGAGAAGTGAGTGTCATATTATAGGTTCCCTTTCTTAACTCTTATTTCATATTGATATTAACTTGTGTGATATTATTTATTTGATTTCTTACATTATGTTACTTTCAGGATAGGAATACGGGACTTCAAGAGACTGGAAAATGTATCGAGATCACCCATGTTTAGCCATGTAAGCACAACTGTAAATGGTCTGGCTACTATCAATGCATATGGCAAGCAAGAGATGTTCACAAAAAAGTAAGTGTGCTTAAGTTTTGAGGCTTATGGATACAGGCTATACATTGAAGATGTTTACTATTAAGAATGATATGATTTTAGAGTATAGTAATGTATCATATATATTTTTCCTTTAGATCTTTTAAGTTTAATTTAATTTTGAATAAATAGGGTCATCACCATCAATGTTTTATGACCAATCTTTTCTATAGGTTTATGGTGTTGTTTGATGAAAACTCAAGTGTGTTCTACCTCTTCAACTGTGCTATGAGATGGTTAGCTGTCAGATTAGACCTGCTGGCTTGTAAGTGCATCATATGGTTTGGTTCCTTCTGTTTCATGAGTTATTGTTATTATTTGTGTATAATTTGTTTTGTTTTTTTTGTCAGTTTTAAAGCTGGATCACAAATACAAAACTTGGCTGAAATTTGGTATTCATTTATACATTTATTTATGTATTTGAAGTTTTCTCACTGTAATCCATGTTCATACTAAGCCTTCTATTTTTCTAATGTTTTATCATAATATGAAGCATCAGAGTCTTAACTTTATTACTGCCTCTTCTTGAATATATTTTCTTCTTGTGATTGTTGAAACTAAAAATCCTAACCAAAGTGTACAGTCTCTTTATTTACCCTGCATGTGTATTCCTGAGGAGTATATTAGTTGCTAGCTGGGCAGTGTTGATCATAATACTGTATAGTACACATCAGTATTGTCTACACCCACTGGAGGTAGGCATTAAGTTAAAATTTTCTTTCGCGCTTTTTTCTTCAGAAGCTTGTCCATTTTCTCGCTGTGATTTTTTTTTCATGCAAGGATTCTGTGCTTATGCAAAAAAAAAAATTAATCGTGCATTTGTAATTCTGTTTTGTTAGTCTCCACATTTTCTTATTAATGTGGATTGATTTACTGCTTTTAACATTGAGGTTTAGTCTCATTATTCCTTTTGCTGTCATGGCAATGCTTAGTCCTACATAATGGAAAGATGCTCATTGGTATTGTGTCAGTCTTCCTGATCTCACTTCCTCCTTGTGTATTAAAGGCTTAGTATACAATGTACTGTATCTGTACTGCCCCAAACAGGTGGTCAGGCCTGTGGATCAACTTTCACTTTTTTTTTAGAAGCAAATATTCTGCTTAAAAACTCATAGTATGGTTGGGTCTCTTTATGAGCTCAATGTAGTTGATGTCCAGAGCTAAGGATCTTCAGTTCTGACTTGTTTTGAGGAGTAAATGTATCAGGTGAATGAATGTATTATAAACATACATTTAATAAACATACATTACAACAAAGGGGATGGATGGATGGATGCCTTGGTGAACAGGTTTGACAGCGACACTTGTCTCTTCTCTCTCTAGCTTATTTATACATCAAGAAAAAAATGACTATAATGCTTGATATTTTATTTCTTATATTTATACAGTATTATAGAGGTAGTTGCTGTTGGTAGCCACCATGGAGGGATGATGATCCTTAGAATATTCTTTGGTCAGTTAATTTTAATGTAGAAAGGCTGAGGTAGATGGAGATGACAATGCCTTCAAACATATTTGCAGTGTTGGTAACATCGAGTACTGCAGTGCTGTCATTGTTGTTAAGAGGATCAGTGGAGGAGTCATATGCTGGTCTGGCTTTGGCTTATGCTGCACAACTCAGTGGCATCTTCCAGTACACTGTAAGACTTAGCACAGAAACTGAAGCAAGATTTACATCAGTTCAGAGGATAAACAATTATTCTACAGTATGTATAATTTGTTGATGATTTTATAAAGTTTGAAAGTTTAAGTCTTAAATCATAATCTCTGTCATGAGGTGGATTATTTGTCATATTTTACACCATTTTATTTTTAACAGTAAAGATTAGTTTGATTATTTATGTTTTATTTGGTGGTTTTGTTTAATTACCATACTTAATAACTGAATCATTTTGTGTTTATTATATTTATAATTATTTTTCTTGCATGGTAGAATACAATCATTTCACTCCATTTATGTGGGAGTAAAGTAAGTGTTATAGAGTACATTAAAGCTTTATGATCAATTACCACTGTTATTTCTCAGAACAATGTTAAATAATGAATGCATCTTTACCCAGGGTCTGGTGTCTGAAGCTCCAGCCATCATAGAGTCAAAACGTCCAGAAGTAACTTGGCCAAAACATGGGCGTATCAGTTTTCGTAAAGTACAAATGAAGTACCGAGAGGACACGCCTCTTGTCTTGAAGGGTCTCACTTTTGACATAGATTCAATGGAAAAAATAGGTTTGTTTCTTGATTCTTTTGCTTGATGTACAATCTTGTTAGTTTTCAGTGATAAACAACCCATTCACTTGTATGTTTTATTTTACTTAGTTTAAAATTCTCAGATTAATTTCTCAGTTGCCCCAAAAGTTTTCCAACAACTATCAGAACATTAGCGTTACACCAGATAGTTACTGTGACCCTCTTTAGGCATCTATATTTTAAGGGTATTGGGAAAAAAGTCAAGGTAGTGGGTGCAGTATATTTGTTAATGTTAATTTACCATTGGGCATAAATGTCATGAATTTGTAAGGCCACAAGAAATTATTTCCTGGAAGTTTAAATTTTTCAGTTTCTTATAGCAAGAGAAGTCCATGGTAATGTTTTTCACAGAAGAATGAACTGTTCCTCTTTCTTTTTACAGGAATAGTTGGGAGAACTGGCTCAGGGAAGTCCTCACTGGGAGTAGTGTTGTTCCGGCTAGTGGAGCTGGCTGGTGGCACTATTCGTATTGATGGTATAGATATCTCCACACTTGGACTGGAGGATCTTAGATCAAAACTTTCTATCATTCCTCAGGATCCTGTGCTTTTTATTGGAACTGTCAGGTAACACCAACACACTATCTTTGATCTTTAGAGAGTAGAAATGGTATGCAGTCATAAAAGAATAACTTAACCTAATGCCCTGTTATCATTCACACAGTTCACTGCTTCCTGGATGCTCTTACCACTTGCTTCTACAGTAGTATGTCCTTCATCCCATTCTTCCATCATTGTCTTGGTATTCCTCTTACTATCCACCTCTGAAGTCAACACTTTTTACCAATCATTCCTCCCATATATCGGCATACCCTGATCAGCTTTCTGTTTGACATTTCATTTATTTTCACATCCCTTTCTAATTCCTGTATTTTTTTTTTAATGTGGATCTTGTTTACCCACACAGTATTATTCTCAACTTGTCATTTCCTATAAAAGATGCAAGATTTATGCAAGAGTTAAGTAAGAGTATGATACAGGTCAGTCATATGAATGGGTATCTCATTTTAAGTGTTGGTTAACTGAAGATTTTGTTTTACAGGTATAACCTAGATCCTTTTGGATGTCACTCTGATGAAGAAATATGGGCAGCCTTGGAGCAGACATTCATCAAGGATCACATTTCCAATCTTGACTTGAAACTCAACGCACCAGTGGTGGAGAATGGTGAAAACTTCTCTGTTGGTGAACGTCAATTGATATGTATGGCCAGAGCCCTCCTGAGAAAGAGTAAGGTATGACAACAGTCATGAGTGTAAATACTTTGTAAACAGTAAGAATCATGTATGATATGTTAGTACAGTCCTGAAATATACCAGTGCTTTATTGTCTGATGTGAAATAATGTGCTTTGTCTGTCTACCGTTGGTTGATACTTATGGATGAGCCAAGTTGGTAAATGTATGTGAAAGAAAAATTAACCATTCATTTAAAATTCATATATAAAAGGTACCTCTTTCAATTTGATCTTTACATACTTGATGTTCTAGTTTAGCTTTTATTGAATTTAAAATTGTGTTTTATGTACATTGCACTTTTAACTTATTAACTACTGTAATTGTTCCTCTTCGACCCCATTAATATGACAGTAGGGACTTTCACCATAATTCTTATATAATTTACATCAATTTTTTTCTCCAGATTCTGTTCTTAGATGAAGCAACAGCTTCCATAGACACAGAGACTGACCACAAGATTCAACAAACACTGAAAGAAGCATTTAAGTCTTGCACCATGATCACTATTGCTCACAGGTACAGTGTTGTGATAAGCTTAAAGTATTTTTATTAGTGTTTCATATTTTAGATAACTTTTTATAAAAATTCTTATCTATGTAAACCAAACCTTATACAGCATGAGAAGTTATGTTGTGTATGTCACAAAATAATGGTAATTGGATGATGTATCAGTGCACAATATTACAATGTTTTCTGTGTATCATTTCATATTTCTGTAGTGTCCTTACTCTTTCTTTGTTGGTTCAAGATTTATCTGCTACACAAGAAATATGTAAATTCGCGGACAAAAGTTCGCTCCTCGTGGTGAAGCTGATTCACGGGCTTGAGTCTCTGACTGTCATCTGGTGCGGTTGAGCTGTTTTATCTCTTTTGGGCTCGATGCTGCTTCAGTTTGGGAGGGAGTGACCTTTTGACCCCGGCTGTATCTACTAAGTTCACCAACTGTTCCCTTGACTTCATTACTTGTTACTCTGCATGCTCCTAAAGGAAAATTTCATTCCTGTGTAAGTTATATTTGTGGTTAACAAGGAGCACGACCATATTTGTCAGGTTTTAGGAGTGGAAGCATGGGAATGAGAGGGGTACTGCCAACAAAAAGGATATCAAAGACAAGGGTCATTCATTACCCCTTTCAAGTTGTCAAAAAAGAGGCTCTCGTTCATCATTACATGTAAACTAGAAATCGTGTGAATGGAAGTCGTAAGAAGTTTATTTTATTTCAGGTTGAACACAGTGATGTCATGCTCAAGAGTTATGGTTTTGGATGATGGGAAAGTAACAGAGTTTGACACACCAACAGCTCTTCTTGCCAATCCCTCTTCAATGTTTGCCAAGATGGCTGCTGAAGCTGAATCTACCTTCATATCATAGGGAGAAAGTACAAACTACAGTGTGTTGTTATCCATTTTTATGGTGAAATGGTTTCCCTTTAAAATGAATTTTACCCTTTGATTTTAGTATTCAATTTACTGAATACAAACTTTGTGCAATTTATTTTGGTCACAGCAATGAATTTAGAAATTTGGCTGTTAATTAAAAATTTTGTTTTACTAATATACTGAAGTTTAATCTGAGCACATGCTAGTTCAATGCCTTTATGAGCTCTTGTGTTAAAATGTAGGACTTTTATTGTCACTGGATATTTACTTGTCTCTCATCAGACTTTTGGGGGAAATCTTTATAAATCATTGTTAAAGCAGAGGTGGTGATTAAGGGAGACGATATAAGATTAGTTAATGAAATCAATATTATGTCATCAAATGTATGAAAGAACAGTGCTTGAATACTGTTGGATTGTTTGAAGAAGAAAAAATTGAAGCACAGAATTTGTGTTAACAAGATGTAATGGATTGTTAGAGAAATATTAGAAGAATGTGACTATGTTTCAAGGATTTTGGAGGCATGGTTGAAAAATGTTGAAGTGTCAGAGGAGTTTTGGACCTGTTTATGAGAATGTCTTTTTTTTTAATGTACTGTAATAAGAAAAATTGGAAGATAGTTGGAAATATGTTGAAGAAGTGAAGGAGTATCAAAGTGTGGAATATAACTGTCAGGGAAGAATTGGGTATGTATTGTGAAAAGACTATTGGGGAATTACCGGTGATGCGTTACTTGTCAGAGCTGCGTTGATGATGTTTAAGAAGAGGACTCCTGGAGTTATATTACACTGTTTAAGAACAGCTGGAGGAATAGTAGTGGTGTGGGAGATTAATTAGGTATTGGGATAATGGGGAATAGTGAGACAATCTTAGAGATAACTGAAACACTGTTCGAGATATCATAGAGAACCTTTAATTGCTTGAAGATGTAAGTGATATAGATGTTTAGAGGAGAATTGTGGGACAAATGCTGACAGGTTGTTGATTTTTATTTTATTCACCTATGTGCCATGTGACAATGACAAATTATTAGGAACTAATATAATAGCTAATATGTTATTAATATTTATATTTTTAATCATTATGTATCCCTTTTATTTTATGTATTTTATCATGGGAGGTAAGTTGTGAGTAACAGAAATAAACCTCATGGCAGTTAAGCTCTTCAAGGGATAAGTTCCAGTAATATCCTTTGTCTTCTATGATAATTTGATGTGAAATATCTTTATAATCAAATTTAATATGAAATAGATATTTTGTTTGGTATAGGTTGTATAAGTCAGTGTGTGCGTTTCTCTTATTCTGTTACTTAGTTCCAAGTGACAGCAAAGAGTGTGTGTGTGTATGTGTATATATGTGAAGCTTCACTGTATGTACAATATATACAGTAATTCAAACATTTGTATTTAGTTGTGGAATTGTAAACACTCATCTCATAGAAATCAACTTGAGGCAATAATTCTGTATAATCAGGGCTATCTTGTGATACCCAGAAGCACAACATTACCTTTCACTGTGTACGTCATGAGTGCAGTGGTGGTCATTGACTACGCAAAGCCTTATTTGACATTTTTGCCGGTCCAACAGGCACAGTATTCTGTTTTTATTGTCTATATACAGACCAGCCACGTAAAACAGGATTTTTTTTAATGTATACAGCCAGACCCCTTGAAAGGGTTGAATATGTACAAATATGGTTGTAAAACAAAATCCAGATACTATCCCTTCCTACTGTAAGGATGTACAGTATGTAAATTTAGAACTTAGGATAATGTTTTTTGCTCACATGTCGGCAAACTGTATGATTTATATCCATGAGTTACCCAACTTAGGTAAACTCCCTTTACTGTAAACACATTCACGAATTTGGTTTCAGTTCAAGTTGCCATCACCTACTGTTTGGTGGTTGTTATATACAAGTGACAGTTGAATGCGTCATGTTTTTTTCCTGATTAGTAAGTACTTTCTTGTACTAAGGTAGATTCTCAATTTTCCTTGTAGTATATACAATAGCTGCAGTTGCTAATTTGCATTTTTGTTTTCATCCAAACATTTTCTGAAATTTTGTCAAGTTTAAGTAACTCAAAATAGATTGTTACCATGAGTCGCTATATATAATATGTACATTTTAAGAATTATTGAATCGGCTTTTATACAGAAATGTAAAAATTTTAAACCGATTGAAAATACAGTTCTGCACTGTACATGGAAATCAGACTCGTTAATGCAGGCACTAGCTTTGAGGCACAGTATTAATGACTGTGTTTTCACCTGTGTCAGGAAACTACAATGAGCTGAACTTCTCAGATCAATGTGAGAAGAAAGTAAATCAAGTAAATAAACCTTACTAGGACTTGTACGAATTTCATAAACATACCTACTGTACTGTACATGGTCCCTCCCTCAAAATACTCTTCAACAATGAGATACTTCCCTGTTTGGAGTGGTCATTCACTTTAGTCCCCAAGATATGCTAGAGACTACCAGCACCTCCTGCACTTCATGTATCAAGAAAACCTGCAGTTACGTAGCTTATACTATAGATGGGTAAGAAGAGATTTAATATAAATTTATAGGCTCTCACTTCAGAGGTCATTACTCAGTCAAGTGTTTATATCTGGAGTTAGCTGATGTCCATCTTTCTAGAGGTCACAGTCTTTGGTTAAAGAAGCTGCAAGTACAGAAAATTGTCATAGCTAACCTTTTTGAAGCAAAAGTGAACTCTTGGATAACCTGCCAGATGGTGTTGTGATGGCACTGAGTGAGCTCATTTAAGACCAGACATGAACAATGGGTGCATGTTCAGATACATTCTAGGGCCAGTACAGTATTTTTCAACAGTGCATACCAGAGAATTAACCAACTGCCCAACCAGCTAGAGAGCTGACCAGTGGCTAAGAGGATAAAACAATACATAATACTTTATGCTCTTTGGTCTCCTGTGCATACTGTACTCAACTGAAGAGGTTGCCGGTGAGCATTGAAAGTGTTTTTATATAGTATGTAAGTTTCTATTAAAGTGGATGAGATTTCTAAATTTGGCATTCAGAATCAACTTTGGTAATCAGTGTGAATTTTTCCAAGTACAAAAGATATTGGATGACATTCATCATTCTAAAAATAAATTATTTCTTGAACTAATGTTTGCCAACAAGCAACTAGTAAAATATATTGGAAAATAAGTCAATACTGTATGTGTAAGTGCAGTACAAGTACAGCAATGTTGAGAGCAAAAGCAATATAAAAAAAAATATTAACGAGACCAAGTTTATTTCAGCATGGTCATGGCATCCTTGTGGTTAAATATTTGTGAGAAAATCGCCTCTGAATGAGGAAACAGGAGTTGTCTTTATCAAAAATTTTCTATTGACTGGAAGAACAGCTACCATAACATGTGACCAGAACCTGGGCATAGTGCTGGTGACAGTGCTCTCTACTGGTGATGCTTGTCAACATGGGTGCAGGCTGGTTGTGAGGATGGTTCAAAATCAAGACATAAGCAAAACCATCTTAACCATCGGACATGCTGTTGGGACATACAGGCCTTGACTTTTCATTGTCTGTGTTACCAAACTGCAAAAATTGTAAAACATGGAAGTGCTCTCCATGCACCACAGAGCAAGGAAGATAGTTTAGATAATGAATTTGTGAAAGTGGTTTGAAATCATCTCTGTGTAAATGTGAAGAAAATTTCCATGGTAGAGTTACTGCACAGTACAGTATATCCATAATTTATATTAGAAGTTTTGTTTTAAAGCTTGTATGGCACTAGTGATTACAAAAATTAAAACCATGAAGTTTGTCTATAACATGTGAGTAAAATAGAGAATCTACTGTATTAAAATAAATCTATGTAATGTATGTCTAACAAAGAGGGTCTTGATCCTCAGGAACCAAACCCATAATACAGTATTTGACTTATGAGGAGAATGTGCTCTGCCATGTACAGTAATGTACTGTACAGTGTTTTGATTGTAATAATAGTTTTACTTTTTTACTCTTATCCTCTTCACTGATTGGCTCGTTAGCTGCTTCAGTGGTGAAGAGGATAAAAGTAAAACTATTATTGCTATAAAAACACTGTATTTTTTAACTTACATTCCTCATTAAGTTTCTGTACTGTACTTACTTCTTATATAATTACAGTATGTGGCTTTTATGTTTATTTGTTTTTAAAGGAAATGAAACAAATTAATGACAGCAGTACCCTATGGGCCTATAGTGTAGTTATTTTGTATAAAAATGAATTTATTTTGATTAATTAATTTTTCATTGATCTTGTCAAGTTACAGTTTGAATGATTGAATCCCATTTAAGTAATTGCAGCTTCTATTACTAATTTTGATGTGTTTGTTTTTATTCACCTTCAAGGTACAGTACCAATCTACAGTGTAAAGAAAGAAAAAAATATTATATATATATATATATATATATATATAGATATATATATATATATATATATCGAATACACAATTACATAAGAATATGTACTGTATTATAGGAAAAGAGACCTTTCTCACGTTTGTCTGGGCTGGGCTGTGCTGGGGACTCGAACCCATGACAGCCACAAGGTACAGTAGAGTGAAACGCCGCCTACGTTGTACTCTACCGTACCACCAACACGTAAATATTAAGTCAGACAAATCGGTGTTTAAATTGACATTTCTTAATGGACAAGGCATGTCAATAGGAGAATGTCATTGGGAAAAGAAGTTTTATAAGAGGATGACTAGCTAACCTCAGGCCGGGGCTTAACCAGCACGGGGGGAACAAATTGGTCGTCATTGACATATAAACAACACAATAATGAAATACTCACGTGGTTCGTTCATTATCAAATAATTACAACTAGAATATATTTTAATTAAAGAGTAGCAAACTATGCTTAAAGGAATGAAATAATATGTAAATGTGTGTATTTATAAACATTGTGGTTGTAGAGTGTGAGTGAGTACATCATGACAGTCTTGGTCATGTACTGTGGTTAACTGGTCCTTCTTTATCCACTTTAGGAGTTACGTTTTAATTTTTTTCTTACTATCTGTGGCGTAAGATTCTACTGATGGTGTGTTTGAAGGTGTAAGAGCTTGATAAGTAAGTGAAGTACAGCACAGTATTAGATTTAGTGGACTGGGAAGTGTGACGTAATATAACAATGGTGTGATAAGACCAATGGAAAGGTCTTATTGTTATAGTTATTATCACGAGTATTGTCTAGGGTATTATCTCTCTTTTATATATTAAGGGTAATATTTATTGTTTTATATATTAAAGGTATATAAATTCTCCATTGTTTAGGACATATACTCTAGTTTGTTATTACTTAGTGTTTTATGGGAATTTAATAGGATAATGTTGTGAATTTTACTTTGTCATATTTTGGGGTAAGGTAATAATTTAAAGTGCTTATATAGGTAAATCAACAATTTAGAATAAGTTCTTGTAGATGAGAACTTGTATCTGTAATACTCAAGGAGACTGGCTCATGAGAAGGAGCAATGTTATCAACATTTCTTTGCAAGATTGTTTCTTTCTTGTATGTAGAATAGACTAAAAAAGGTGAAGAAATAGCAGCTTTTCTACTTTTGTTTTCCTTTTTTTTTTAATGTTTGGTAAAGGTGGAGCAGACAGCCTACACCAGGAGTTTTGTTATTTCGTTCATTTGGGTTAATATTGAGGACTAACCCGCCAGGGCTGCATAGCGCTGATGTGGCCGTATCATCTCACGTCCGGAAAATGCCTCAAATTTCACCTTATCATACTAAGTTCTTTCTGTTTAATATACCGGGCAAGTTAGGTAAGGTTAGGTAGGTTTGTTTGGTTAGTTGGTTGGTTAGGTCTGTTCTTCATACCCACAATGTTAAGTAGCATTTATTTTAAAAATATCCATTTTTTAACATTTCCACAAACTACAACAGTGTCCACTATAATATAACAGTGAAAATCCTGTATTTTTATTATTGTTTTCAATCAATTTCTCTCGCTGGTTAGTCCTATATAATTACCTTCATTTTACCACAGATGTTCTTTGGATGATAGTAATATAGTAATTAATAAAAGCTATATGAAACTGCACAGAACCTGACCTAACCAAAGAAAACTACCTAACCTTACCTAACTTCCTAGCCTGGGCATATTAAAGAGAAAGAACTCACTTCAATATCTGCTACCAATGAAGGCAATTTTCTTGAAGCAGCAGTATGATGTAATTTTAAAATTTTTGTGGACGTGAGAGTACACTGACCGAGCCGCTCGCGGTTTTTGCACTGAGACAGCAGATGACAACACGCGCCAACACAGCAAGTTTTTCGGTGGAATATAGTAAATAAATAATTAATTTCTTTGCGTACAAAGCTTGTAGAGAATTTTGTTTTAAAAAGGACAGAATTTTATGCTGTTGACCATGTTCATGTATTAGTTATACTGTAGAGGATACTGTTTCTTGTTTATCATGTACAGGATATTGATGATCACTGTCTTCAACAATGGCCGTGGACATTGATGCAGTATTACGGGAGATAGGATCCTTTGGAGTATACCAAAGAAGAGTCTACTTTCTACTGTGTCTTCCAATAATATTTGTTGGTGCAGGAAACTTGGCTTTTGTGTTCATCGCTGCTACCCCAAAATATAGGTACAGTAAATACATCAAGTCAAGTGTGTTCTTTAGGTTTATTGATGGTAATTGCCCTTCTTTGCTGTCTATAAGGCCAGGCTGCCATAATACATTCATCACAGCACTTTTTTCTTTTTCATGAAAACTTGAAATTTTTTGAGGGGTCAGAATGTTCAGTCACCCCTGGATTCAGTTTCATCTCTGAGTTTGGCCTGTGGATGATGACACCTGTACTGTACTGTTAGTTGTATTATGATAGTTTAAGGAATGCCACTAACTGTAGTACTGTATTAGAAATAAAATATTGTACATTAAACATTATACACTTGAAAGCATTACTAACAGTGAATTTCAATTTCAAACAGGTGTCTAGTACCAGAATGCGATGAAAACTTCAAGCCTCCAACATATGATGAACCTTTCGTCAACTTCACCATTCCATACAGCCAGAAATTAGGGAGTTTAGATGAATGCCACCGATATCAACGATTAAATACAAATGATTCTTGTAATGCTGAAGATTACAGTACAAATGTCACTGTTGGTTGTCCTGAAGGAAAGGTGTTTTCACAAAATCACAATATATCAACAATTGTGACAGAGGCAAGTGTTTACAGGCAAGTGTGGACAATGAAAGACAAAAGTCGTGTCTTGAAATTTGGTGAAAACATATGCCGAAGGGCTAAACTTTTGGTGCGCTCTGCCTTGTGGTAGGGGGCTCTCAGAATCTTTCACGAGTTATATTTAATCTTCGGACAAAACTGCGACACGACTTTTGTCTTTGATTGTACATAGTTGGTCTTAAGAGATGTGTATATAAGCTTTTGTTTTAGTGAACTTGTCATCATTAGCTTGGTAAATTATCTAGTTGTAAAGTGCAGATATTTTATATAGAAAGTTGTTTATTATAGACATAAGAAAGCTGAGATATTACAGTGCAATGAGGTACAGTATTTGGATTGACAATATAGTCATGTATTTAGTGATTGAATTATAAACTTTTTATAAATTTTTCCACAGTTTAATCTGACCTGTCATGATGCTTGGCAGACTGGCATGTCTCAGACTGTATACTTTGCCGGAGTTTTAGTTGGGGCATTCATCTTTGGTATCATAGCTGACCTGTAAGTTACCTCTGGATTAGGTTTTGATTGTGTTTCTTTTTTAAAATGATAAGTACTGTACAGTACTGTACACAGAAAAGGAATTGTATATTAAATAACTCGGTAGTATTAAATATTTTTTATATTTATATATTTCCTCTCTTCTCAGTTATGTTTGGAGACAATTGACTGACTACATCCTGTTGGAATCACTTTAAATTTCAATTTATCAAATTGGATTGTAAAGTCCATAAAATATGTATTGTTTTTGCAGTGATGTGATATAAAGATTACTGTAGTTCACTTGGGAAACTTTTCTAGATTGTATTATCCATGACCAAGGACAAGTTCACCATTCATTCAGGATTCCTCAGCCTTCTCATTGGCACATACATTATAAGTAATTTTTATGCATTTATGTTGGAAGTCTTTTTAGGTTTTATCATGTACATGTATTCATTGTTCCTTTTTTTCTTCAGGATTGGTCGCAGGTTGACATTAATGTTTGCTCTTGTTGCTATGGCAGTATCGGGAGTAATCACGGCTCTCGTCGCTGGGTTGATAGCATTTAATGTGGTACGCTTCATTAGTGCCATGGTGACGACTGCAGTGTTTCAAACAGCTTTTGTTTTAGGTATGTGTGAAAGTACAGTATGGTGTTTTTTGTTGCATTAGGGATGGTTCTCTTTAAATTGTACAGTTATAGTATTATTGAACTGTATTTTTACATCATACTTTAATCACATGATAAAAATTGAACATCTGCCTAGGAGAGAAATAATGTTCTATATGATGTATAAAGCATGTAAATGCTATTTCAGGTGTGGAATATGTGGGTCCAGAAAATCGTGTCATGTGTGGAATCCTTGGGGAGTATTTTTATGCTTTCGGGGAGGTGTTGCTCGGCCTCATGTCTTGGTGGCTTAAGGGCTGGAGGATGACACAACTAGTCATATCGGCCCCAGTATCCTGCTTTATTTTCTACGGGTGGTAAGGCCACAGTAGTGTGTACCACAATGATGTAGTGTATTATATATTTAGGAATACTTTTCTTAATCAAGACATTCTTTCAAGGCAAAGGAGTAAAATTTCATATTGAATCAATGCATTTACTTCTAGGTTTATTCCTGAATCACCACGATGGTTACAAGCCCAAGGCAAGGAACAGAAACTTGTGGCTGCCCTTGAGAAAATTGCAAAAAGAAATGGCAAGAGTTTTCCTTACCACTTGATAAGGGTATGTTTGTGCTATTACTATAACCCTTCAGGTGGAGCAGCAATGTGTTCAAAGGGTCAAGTCCCCTAATATGTTGCAGTTACAATATCATATACTCATTGAAACATATTTGGAAAGTTTGTCTCCAAGTAACTCTACTCTGCCAAGAGGTGTTTCATGAATCATGTCTTCCAGGACCTTGTACTGTAGGTGTCTATTTCCCAAATGAACTGGACTTTTATCATACTTAAAAATTCATAAGTTGGATGACTTTAAATGTTTCTTGTCTTTCTTACCAGTACTGTACTAAATTTTACTTTTATTCTCAAACTGATCCCTGGTTTGTGATTTAGTTGAAGGATACCTCATATTATTGTGTATTTTCGTGATATTCTTTTCATAAGCTTTTTGCTAGAATATTTATTACAGTACAGTACAGGTATTAACATTACAATTATTTTTTTTTTTTTACAGTACACTAGTTAATATTTTGTGCCATATATTGGCATTGTGTGTTTTACATCCTTCATTGTTGAAGCCCCTTCCAAACACCAGTAACATGACAGTTTATTGTACTGTACAATGTTGGCAAAGGTCATTTTCTCACAATGGATTAAGCACTAATTTCACTATCAGCTTAAGCACCCAGATTTTTCTCAGGTAGGGAATTTCTTGACTCACTGAGATTCAGGTTATGTCGCAAAATGGGATTTCATTTATTTCCTGGCTGATATTCTCCCACACCTCTTGTAAAAATGAGAGGAAAAGAAATTGAAGGTTAATAGGAAAAACAAAAAAATTGAGTAAGTGAAGAATATTGAGAATATAGATTAATAAATATAAAGAAAAGTTCTAAGCCACACTGTAAAATGAAAAAAAAGAAAACTTGTGAAGGAAAATTAATGATGATGAGTATTGTGAGAAGATAATAAAATATTTAAAGGATTGAGGGTATAATTTGCTAATTTTTCCAACAGAATCAAGACAGTGAATATACAACGGATGATGCTTTACCTAGAGTTAAGATAGTTAAAGCTGTTTCCATGGTTGACATCTTCAAGACACCTCTCTTGTGTGTTAGGATGGTCGCCATGTTCTTTATTTGGTAAGAGGTTATTCTCAATATTCACAGTTTGTTTTTATATCTTGGAATTTTTTTTGTATTTTAAATGTACTGTACTTAAATACTAAAGTTATTTTTGTATTGTTGTAGCACAATGCTCTACCACAGACTAATTATTGGATTGAATACTGTAATCCTAAACAATGAAAGTGATGATATAATACAAGTATACTTCTTATATGGCTTGAGGTGCTTTCCTGGAAAGAGGAGCATTATTAAAAATAGCTCTGTATGGCACCATTATCTCTTGGTTCCAGTAGAGATGTGTTTGTGACAACACTGCATTATTTCAGTCTTTTTGGAAAGTAAAGGGTCCGTTTATCACTGCTCTTCATTTTTTATTATTAAACTCTCTGTGCATAATATAAAAAGTTATCTCTGATATTGATTGTAATTGAACTTACATCTCTTGTAATTGTGGCTCACCACCAGGATTGTTACGACCTTAGTATATTATGGTTTGAGTCTCCATGCAAGTGACCTGGGTTCTGGCGACAGCTTTAGTAGGCCCTACGTGGACTTCATTCTTGCGTCCCTTGTTGAATTACCAGGTATGCTCATGTTCTAACCAATATTCTAAGACTATTCATGAAGTGGTTACCTTGTAATAGATTTTGAAATTAGTTGAGGGATTTTCAAGGTCCATGTTTTGAAGGTGTATAATTAATTATCTGTCAAAAATTTGAATTTTTTATAGTGTTTAATATTTTTGTCAGGATATACATTAGCATGGATTGGCATGAGCTGTTGGGGAAGAAGAGGATCCTTGGCACTCTCTATGATACTTGCTGGCATATCCTGTGCTGGTGCAGGGTTTGCCTCTGGTAAGTTCCCAGTAAACAAATCTTGTAGGTTACTCAAACCCAACACTCTACACTAAGATGTCTAGCCTCGATATATAGCTAGTGCATTCTGTTTTTCATTATGAATTATTTGTTATTTTCTCAACAAGATAAATATCTGCTGAAGAAAAATAGACAATTAAGAATTTACGTTTATATTGGTTTTCAGAATACAGCCAGAGTTACGTGTTGATACCAGCTCTTCTTGGCAAGTGCTTTATTACGTGTGCATTTGGCATCATATATGTATTTGCCTCGGAGATCTTCCCAACTAGTGTCCGTAGCACCATAATTGGGCTGTGTTCCACATCTGCTCGCTTTGGTGCCATGTTAGCTCCCTTCTCCAATGATTTAGTAAGTCTTATTGATATAAAGTTCTGTGCCCCAATACTGGATGTGAAATGTATAATACTGACAGGGTTTGTCATGATTTTATTCCCATACTGCATATGGAGAGGGACATGTTTATTAACACCTGTCCATCCCTACACCCATATCTCCAGTAACTAGATACAGGTGTAAGATGGTGATTGATTTCTTTTAAAAATTTTCCAGTCCTTGATATATGGTCCACTACCCATGATAGTGTTTGGTGTGTTGTCATTAGTGGCTGGCTTATTGAATATTGTGATGCCTGAGACACTCAACACCTCCCTCCCAGAAACAGTGGCGGATGCTCTTCATCTTGGACGGTAAGGACAACCTCTGGACACTTGTAACTCTTACAGGATTGAGAATTATTAGAATGTCATTATAGGACCATATATCTCTTGTTTAAATATACAGTGATAGGTAGTCATAGAGTGTATTTAATATTACTAATATGAAAGGTTTTGTTTAAGTTTCAATTTGATATCTAATTTTAGTTAAGAGCCATCTGTATTGTTTCTGTAGCTATGGCTCAAGATTGATGAGTTGGCTATAGAAGTCGAACTGTCAATTTTGAGAAGCAAGAGACCAGCTATTATTATTATTATTATTATTATTATTATTATTATTATTATTATTATTATGATTATGATGATGATGATGATGATGATGATGATGATGATTATTATTATAATAACAAACCCTGCCTCAAATACTGTAACAATAATAACACTGGGATATGAGGAGCAGTTTGGTATAGAGACGTAATATGTGAGTTGCTTTATCAGTTTCCTAATTTCTTTCGAGACTGTTGTTATCCTTTCCTCATGGACCATATTCAATATTAGTTATTGTATTTGTGACACTTCATCCTGTTTTAACATCTTCATCTCCTTATTTCGGTAATACTTGACTATTCTTGCACACTTAAACCATCTATTTCCACCTAATATTATTGACAACTTCATCCTTTTCTCAAACCAAGTGCAGGAATTGTGATTGTCATATTTTTCCTGTTTTTCATCCTTTTAGTATGTAATAAACATGAGCCACATCCATCCATAACCATTTTTGCACTTGAAGTGTTGGTGTCATACAAGTGCTTTGTAGCAACTGAACGCTTCTAGTGACCTTTCCATACTAATACATCCAGCGAAGACTAGAAACCCAGTCAAGATAAACTTTGTGGTATACATTACACAGTCTTGAAATTAACCTTTGTCTAACATAAGAGAGACGAGTGTATCCAGTTAAAACAAATTGTAATTTCAGTCCTCTCTTTTGTACTCATCAGACTTACATCTGGAGTTTTTGCTCTTAGTTATACAGTGTGTTGAAACTTGGACTTGTTAAAAGAAAGGCAAATTATTACTATCCTTTGGTTTATGCTTTGGTAATCTTAGATATTGCAATTTTTACAGTAGTTTGTATTCTTCTTTAGTGTGCTTCCCTTGTCCTTCGAGATGACAACCAAGAAATCCAATATTCTTGAAAGGTAAAACCAAAACTCAATATGATCTAGCTGTATGGGTTGTCAAGTAGATTAGTACTTGTTATTTTGTGTCAGCTTTCAGAGCATGGGGTTTGTCAGCTGCAGTAGCTCACCTACAGCATTTTATACTCAAGTACTTGTTATGGGACATTTGCATGATGTAATGTTTTTGTTATTTAAGCCATATTTTATTTTATCTTTTTTCTAAACAGATAATAATTTATGTTTGAATTGCTTACCAAAGATAAGATAAGTAATTTATGTTTAAATTGCTTACCAAAGATAAGATAAAATTTCATCCAGTATTGTATTTACAGTGAGGTGGCATTAAGAATTATCTCCAGGCATCATTCAATCTAATTTTTGTGATATCATTACATGCATCATAGTACTTGTTTAAGTGGATGATTACACTCAACTGGGATCAAACATGATTATCATGCTCAGTTGTGTTTTGTTAGGGAATTGGCATGAAATCTGCTGCTTTATCCAGTTGGGAGGGAAGGTAGGAGCTGTAAGTTGCCACATGCAAGAGAATAGAAGGTTGTGAGACCTGTTGGTGGATGGACTTTCATAATATTCCCCCCAAAATTTAATTATTTTTCCCAAACTTCTTTGGTAGCTTGGAGGGATTTGTGGGGTTCCATTACCACATATGATGCCAAGTTTAATTGGAATAAAAGATTTTTTATTTCTTCTGACCAGTAGGTTGTTCTGCTTTTATCAGTTTATTTGTAAATGTTTCATGTTCCATGGACAGAGATGGGTACAAGGATTTACAGATTTTATATAAAATGTGTCTCTGGTTGATCAGAAGTTTTAAGCGACCGCTGTTATCTAACAAGGTTGAACATCAGTTTGGGAATGTGGTTTAAGTCCGGACTATGTGTTTGTGCGGCCCGTGGAGTGATTGAGAAATTCTATTTGATGTGGCCCGTGGTTCAGGTAGATGCAGCCAGTTAATGGTGAGTAAAGCAACACAGTATTTATTTAAAGAATAATCTTCACACACAATTTGTTACTATTTCATCACCTAAGAGTAAGTACTAACTACAAAAAGATAACAGTGAAAGAAGTATGTACAGAAAAGTCAACAATGTAAACATTTTATTTTGTGTGAGTTTACAGGCCAAGTTCGGCGAGGTCTGTTTGATGGATTAGGTGCTGTGTGGTAGCGGGTCACTTTAAAATTAACCAAAGTTGGGCAAGTTCAAGTTGGGTCACAGGCATTGGTCACACAGGGTTTAATTAAGTACTCCCAGAATAACACAAAAACACCTAAATCTCACCCAAGAAGCCCATGGTTGGTGAGTAATTAGCATTTGAAATAATGTAGGTACAGCTAATGTGATTTTCAACAAAATCTAATTTTTGGGCCAAAACTGTCGAAAAGGTAAGACCTACCCCTTGGTAATTTTTTGCCCAAAATATACTTTTTTCACAGAATTGAAATTTAAGGGGTTTAACTAATTAAGTACTTACAGAATAACACATTAACACCAAAATCGTACTTTGGAAACCCATAGTTGGCGAGTAATTAGCATTGAAATATGTAATTAAATTATCCAATGATCATTACAGCCTCAAATTACCCTGCAATTGAATCGTGGACCATATATTCAAAATCAGAATGCTCTGGAGTACTTATAGCTGTACAAGTAATTCAAAATTTTCAAGCATCATTACAGCCACTAATTACCCCGCAATCGAATCGTGGGCCAGAAATTAGGAATCAGAATGATCAGGAGTAGTACTTATTCTGAGATTTACTATATATATATATATATATATATGCTGATAACCACAAGGAAAGAAGAAAACACGAAGTTCCCAAGCGCTTTCGTGTAATTCACATCTGCCTATAGGTTGTTCCATTGTAGTTCCTCATATGCCAAGATTAACATTGGCATTTTTCTGGTGGGTGTGTCTCATAAGTAAGACAAATGCTGTAATTGTTGGAAAAATCAAAGTATTCACAGACTGTTTCACTCATCTTCTGTTAAATGCCATGAAACATTAATATATTACGTAAAAAATTATTATGATGGATTTGTTTCATAAATAGGGAAAGACTGTGAATGTAAACTGAAAATATGGTAAGGTGGACGTGAGGATAAACTGCTTCACTGTCCGTACTAATACAATATTAACATTACTTTTGGGTTAGGTAGGATATAAATTTTGGTGGGTTGGACCGCAGAAAAATACCTAAATCGTAATGCAGCCCATGACTGAGGAAAAGTTGCCTATGCCTGCTGTACAGTATGCTGAAGAGCACTCTCATTACTAATTCATATTCACTTGATCTCTCTTCATCTGTATTTACCACTGAATCAACAGTTAAGATTATCTACTCCCCCCCCTCCCCCCTCTGCCCCTGTGTAAAATTGGAACACAAGAAACTTTCAAAGATGATGGCCACCATCCATACAACTAACTTCTTATGATGGCTGCTGAATGTGAACAACTATACTATACTGTATACAGCTGCATGATAATTTTTTTTACATTATAATGTTATATAGTATATTGTAATGTTGAGGCAGAGAGATAATAAATGTGTTAATTAGACATTCTGGGAATATGTGACATTTTCAGAATAAACAGAAAGGGAGTAGATGAAATGGGAACCCAGGTGTAGACAAAATGAATAATTTGGCAAGAAGATGAAGTGGGCATAAACCATTTTTAAGATCAGTCTCCAATTGTCTTAGGGGTAAGGCATGATGAACCAATCCCCCATTATGGGTTTGCACAGTACTGAGAGCCACCTGGGTACAAATTCAGCTAGAAATGGGTCTTTAGAATCATTCCGTTTTTATGTGTGCATAAGGGAGCACTGAACCTTAAATCTATACATACAAGTTCAAGAGTAAAAACTGAATTAATTTTTAACAAGTTTGGGTGAATTTGTATAAATAGCATTCTCCATTTGTAATATCACAATGTTTATGATTGCAGGGGCCGTAGTGTGGCAGTTCAAGAGACCGGATCGCCGGAGGAAGAACAGTGCCTTCTGAATGATGATGATGATGATGATGAATTTAGTGGTCAGAATGCTACACAGAGAAGTCTTTACCAGTCTGTGGAAGTTTCTCAGCAAAATTTGGAGGGTAAACCTGATCATGATTCATAGAATGGTGAAAAACCTACTTGTATTTATTGATGGTATTCTGCTTTAGTTTGATTGTTTCAGTGATAAATATTAAGGCTGGATATGTTGACAGTAAATATTATGAAAGGTAGCAAGTTAAGTAATAATTTACAAAGTATTATGTAATTAAGCAACTCTTTTAGACCCCAAAAAGTTGTTAAATTCCTAGTTTAGCCTCAAAGATGACTCACATTATTACCCAAGTGAGTGCAGTGCTATACCTGTGCTCTGGTTCACTGTCTGGGTGCAGTGAGTTAACTTTGTTCAGCTGTAAATTATATACTATAAGACTACTACATCGGTTTAACAATAAAAATTGAAGATTGTAATCAAATTTTTAAAGGAAATAAATTTACTAAGGAAACTATAATAATAATATGAAGTAGCACCAAACGATGTACATGTTACAATGCTGGTTAATATTTGTATACGTATGAGTACATTTATCATCAGAGTTTAGTATCTTTTGTGTTGTCTGATAATATATAAAGAGAGCGCTAATGCAGTTCATAATTAATAACTATACATCAACAGTTGGTGAATAAGGAACAAAATATCCTGTTATGTATCTAATCCTCTACAAAAATTGATACAGTGGCCATTATTGTTTTGGCTACCACCCAGTCAGACACACCTCAGCCCTTCAGTATTATGTTGCTTCTTTTCACAAACCATCACTCAGTTCCCACATAGTTTTAAAGATGTGTGTAGCTTGTGGTCAAGTTTAGGTGATACTTTATCACTAATCACAATGTGCCTTTGTTAAATGTGGCACACAAGTAGAAGTTTGCCAACACAACCCTGAAGGTGTCTTTGTGAGCTTCCTGCGCACATCTTTTGTAGTAATTGTTGATTACAGTGTGTTATTATAAAATAATTCTTGTTTAGTTGGTCTCCCCTCAAAAAAAATGTGTATCCTAGTGTGTTAATAAGTGTGCTTGAGGAAGCTGTGGAATCGAACCACATTACTCCTAGAAGGTCGACGTAAATAATGTTTGTAGTACTCAACAGCAGCCTAACCACGTGAACTCGGTGGTATCTGCTGTATAGTGCTGTATTTCTTTATTTACTTCATTGATTACTTTACAGGGTTTATACATTAGGATATTCATGTTCAGCATTGTTGATTGATTTTAGGGATGATGATAAAATAGAATGAACTACTTCATCATCGTCACCACCACCATTTTACAGCTATTTTCTGCACGTGCGTGGGTTTGACTTGATTATTGTAATATACTTTAGAGTTATTACAATGACATTATTGTATTATTGTTATGTTAACCTTATGATTACAATATTGTTATTAGTGGTATGTTAGTCATGTGATTAGTTAATTATTGTTAAATGTGCTAAGGTGGGCCATCCAGACAATATTCCCTTATTTAAAAAAATTCACATCCAACACACCCTCGTCCCCAACCATGACAAGTTGGTGACACTTCAGATAAAAACTTATCTTCATTATTTAAAATAGTTTTGTGATCAGATACAAATGTAACAGTGATAATGATGAGGGTATTGCTGTCTACCTTTTCATCTCTCCAAATCCGAAAAGAATGAGGAAATGTGTGGACGGTTAGATAACTCAAGTAAATTAAAGAAAGGAAATGGTAAACTAGAGAGAGGAAGGACTAATGCAGTCGTGATAATTTATGAATTACGTACCAAAAGACATCGTGAATACACCCTATCATCAAACGGAAAGTAGCGAACTTAAAATAATTCAAAATCCCTGGAGTGGACAGGGCACAGACCAAGGTGATAAAGCAGGTGGCAAATAAGATTTGTAACCCACTAAGACTCTTATTCAGGAAATCCTTGGGTCAGGATAAAGTGTCTAAAGACTAGTAATTAGCCAGTGTCACCCCAGCACAGTGTATAAGAAAGGTAGGAAATGTGCAGCAGAAAAATACAAACCAACCAGCCTAACATCACATGCAGTATATGTAGACTCTGACAATTATCTGAGGGATGCCATCATCCAGCACCTGACCGAACAGTCTTATCAACACATCACGACTGGTGTCATGGAAAGAAAATCCTGTCTGACAAACTTACTCACATTCCTTGAAACGTTAACAGACTAGGTGGACCAAGGCTCACCAGTGGATGTGTTATACATGGATTTCTCCAAGGTGTTTCACAAAGTCCCACATACACTACTAGCCTCTATGATCCAGGCACATGGCATTACAGGCAGGATTTTAAAGTGGATTAACAACAGGCAGCAACGGGTGGTTATAAATGAAGTACATTCTGATTGGAAAAAAGGTTATCAGTGGAGTACCACCAGGCTCTATCCTTGGATTCCCCTTGTTTGTGAGCTACATAAATGACATAGATGAAAATATGTCGAGCCACATTGTCAAGTTTGCGGATGACATGATATTTGGGAAGGTAGCAAATCAAGATGATGTCGCACCAATGCAGAAATACCTGCATGAGTTCTTCAAATGGTCTCGAGTCAAGCACATTCTCTTTAGCATATTGGAATGCAAGACAACCCTAATCACAACTATTCTGTTAATAACACTACTGAATACTATTGATAAGCAAGATCTAGACATTGTGATAGATCATTCACTGATAGCATTGCAACAAGTGAGGGCAGCAGTGAGAAAAGCAAATCAAAACTTGGGAATTATAAAGTAATGTATGACAGTTTTATGTCTATTTTCCACACTTGTGTGGATTGGCCGTTATTACCCGGGCATGGTGTCCCGGCTGCCAATATGTAAATTTGAACCGAGGTTTAGGCTGGATGCCTTTTCTATCCCCAACCCAAATATACAAACTGTGTAATACTCTTTACATATCGTGCCACATCCCTGTTCATATTCTTTCATTTGGTCTCCCTTTATTCATACCCCAACCTAATTATCAATAGTATGCATAGATTAACATAAAATTTACCTCAAGCCATCTATTTATTGTATAGACTTTTTTAAATTTCTTTTTCTAGTTAGATGCCTGCCACCCAGTGCCTCTTTTTACCAAGTATGCCTGAAATGGTAGGTTGCTCCATCATGCCTTACCCCCCTCAAGGCAGCTAAGGAGCCATTCTTATGATGACTCATTCTTCCCCATTGGCCTTTAAAAGAGCAGGATCAGTTGCTTCTTCTCACCTGAATGTTGTGCTTCTCACTGGAAGATGTTATGGGAAGTTTTTGTCCCGGTGTATTGATCTTCCGTCCTTTCTCAACTTCAGGTATAGTATGGTTTGTTACCGTCTCCAATATTTAGTCAGTGAATGATATACAGAGCAATCTTATTTCCATGTTTAGTAGAGTTGCTTGGTCAACGTTTTATCAGTAGCCAACCACTTCCAGCTGTACTAACTCTTATGTTTAGTCACAAGCTTCTGTAGTACTGTGTCTCTGTAATTAGAGCTTCCTGGCAGTAGTATCTAGATAGAAATGGGAGATTGATCCTGAAACTGTAGTGAGGCAGCTTAGGTACTCTCCCTTGGGTTGTTCATTGGTTAACTGTAAACCGAATGCAAATGGCAGATTAGTCCTGGAAATCAACAAGATGGTGGCCAGCTTATGGCTGGTGGCATGTATGCTGACTAGGGGGCGACATATTTTATTAGAGCTCTTGTTTCTGGAGAGCAACCTTCGTAAATAACCTCACTATTTTGAAACTAGTGGATGTGATGGGTGATTGTAAGGCTTAGGGAGTAAGAGGGTGATAGACCAACCCCTACTTCTAGGCTGGCACAGTGGAGGTGCCTGGCAGTGAGTTCACCAAGAACACAACATTTTGGAATCAATCCTTTTTTTATTATACCAGACTTTTATAATGTAATTCATGTATCAGAGAGTCACATCCTTATCAGATATGTTCCTCTGATAATAAACTTGGAATCTAATGTTTAATCTTCTACAATATTCAGATTAAAAAGATTGTCATTTTAACTTTTTAGTAATACAGGTACTACTATAATCTGTGATTACATTTATGTGATGATGAGAATGCTTTGGGTATGATTGTAAATAGTGTAGTGGCCATGAGTTTTATAGGGCACTCTAAAAAGGGGAAAGTAAGACTCCAGCATGGGAGTAGAGGGTAGACTGCTAACATTCTGTGGTGCCAATATTTGGGGATCCAGAGAGTTTGCTCGGAAAATATTTTGAAAATGTAAGAGTTCCATCAGATCATATTTACACGTGTTTATTTGAGATCTAAGGAATCAGATTATCTATTGCCGTGTGCTGTGAGTTAATGGTAATACAGACAATACACATTTAATTTATAGACTCCATGTACTGTAGATGGTGCCAGTGAATGCAATTTAGTATACTGTACTTGTATTGCTAGTTGCTTGCTTTTTATGAGAACTCGGGAGATAATTACTAAGTTCTTGTGAAGTATTTCTCATGATCAAGGTATCGTGCGTTACGTACTATAGTCTGTGAAACCAATCTCAGGTGAACTACTACTGGATCTCATTTTTAGCCTGTATGTACTGTACTTATATTATAACATTTAAAAAAAAATTCACACACTTCTTCATAAGATCTTCATTAAATATTTAAACATCTCTATATACAAATAGCCAGGATTCATTTTCTCTTACTTATTTTGCACTCTGTTAATTGATAAAAAGAAAAAAAATAGTGTGAGAAGAATTATTCAAAAGCAAACGTATACCAGTACAGTACAGCAGTCTTTATTTTTTATGGAAACTGGTTAATACAGTAGAATTCTAAGTTTTATTGCTTGAAATAAAGAGAGATTTTTTTAGCTGAAAGAAGCTTTAAACATTAAGATTTCACAATAGATATATTCAAGAATAGTTTTAACCTATTTTTGTGTAAAAGCAAATATAAAATGATTATATTTAATAGTGGTGTTTAGTTTTGTATTACTGATGTAAAGGTGAACTAATTATTGTATGAACAACCAAAGGTTTCTTTATGTGGTCCAGAATCTGTACAAGAGATAATTTTCTAAGAATTTGAGATGTATACAATTGAATACCAGAATCTGTACAAGAGATAATTTTCTAAGAATTTGAGATGTATACAATTGAATATATTTTTGAAGAATCTGTTTTGTCTGGTTAAAGGAACTACTATCTGTTACATTTTCAGTAAATTTACATTGCAAATATAATTTTGTACAAAGAAAAGAGCCAAAGTTTATAAAAATTGTTATTAATGCAGTACACTTTTATTAATTATGCCTTGTAACATGGATTATATCCTGCAACTTTTGGGGTATATTTCTCTTAGGCTCAGTTTAAATCTCACATGTTTGGTATTTGCTGTGCATCTTTTGTGGAGACTTCTGACAGCTGCCCCCAAGGCGTGTATGCTTCGCGCTCATTAGTAATGGATCAACCCTGGTCAAGTGAAGACGTACCCCATCCACTCAGGTGTGGCGCTATGCAGGAGGAAATTGACGCCATTGTATTTGATTTTGGAGACAAGGATGGCCTTCCCATGCATAGTGAGTTGTGACAGTGATATGCCGGTAAGTGAAGATATTGATTTTCCTCTAGATTTTACCAGTGATTCTAGTGTTTGTCGGGAATTTGAGTGACGAGGATGAGGAATATGCTGGTGGTGCTTGGGCAGCTTCCATGAGCCTTATGACCACTCAGGAGGCTCCCACATGAGATTGGAGTGATTCTTTGTTTAAGTCCTACTCCTGAACTTTGATGGCGTAAATTTGGAGCTTATGGTAAGATTCAATATTTGTTTCATTATTTACCTGTCCAGAGGGTAATAACCATGAGCTACCACCACTGTCTTCAAATGATTATGATACTTGTAGGTGTTGAACATTCTTTTTGCCTACAGTAAACCTCGACAATTTGATAACTTTTCCAGCGACCATAAGAAATATCCATACTGTACTGTTAAGATATGCATCTCCCTACCATGCTCCATATTTCTTTGTAAAATAAGATTTTTTTCACTTTCGTTTTTAATATCATATATTTAAAACCTTCTTCGATACCTTCTAACCCAGTACAGGCAGTAAATAATAACTGGTTTTCAATATTTGAAAAGCTTTAATTCACACAAGCTGATTGAGGCCCACCTGTGATCCTCCACCCAGCAATTGACTCTTGGTTAGTTTAGGCAGACAAATAGTATGAGTGTTGCAGGGGTAAGGGTACTTGAGTACTAGAATCAGTTCACCCTGTAGGTACTGTACCTTGTATCTTGCCACATCGTGCTTAGCCCAATATTCTTGTGATTATTGATATTTACTCAAGTCGACAATTAGATTTGGTCTTTAACAGGCCCTGGGGGCAGTAGATTGTGCAGTATATTTCACAGAACTAAGAAGAGGTGCCTCCAGCTGTTTATTATACACCACTATGAGTGGAGAGTATTATAATAGTGTTTTCATCAGTTTTGTTAGCTTTTGGTTTCAAAACTTTGTATTTAATGTTTTCAAGCAGTGATGAAAATAATATTGAAGAAGTGCCTAACCCTTTGGGAAAGGAATAGTCATTTTCAGGTCACTGAGTCAAAGGCCATTTTTTTCCCAAACCACAAATCAAGTGTCCATACACCAATGAACACATTTCATATTAAATGTAAATAAAAGTAACAAAAATAACTTCAGAAGGAAGGCAGGCAGGAATAAAACATGGAATGAAGATAGATTGAAGGAAGTGGGGTATTTCAGGATAGATGTGTCATTAAATGGAAGAGTTGAGGAGGGCTGTCACATTTGATTTTAAGTTTCACCATGACAATGCCACTTTCCATGCACTGCTCTTTCATAAAACAACTTTCATGCTTGATTTTTCATGAAATTTCAGTAGTACAGTACATTGCTAGTATACATTGCTATTGGCAAAAGGAAGGATTTTATACATATTAAGGTCAATGTTTCAAGGTCATGGGTCCTAAAAATAAAATTTCAAATGCTGTATAGTGACAAAATTTTGCAGGTCCCTAAGGCAAGCAAATCATATTTCAGCTGGGAATAGTTACCATAGTAGTGTACTAATGAAAATACTAAAAAGTAATACCCTGGTTAGCCCCCAGGATCCGTTCCTAGAAAATGGAGCATTATCTGAAACAGCGCTGTGCATTCCTGAAGATGTCTATTTTTTACCTCTGAGATATATATATATAGTACTGTATTGTATGTGCAGGGTACAGGTATTAATAAAGACAGATTATTACAGTATCGTGTCTTTACTAATTAATGAATAACAAATAAACAATATTGTATCATGAATGGCAGTCGTTTGAAGAATAGTAATGATAGAATGAGTGAGAGAGGCAGCATATAGGTAAGATGCAATGCATGGGAGGGAAGCAGTGCATCTCATACGGCTCTGCTCTAGCTGAAGCTAATCCATACCTGCATTGCTGAAATTGTGATTTAGGTGGTGATAATAGTGGTAGTGGTGATGATGGTGAGGTGTTGCATCTATTAGTTTCTTTGGTGACACTATGCCTGCAGCACTGCCAGAAGCTATTGAACAGCTGATTTTTACCCACAAAATTGAGTGTGCGTATAAATGAACAATATTGTATCCTTTCGACATTACTTTACATAACATTTTAAATTATGGAGTGAGAAAGCAGAAAGGTGTGGGTGATTAGAGAGGTGGAGTGGAAGGGAATGGTAACACACACTGGGTATGTTGCCAAGCGCTCCTCAACAGCAGACATCGAACCCGCCACCATACACTTGTGCTTCAGTTAACTACACACAATTTTATGTCATACAATAAGACCAACACTTAATATAAAATTGTAAAACACATTTATTAGTCAATTGTAGCCATGGGCACGTACTTACCAACAAAGCACTAAACCAGCATCACATCACAACAGCAGTGAGAGACATGATGAGAAAAAATAGTGACAGCAATATAAAAAATCGCCGATTGACAAGCTAGAACGAAACAGCGATCTATGGTGTAACTCTAACTGGGGTATTACCGTACTGTAGTATTGTACTTTGAAAACAATTGTAGATTTTTTTTAATATATATTTTCAAGAATGATTATTACCAAAATGGCTTTATGTATGTTCATGGAGGATGTCTCGATTAGCTTTACCTAATGTAATCTCTTTACTAATAATACAGAGCAATGAGAAGTTTCTTGGTCAGTTGTGCAAGGTCAAATGTTATACAATTATTTTATATTAATATTTACTAACTTAATTAATATACATTCAATATCAATATATCTCTATATATTTTCCTGTATCATAACAGTCTTACTTTCATTACAGTGATGGAATAAAATTCATGAAATACACAAAAATACAGCTAAAAATAAGGCTCTATGAAATTGTCTACATAATATTTATCAAGGTGAATTATATACTACTGTATATTGAAAATTATTAAAACTAAAAGGTTTGATCATGATATGAGCACATAAAGTTTGAACATTGTCATTATTATCATCTAATCTACCCATGTCTATTAAAGTTTAATTTTTACTAAAATGATAACAAATAATGGCAAAATATACTTGTTTGATGAGGTGAACTGTAATGGTACATGAAGGAAATGGTAAAAGTATCAAACAAGTGGTTGACAGGCTAATGATAATCTTGTTATAATTGCAATTGACAAAGCAAGTGTGTGGAGAAGAAAATATTCCACAAACTATTTTTCTTGGCTGAAAAATAGTTGACACCTTACGTCAAATGCTGGTAATGTTTGCCACTTCAATGGGGTAAAAGAAATATTTTTACAGAATTTTATCCTGCCAATGCATAATCACCTACTGCTTGCAGTTCACTCATTCTGTGTACACATATGGCATAGAATAATTGCTTCTCTGATCATCTTGTCTATGCACAGTCTTGTGTCTATTAAACTGATAACGGTAAGAAAAGGCTTGGTCGCATTCTTCACACACATACGGCTTCTCTCCCGTGTGAATTCTCAAATGTTTATTGAGACTTGATGTCCGGGTAAATCCAGCATCACAATGCTTACACCGATATGGTTTCTCACCTGTGTGACCAAGATTATGTCGTCTTAGATCACTCTGTTGATGAAATTTAGCATCACAAATCTCACAGGCAAAAACTTTGTCTTCTGCTGTTACAGCAGCACCTGAGTGCATCTGCTGCCGATGTCTGTTCAGTGAAGACTTGTTGGTGAAGGCCATACCACATCTTGAGCATACATGAAGCTTTTGGTGTTGGGCTTTATGATGGTTCAGATATTCTGGTGTGGTGAAGGCAGCACAACATTCTGAACAACTATGCAGCTCAGGATGAGCCTCCTGCATATGGGCCCATAAAGTACGCTTTTGAGCAAAAGATTTTGCACAAACAGAACATTCTAAAGGCTTAGCTACTACAGGGAGGGATTTTTCAGTTGCAACATCTGAACTGGGACTTTCTTTATTTGGTTCTACTTGTGAAAAGAGACTAATAACATCACTACCAAGAGCTGTGTACTGGACGGGCTGGGCAGCACTAGGCTCTGTCATTTGCGAGCTGGTGGAATATGTAACACCTCCCGTTGATGTAGAACCATCAACAGAGACTGCAGCTGACTGAATCATCAGTGTCTCTGTTCCGGTGCCACCAACTGGTACACCCATTACCTGAAACGATACCAAATACAGTCAGTGTGCTGTGGACATTATCAATACAACAAAAATGCAAATCCTTCATCCGTTCTCATATTGTCTCACAAAATCATAGATACTTTTTGGAGCGACCGTGCCTCTCGTTTTTCACCTCTGGGTGCCGGGTTCAAATCAAAACCACCTCGGTTGGTAGTCAGGCCGGGAGTTAATCCAATGGACCACGACGGGCTTAAAATTTACCCAACCTTAACTAAGTTTTGAGGGTTAGGGTAGCTCACCCACACCCAGGTCCCAGACAACTTTTAATAAGATTCGAGGAACAACATTGCTGTCAATATATCAGAACTGGCTTCACAGCCAGTTACAGAGGGTTTACTGTACATGGCCTGGCGCTCCAAATTCCGGAAAAAAATCCATCCGACAATCCTCAGGTCCCAAGCATGCCGGGCAAATGATTCCATACTTATACTGTATATACAAATCTTTACTTTCCTGTTGAAAGAACTGCATCTTGTTATGTTATGCATTATTTTTCTGCCATGTACAGTAGCTAAAACAACTATCTGTGCATACTTTGTGGCAAACAATATGAGACCAATGGACGATAAATTTTGGTATACGAGGGCTGTCACTAGTCACACGTAAGAATTTGGAGCACAGGTAATTGTTTTAGCTACTGTACATATAGTATTATTATTTAGATATATTTATAGTGCATCACAACAATAATCATGACACTGCATTTTAATTTATGTCTTGTAAGTTAATACTGTACAGTTATAAAGTGGTCAATACCATAAGTTTCCCCAAGTTATAAAATGTTAGTACTGTAATATAAATACTGAGGACAGATGTTCATACAAAAATTATACACACTCCGAGAAACCAAAACACTGTATCTTCACTATTACCTAATACAACAAAATTACATTGTGTATGTTCACACAGTAATTTTGAACAGTTACAGTAGTTGGAAGATAAACAACAGTATTTCACCGACAAAATAATAAAACAAATTTTTCCCTACCTGACCATCTGGGCTGATGGTGATCTGATCATAGCTGATGAAGGTACCATGTCCGGGATTAATGACAACAGCTCCATTGCTCAGCATCTCTCCTGCTTCTATAAATATTGTTCCATCCTGTGTCATCAATTGACTAGCACCGACTATCTGACCTGCAGAAACAACCTGACCCGTGGTTAACATAGGCTGGGCAACTAACCGACCGCCAGCTTGACCAGATCCAGGCTGACCCACTGTGGTGACCACCTGCCCACTTGTTAAATTCTGATTTACTGATGAATCTGCTTGACAACCTGTGGTCACCTGTGTGTGCTGGTTGGAAGATCCTGTTATTACAGGTGGTTCTGCCACCTGTGAAGCTCCCACAATGGGTGATGCATTAATAGTTACAGTACCTCCAACAGATTGGGCTTGAAGGCCTCCAGCGGTTGAAGGATTGTGTGTAACATGCTCCATGGAAAGCTGAAGCAGAGATGTTGCACCCGAGGCATCTGCACTAGCATCTAGACCTGCAGGCCCCTGTTGTACTGACATAGTTTCATCCACAGTTGACAAAATACTCGTGGGATGATCAGTCTTTGCAACATGGGTGTGAGGCTCATCTGGCCCATGTGGCACTTCACAAAAGCACCAAGACTCCATTTTATTCTTGGCTTCACCCTTTACATCCTCCAATTTCACACTTTTCTTTGTTGATTTCTGTCGAACTGGAGGTTTGACATCTTCTTCAATTTCTACAAAGTCGCCCATTATAAAATCTGAATCTTCCGGCTTATCTTTCTTTTTCTCTGCTGCTTCACGGAGACGTCTACTGGTCCGTGTTGGTTCGGTGACCTTCGATTTGGTTTTATGGTTTTTGGGGCTGTTTTCTTGACATGTGCTTTGTTTTCCAACCATTTTCTTCTTTTTCTTTTTTGGTCCATCTCCAAGCGGCTCTGGCTTACCCTGATGCATTGTTCGAATATGTCTAGCCAAGGCAGTCCGATCATTAAAGAGGATGGCACAATGTTTATATGTGCAAGTAATTGGCTTATCACCAGAATGAACACGTTGATGCCTTCTCAAGTCGTCCTTTTGTGAAAATCTGGCATTACAGTCATCACATTTGTGGGGTTTGTCGCCAGTATGTGTCATAAGATGGCGTTTCAGTGCACTACGCTGAGTAAATGTTTGTTGGCAGCTTTCACATGCAAATGGACGATCATTATTGTGAATTCGTTTATGTGCAGTTAAGTGACTCCCCTGAGTGAAAGCCACATCACACATATCACACTTAAATGGCTTCTCTCCTGTATGAGTACGTGAATGAACTCTCAAATTACTCTTCTGGGTGAATGATGCTCCACAAGTTGCACAAACATACGGACGTTCTCCAGTGTGACCCCGCATGTGGATGGTCAAACTGTTCTTGTGAGTAAATGACTGGTAACAAACACCACATTGGAATGGTTTTTCCCCAGTGTGGGTTCGTTGGTGTATAAGTAAATGATTTATTCTTGAAAATGTTTTTGGACAGGAACTACAAATGTGGGTTCTGACTTCCTGTGATTCTGCAGTCTTTGTTAGTCGCCTCTTCTTAATTGGTGGGTCAGCAGGAGTATCAGGAGGGTTGGCTGGGAATGCCTCACTCTGAATCTGTATGTCACCTGTGGCAGGGTTGTTGACTGTTAAGCTATACTGGAGAGTGACTTGAGAATCCACTGTGTGCTGCTCTTGATTATCTTGTTCTTGGTGAGGCTGAAGATGTTGCTGTTGTTCATGTTGTTGTTGTTGCTGCTGTTCATGGTGCTGATTTTGAGTCTGGTGCTGTGGTTGTTGCTGCTGGGGTTGTTGATGATGTTGCTCATCTTGAGGAATGTCAGTCACAGAAAATAATCGTGGAGATTCAATGGCAATCTTAACTTCATCTTGATGACTGTGTGACTGATGAAGCTGATGGTGATGATGGTGATGTGAAAGTGGGTCTAGGGACTCCTGATGGTGACTGTCATCATAATGATGAATAGGCTCAGGGTAACCACTATTAAACTGAGTGGCTTGGTGATACTCAGCCTGGCTTACTTCTTGTACTCCTACTGTCTGTTGCTGTTGGGGCTGAGTCTGCTGGAGCTCTGTGTACGTCATTTGCTGGTGTTGTGGAATAGAAGCAGTGGGTACAGAAGTGGATGTTGAAGGATGAGTGCTCACAACACCTCCACTATCTATAATGGCCTGTGGCCCATCAGGAATGTTTGGAGTTTCACAGAAGCACCAGGATTGCCAGTGATTATAGCTGCCTTCTACAAAAGTTAAAACATGGGATTGGTGATTCTGACAATTATTTGCAGGGCGGGCAGTCTTTGGTGGCTGGCCCGGCTGTGTTAGCAATAGTGTGGGCATTTGTCCTGGACCTTGAGCAGGGATAGTTACAATTTCATTTATCAAGGGAGACTGGGAATGTGTTTGTACTGTAGACGTTGTATGTGGCTGCTGTTGGTTTTGCTGAAGAGGGGTTGGTGGTGCTAAAGAAACAGGCTGACTTACATGTTGCTGTGCAGTCTCTTGATGTGGGACAATTGAAGCTGGATGGTAACTTGTATCATATATCTGACTTAATGTCTCATCTTCCTCAACTTTTGTTGTTCTCTTCTTGGGTGGAGGAATATTTTGATTATTTTCACCCTCTCTTGGTTCAGTTGAGCCATCACCACCTTCAAAACGATCTTCCCCATGAACAGTCACCCTGTGCCTTTTAAGATTACGATATTCAATAAATGTAGAGTCGCACTTTTGGCATGCATATGGTCTTACTCCATCATGACGTAGCATGTGTCGCTTGAGGGCGCTCTTATCCTTAAATGCTCCATGACACTTAGAACAAACAAAGTGTCGTTCTCCCGTGTGACTCTGCCTATGTCGTTTTAATGTACTAAACTGGGAAAATGTTGCCCCACACTGGTCACAATTAAATGGTTTGGTGCCAGAGTGTGTCCTCATATGAGCCTTCATATCCCTCTGAAGACTAAAGCCAGCATTACATCTTTCACATCTGAAAGGGGTGTCTCCCTCGTGGGTCAGTTTATGCCACCGTAGATTATTCTTACGACTGAAGGCAGCATCACACACATCACATTTAAATGGTTTCAGACCAGAGTGTGACATCTGATGACGTTTCAAATCTATCATCTGAGTAAAGGATGCAGGACATTTCTCACATTTATAAGGCTTTTCACCTGTATGAGTGAGTTGATGACGAGAAAGATTTCTTCTCTCAACAAAGAGAGCACCACAATCGTCACATTTGAAAGGTTTCTCCCCAGTATGTCTTCTTTTATGTCTCTTGAGACTACTTGTTTGGGAAAAAGATGCATTGCAATGATGACATGTAAATGGTTTATCATTAGTATGGACTCTCATATGAGTTGTCAAATGAGATACTTGCTTAAATCTTTGACTACACATTTCACACTTGAAAGGTTTCTCTCCTGTGTGTATTCGACGATGAATATTAAGATGACACTGCTGTACAAAAGCCATATTGCAGTCTGCACACTTGTGGGGCTTATCACCTCTGTGTCGTCTCAAGTGGAGTTTATAACTATTGTAATGTGAAAACTTTGCATCACATTCACTACAGGAGAAACTCTGGCGGTGGTGCTCCCTACGGTGACTCATCAGTAACCCAATTCTGACGAACACTTCATCACACTGGTCACATTCATATGTCTGTCAATAAGAGTTTACATTAGTGAAATAATAAAGCATCAAATCATGCATACATAGAAAAGCCTTCCCATAAACATGTAAATACACACATATACATGTTCGTTCAAGAGATCACCTGAAGACCCAGGTATAGTTCTGTATAGCTACTGTACTGTATATACTTTACAAAGTATCATTAAAAACATTACAAAATACTCTTGAGTCTAGCTATCAAATTATTCTCCTGTGGGGGTTCCATTAAATACTGAATTTTATGTAAACTAGGCAACCTTTTAAATGTTTTTTGACCACACATCCAAATCCTGGGTTCTGATTCTAAGAATAATTGTCTGAGATAGAACATTTTTTGGTCCTTCCTTTGTTACAGTAAGTGGAAAAAATCCATACATGTCTTTAATTTACCTGTTCTTCATAGTGTGTTCTTTCATGGGCTCGTAGTTGACTTGCTCTCACAAATGCTGATGGGCATTCTGAACATTTGTACTCCTTTTCCTTAGCACCAAGTCGACCTCTGGATGACAGCAGTTTTGTCTCGGTCATGAGATTTTCTTTTGTGTCTTCATGGTGATTTAAAAGTTCTTGACTGTTGCCTTCATGGCCATCCATAGCTAATGTGCCACCATCCTCATCCAGAGCACCACTAGCTTCCTCCACCAGCTCCCCTTCAACTGTATATTCATGAGTGTTCTCCTCTGGAACCATCGCCTTAAGGTCCTCTACCTTGATGGTGGTGGACAGGTTAAGGGGAGGACCAGACTCCATTGTTGGTCATGCCATATAACTTGTAGCTAACTGCAAGAATATAAAATTAGGTAATTAGGTACGTAGTGAACGATACATTACACCATCTTTCTGAATTACTGTACTGGTAACCCTTAAAGAACAGCCTTGATGTAGGTGACTGCAGCAAACAACAATAGTTCACATGCTTTCTTTGTTTTAGATCTAAGAGAGTGGTCATATAAGCATCATCCTCAGTAGATCTTTATCAGGCATGGAGAGGGACACTTCTATGTGGTTCAGGAGGTCATGAGAAGGAGGCAAGTCGTTTCCTCACCATAACTGCATCTTATTATAAATGGAATTGCACAGGGAGAAAAAAGTCCACCAGATGAGCTATAATGGTAAGTAAAGAATTTTTTCTGTCCATATTCTGTTACTGTACAGGCTTGTTTATAATTTTGAAAGAAATAAAATGAAAAATCAAAATTGCACATAGTAGTGTACACATATCACCCAATTTTTCCATGGTTGCAATTTAAGGCTTAAAACCCCCATACAAAATATTTTAAGAGTTTATAAACCTCAATATATACTGTATTAGCTATATAGAAAACCTCACTCTTTAAAATACTATGGGGGGGGGGGAAGGGAGTGCTTTAAATTTGCCAAAAACTTTAATTTAAGGAATAAAATTTACTATTGGCTTCTAACAAAAAAACAATTTGTGTTTAAGCACTGTACTGTACACTTACACCTGGTATAGGCAGCGCTGTCAACCCTCCCTCTCACTAATTAGGGGGAGGCGGGTGGGTGATGGGGTAATATGAGGGTTGAGGAGGGTCAGAGTGTAGGGGGGGGGGATTAAGGAGTTACCAGTGCAGCTTCAATGCAGGATATATTAAACAAGTGCCACAAAAAAATTCACATGACACTATATAGTCTAACTGAAATTTAGTAATAGAGTCTCGCCTTCTCCTCACCACTCCTAAGAAATCTACCTTTCTTCTGCAGACTTTCCCCCCTCCCCCTTCAGTGTGCAAACTCTTTAACAAACAAAGAAATGTTTACTCCTTTTGTTTTTTATTTAATGATAATTATTTTGTTATTTATACATTTTGTATGTAAGTTTGTGTGCATATAATTGAGTAAAAAAATAAACACAAAATTAAAGAAAATTATGTACAGTCGGGGTCAAAAGACTTGAACACTTAGCAATATCTGGAATCTACTTCTGAGTTATACATACAGGTGTATATGATTGGGATATACTAATAACACTACTTGTCATCATATATTATTCCTGAACCACAAAATGGGTACTTACATGCCAAATACCAGTACTGTCAAGTGTTCCAAGACTTGACCCCAGCCGCACCAGGTATATCTACCCAAAATTACGAGTTATAAAATAACAATAACAGCAAACAGCTCACAGGTCGGGAATGGCAGCGAGAGGGCTAGGGGGATGTGGCTACAGCGACGAGTCTAACATGGCAACAATGTCATCAACAAAGTAAAGAGAAGGAAACGAAAGGAAAATTACCTGTAAATCTTCATTTGTATCAGGTTTTGTAGATTTAAAGTGGCATAAATAATAAATGAGGTTCTGCTCTTTATATAGCAACAGAAGAGAATCTAGGAGTACCGTCTGATACTTGGTAGACAAGCCCAGGCTAAAGGAGCTTATGGGAAAGGTTTGCCTACACGTGTGTATAGTTCGACGCCCTACGTTTTACATAAAAATTTAATCGTAAAACCATGAACTATGATTGTACATGGGCAGGTGAGTGGATGACACTATGACTAGTTAGTACTAAGGGTTGGGGCAGGGCAGAGGTTTTGAGAGGCAGCATAAACCGCTCCTCTGGATTCAGTAAGAAAGGAGTCTAGAATATGTTTGCCTCTTGTTTTACACAATATTCAGCATTAAGATTTTGTCTTAGTTTCCTGTCAAAATGGTTTTCTTGGGGTATTATTTGTTAAAAAGAATTTACAGTTAACATTATTCGTACTATGCACATGCCATAAAACAAACTACAGTACCATAGTATGACTTTTTACGAATTTATCTAGAACTATTAATGACCATGGGATCTTCTGCAACTTAACCAAATCCTAAAAAAGTGTGGGATCATCTTCTCCCACAATTACTCTAAAATACATTACAGCATATCATCACTATTCATAATTCTGAATAAAAGAGTAAAAAATAAAACTGGTGAGTCCTTGTGGCTCTACTGTCAATCATGGATTCATTACATGACGTACAGTATTTTCTTCTACCTCATAAATTCTCATCTTCTACTTGACCAAGAGTTTTTTCTTGTGAACGATTATGCAGTTAATTCACTTGTGGTGTAATCATGTAGTGAGCTAACATGGTCAACTTGTATAATAAATATACTGTACGTGTCTGCCAGCTGATGGAGCCATTGTTGTTTATTAGCCCATCCGACTGCACTCGTTTATGGTCGTTTTCTGTACACTGTTTTGATGATGGGCAATTCTATTTACTATCAACGCGACTAACAGAATAATCATTAAGGCGGAACCATTGATCCTCCCCAAGGTGAAGCTGTACAAAACTTACAACAAAATGAGGACGCCAGATTTTCTGCCGATGTAAACAATCTCCCAAGCACTCTCAATACTGACAACTGAACACTTATTTTGGACGAAAAACGCACAGTAAATAATAAATGTATATTTCAGCTTTTAAAGTAAACTTTTTAAAGGTATAAAACATCTTTTTAATACTTAGGTTTACCTGTGATGTGTATTGTTAATGAGAAAATAAGTGTGTAAGAGGCTCGTTTGACAACCAAGTTTATATGCCAGACGTAGGGCGTGTCACAAGTATAGATCTTCAAATAAATATTTTCGTTAAATATAATTGAATAGTATAGTTAACCCTAATTTAAAATTAATTTCATTCACATCTTACAAAACTAATGTGTTAGGATAAGGGTATAATAATTTATTTACTTTATTTTTACATCTGGCAGCGCCAACCCAGCATCCTCTGTTTCATGATGTTATGAATGATACTAATCAGTATTTTCCATCAGAATTAATTACTAAATTTCTAATCGGATGTAATTATATAAAATTAATGTATATATTTTATCTCTTCTTATATGAAAAAAATATGATTTATCAAAACTTTTTCAGCGGTAATTTCAAAGGTTACGAAACTGTTGCTTCAGTCATCTAACCACTTAACAAAAATTAATTATATTACTTTAATTTAAGTCAAGTATTCAGTCAAGCTGCACCTTGAATATCTTTGGAGAAGTCAAAATAGCTCTTACATGTATGATGTGAAATCACAGTTATTGATTAGTTTTAAAATTCGTATCGCAGTGAGGATGACAGTGGGGTGGTGAGGATGACAGTGAGGGTGGTGAGGATGACAGTGAGGGTGGTGAGGGTGACAGTGAGGGTGGTGAGGGTGACAGTGGGGTGGTGAGGGTTGATTAGTTTTGAAATTCGTTCGACAGTGGAGGATGACAGTGGGGTGGTGAGGATGACAGTGAGGGTGGTGAGGATGACAGTGAGGGTGGTGAGGGTGACAGTGAGGGTGGTGAGGGTGACAGTGGGGTGGTGAGGGTGACAGTGAGGGTGGTGAGGGTGACAGTGAGGGTGGTGAGTGATAGTGGGGTTGATGGAGGTGACAGTCGGGGTGGTGAGGGTGACAGTGGGTTGATGACGGTGGGGGTGGTGAGGGTATTGTGACTAGTAATGGAAAGACAGACTGAGGTAGCATTGTGTTGTCATGGCTACTTGTACCCTGCGTGTGATAGCGCATATCTGATAACAGTAATGGTGTCTACACTCTAGGTTGATGCAATATTAGGTTATATTAGTTAACGTTTTATTACGTAAAATTTTAAATTTAGGTTATGTTAGGTTAACTTTATATTGTTAATGTTATAGTTAATTATATGTCAAGTTTGAGGTCTAGTTTGTTTACTGGTAAACTAGTCATTTATACTGCTTCCCATTTGTGTATGGTCAGTTCTTAAAATATGGACTAATTTTCTTACACAATAACGTCTCCAGTCCCTAAAACTCATTCCCATCACAACTTGTAGCACGGTCTATAGGTAGACTTCCAGTGTTATTCTTTGGTTGATGGAGAAGATTCGACAGGTAGTTTGGCCACCGTTTTTGCAACACTTATGATGTATTGGATAACTATGAACACAAGTCAGGTGTACTGCATCATTACTGTTGTAAACAGAAACCAATATAAACCATCTTGTCTCATTTAGTGGTTTTCTTCCAGCTCAGACAACTTGTGAATAACAAGAGCCAAGGCAAGCTGCAAGTTTCTACGAGTGCACCTTCCGGGCACCTCCACTGTACAGTAGAGTTACAGTTGTCACTGTAGAAGGTGTAGTGCTGTATATCACGTCAGATGTCATCCTCCCCTTAATTGTCATGTTTGTGAGCCACACTGGAGTCTTCCAGGATGCACCCTCCCAGTCTCAGCTGACACAAGACAGGTGAAGATATGCTGGGTTTTGCTGTAACCTCTACTTTTGGCTGAGGTAAATACTGAACCTTTAACTGTCGTGCTTCTTACACTGATTTATACAGGACAAATTGTTGCATTATTCTTATAATCATTACATTTATGGACTATTAGGAACGGAACCCATACAAATAAAGAGGTCTCCCTTTACACTTAAATATGTAGTATGTAATATTATACATTAATTAAATTTAAATAATAATTTGGGAGTAATAACTAGAAAGGTGCAGCAACTAGGTGGATACAACGCCCTACTCCTGACCACTGGTTCAATCCCAGGGCATTCCCATTCTTCAATTCCATCTAAACATAATGAGGACAAACTTTATGACAGATGCCATTTTACCCTAGTGTGGAATGCAGTGGCTGGCTGCTCACACATGGCAAATATGTTCTTAGTCTTTTATGCTTACAGCCCCACACAAAAATAATAACCTTACAACAACTAGGACAGACAGTGAAGTCTACAAATCGTCAAGAAATTGTGACAAAGATTTACTATTATGAGAACACTACAGACACCATAGTGAAGAAAAATATAAAACAATATAGATGTCATGATTAATTACAGACATAACAAAGAACAGTACAGTACAGTTACTGTACATGTGTATTACCCACGGGTCAGCTCTCTGTCACACACTACTGTATTGATCAGTGGAATGTATTTAAGGAATGTTCAAATAAAGCCAGTGTCAGTGCCTCCCCAGAGCAATTCTTGGTGACCCCTGACCATGCCAACATCAGCTGCTATATCATCTTAAATCTATAACTAACCCTTTATCTACAACACTCGCACATCAACAATATAACAATCTCATAAGTACATGTAACTCAGGTAGTGAATTAGTGTATTGGCAATCACCAAAAACACACTCTAATGTGATATAACCGAGGTCCTACTACACGCCACCCACATACCTCTCTCCCTACCTCCTGGGGTAAACTTGACCATCGCTTCATAGACACCAGCTTACAGTGTTAATGTCTACATGTACAGGGTGTTAGAAAAGTCCCTGTGCACCTGTAATAATTAACAATATATACAGTAGTTGTTCCTTGTTATATACTGTACCTTGTTCTACTTACGGTAAATATTGAGAATGGTGTCCACTTCCAACAGTTACTGTGATCATTTCTAATATTTACTCTATGTATTTTTTATTATTATTGCAGGTACATAGGGATTTTTCTGACACCCTTTATATCTACAATGACCATCACTCCAGCTATGTGGCAACAGAGAGTATGGAAACCTTACAATGGTTACTTCGCCATGACAAGACCACTACAGCGGCATCATTGTGACCTGCAATCCTCTGGCATCCAGCACACACACACCACAACAGCATTTATGTGTAAGGATGACAAACACCTGCCATCCACCCCTCACGTGTATGGGTGACCACCACCTGCCGTTCAAACACTCACGTGTATGGGTGACCACCACCTGCCATCCACCCCTCACGTGTATGGGTGACCACCACCTGCCATCCACCCCTCAAGTGTATGGATGACCACCACCTGCCATCCACCCCTCATGTGTACGGATGACCACCATCTGCCATCGACCCCTCATCATCAACGCAGGTGGTTAAAATTATACAGCGATAATAATGTTCGGTAAAGCCTTTGACACAGCGGATCATGATATACTATGTGAAAAACTGTAGGTTCTTGTCACTAGATTGACAATGATGCCCAAAGGATACAGCTAGGAAGTTATCATGTTAACTGGAGTTATGTAAACAGTGGCTCCCACACAACAAATAATTCCCACATTTTTAAAAGACTAAAGCAATATTATTTGGATAAATTTGAAAATTCAAGAGTGTGTGAGTTTAATGTATTGTGTGATTAATGACTTCATCTCGACTGCAACTTTCGTGAAATACCTTAGGTTATCTCTATTGTTGATAATTTTGTAAATTAAAGTACTTTACTGTATTGCTATATATATATATATATATATATATATATATATATATATGCTGAGCACCTACAGTGATTTACTTGTATATATATATATATATATATATATATATATATATATATATATATATATATATATATATATATATATATATATTGAAATGTCAAATATGTCTTGGCTGATGTCGTGAGACCCTTTTCTTAGGATTCATACAGTATCAGTTGGACTTTTCATGGTATGCTGCCTTAACACAGACGCAAAATACAAAATATTAAAAACATGATGGTTAGGTTTATTCAAGATATGAATGAAAGAAATGATATTGGTCATGAAGTCCTGCAGACATTAGAAATGTACCTACAAGTGCTATATAAATAGTGCTTATATTTACTTTATATATAGACAACTTGTAACGGCGGCAGTTTCTTCTCTCTACTCATACTCTGCCTTATCTTGTCTTAGTTCTTTAATTCAAGTGTTCTTTTTACTTACTTCAATGGTAACTGCATAACCTTAGTTCTTTCTGGTAGCATGTCGAGGGTCTATGGCACATGGGTATTATAATTCTGATATCAGTGAACTACTGTGGGGAAAATGAATACTCCTAAAATACTTTAAGAACAGGTTTATTATATGAAATCAAAGGGAAAAAGAGATATTATTAACATATAACTTCAAGGTGCAACTCCTCGCTTACGCAACTGCAAACTCTGTATTTTCTTATTGCACACAACCTTACTGTAAGTCTTACAGGATTTTTAGCCAAAAAATAGATTTTGTTCAAAATCTCGGTATAGGTACTCCTGAACATACTGATTAATGCTCTGTTAACCAAAATTTGATATCTGTATTATTACTTATTTAAAATTTTCTAAAAGCCATTTGAACAAGTAATAATCCAGATATCAAATTTTGGTCAACAGATCCTTAAACAGCATGTTCAGGAGTACCTATAGTACTATGATTTTGAACAAAATCTATTTTTTGGCCAAAAATCCTGGAAGGCATAGGACTTCAATTCAAATTCAATTGTTTATTCCTTGATAGAGGAAGCAGGATCCTAGTGCTGTCACTAGGTACCCCTGTACAATGACACCAGAAGCATCTGGCAAGTGTGACAAGTATATACAGTATAAATATTATAAAGGGGCTTACTAAAGCCTATGGAAGGAAGGATATTCCTTTAACACATAATGTTATTTACACAATATCTGGCCAGTATGGGGAGGATCATCGAGTCTCCGTCAGGGGGTCCAGCAAGCGTCACAGAAGCGTTGTGTGCGGGGACATCTTAGGAGGTAGTGGATAAGGGTGCGTCTGTCGGGTCTTCTGCATAATGCACAAGAGCGTTGCTCAGGGGATGCAGGGATTCATAAAACTTACAATTGTTTTAATTTTTGGCCAAAAAATAGATTTTGTTAAAAATCACAGTACAGTATAGGTACTCCTGAACATGCTGATTAAGGATCTGTTGACCAAAATTTGCGATCTGCATATTATTTATTCAAATGACTTGCAAAAGTAATTACAATTCTAAAAGCCATAATCATGATATCAAATTTTGGTCAACAGATCCTTCAACAGCATGTTCAGGAGTACCTATATGTTCAGGAGTACCTATACTGTACTGTGATTTTGAACAAAATCTATTTTTTGGCCAAAAATCCCGTTTTCTCTCTGAACTAAAATTTAATGTGCCTAACTATTTAAGTACATCCAGAATAATACACAAGCACCAAGAAATGACCTCGAAAACCCATAAGTGGCGAGTAATTAGCATTGCAAAAGTAATTTAAATATTCTAAAAATCATTTGAACATTTTCTAAAAGCCATTTGAACAAGTTATAATCAAGATATCAAATTTTGGTTAACAGATCCTTAAGCAGCACGTTCAGGAGTACCTATACTGAAATTTTGAACAAAATCCATTTTTTGGCCGAAAATGACAAAAATTGTAAGTCTAATGCCTTAAAGGATTTTTGGCCAAAAATATGTTTTCTCTCTGAACTAAAATTTAATGTGCCTAACTATTTAAGTACATCCAGAATAATACACAAGCACCAAAAAATGACCTCGAAAACCCATAAGTGGCGAGTAATTAGCATTGCAAAAGTAATTAAAATATTCTAAAGCCATTTGAACAAGTTATAATCAAGATATCAAATTTTGGTTAACAGATCCTTAAGCAGCTTACGTTCAGGGAGTACCTATACTGAAATTTGAACAAAATCATTTTTTGGCGAAAATGACAAAATTGTAAGTCTAAAGCCTTAAAGTTTTTGCCAAAAATACGTTTTCTCTCTGAACTAAAATTTAATGTGCCTAACTATTTAAGTACATCCAGAATAATACACAAGCACCAAGAAATGACCTCGAAAACCCATAAGTGGCGAGTAATTAGCATTGCAAAAGTAATTAAAATATTCTAAAAATCATTTGAACATTTTCTAAAAGCCATTTGAACAAGTTATAATCAAGATATCAAATTTTGGTTAACAGATCCTTAAGCAGCACGTTCAGGAGTACCTATACTGAAATTTTGAACAAAATCCATTTTTTGGCCGAAATGACAAAAATTGTAAGTCTATAGCCATAAAGGATTTTTGGCCAAAAATACGTTTTCTCTCTGAACTAAAATTTAATGTGCCTAACTATTTAAGTACATCCAGAATAATACACAAGCACCAAGAAATGACCTCGAAAACCCATAAGTGGCGAGTAATTAGCATTGCAGAAGTAATTAAATATTCTAAAAATCATTTGAACATTTTCTAAAAGCCATTTGAACAAGTTATAATCAAGATATCAAATTTTGGTTAACAGATCCTTAAGCAGCACGTTCAGGAGTACCTATACTGAAATTTTGAACAAAATCCATTTTTTGGCCGAAATGACGAAAATTGTAAGTCTAAAGCCTTAAAGGATTTTTGGCCAAAAATACGTTTTCTCTCTGAACTAAAATTTAATGTGCCTAATTATTTAAGTACATCCAGAATAATACACAAGCACCAAGAAATGACCTCGAAAACCCATAAGTGGCGAGTAATTAGCATTGCAAAAGTAATTAAAATATTCTAAAATCATTTGAACATTTTCTAAAAGCCATTTGAACAAGTTATAATCAAGATATCAAATTTTGGTTAACAGATCCTTAAGCAGCACATTCAGGAGTACCTATACTGAAATTTTGAACAAAATCCATTTTTTGGCCGAAATGACAAAAATTGTAAGTCTAAAGCCTTAAAGGATTTTGGCCAAAAATACTTTTTCTCTCTGAACTAAAATTTAATGTGCCTAACTATTTAAGTACATCCAGAATAATACACAAGCACCAAGAAATGACCTCGAAAACCCATAAGTAGCGAGTAATTAGCATTGCAAAAGTATTTAAAATATTCTAAAAATCATTTGAACATATTCTAAAAGCCATTTGAACAAGTTATAATCAAGATATCAAATTTTGGTTAACAGATACTTAAGCCCAGCACGTTCAGGAGTACCTATACTGAAATTTTGAACAAAATCCATTTTGGCCGAAAATGACAAAAATTGTAAGTCTATAACCTTAAAGGATTTTTGGCCAAAAATACGTTTTTCTCTCTGAACTAAAATTTAATGTGCCTAACTATTTAAGTACATCCAGAATAATACACAAGCACCAAGAAATGACCTCGAAAACCCATAAGTGGCGAGTAATTAGCATTGCAAAAGTAATTAAAATATTCTAAAAATCATTTGAACATTTTATAAAAGCCATTTGAACAAGTTATAATCAAGATATCAAATTTTTGGTTAACAGATCCTGAAGCAGCACATTCAGGAGTACCTATACTGAAATTTTGAACAAAATCCATTTTTTGGCCGAAATGACAAAAATTGTAAGTCTAAAGCCTTAAAGGATTTTTGGCCAAAAATACTTTTTCTCTCTGAGCTAAAATTTAATGTGCCTAACTATTTAAGTACATCCAGAATAATACACAAGCACCAAGAAATGACCTCGAAAACCCATAAGTGGTGAGTAATTAGCATTGCAAAAGTAATTAAAATATTCTAAAATCATTTGAACATTTTCTAAAAGCCATTTGAACAAGTTATAATCCAAGATATCAAATTTTTGGTTAACAGATCCTTAAGCAGCACATTCCAGGAGTACCTATACTGAAATTTTGAACAAAATCCATTTTTTGGCCGAAAGTGACAAAAATTGTAAGTCTATAGCCTTAAAGGATTTTTGGCCAAAAAGACTTTTTCTCTCTGAACTAAAATTTATGTGCCTAACTATTTAAGTACATCCAGAATAATACACAAGCACCAAGAAATGACCTCGAAAACCCATCAGTGGCGAGTAATTAGCATTGCAAAAGTAATTAAAATATTCTAAAAATCATTTGAACATTTTCTAAAAGCCATTTGAACAAGTTATAATCAAGATATCAAATTTTGGTTAACAGATCCTTAAGCAGCACATTCAGGAGTACCTATACTGAAATTTTGAACAAAATCCATTTTTTGGCCGAAAATGACAAAAATTGTAAGTCTATAGCCTTAAAGGATTTTTGGCCAAAAATACGTTTTCTCTCTGAACTAAAATTTAATGTGCCTAACTATTTAAGTACATCCAGAATAATACACAAGCACCAAGAAATGACCTCGAAAACCCATAAGTGGCGAGTAATTAGCATTGCAAAAGTAATTAAATTATTCTAAAAATCATTTGAACATTTTCTAAAAGCCATTTGAACAAGTTATGATCAAGATATCAAATTTTGGTTAACAGATCCTTAAGCAGCACATTCAGGAGTACCTATACTGAAATTTTGAACAAAATCCATTTTTTGGCCGAAATGAAGAAAATTGTAAGTCATAGCCTTAAAGGATTTTTGGCCAAAAATACGTTTTCTCTCTGAACTAAAATTTAATGTGCCTAACTATTTAAGTACATCCAGAATAATACACAAGCACCAGAAATGACCTCGAAAACCCATAAGTGGCGAGTAATTAGCATTGCAAAAGTAATTAAAATATTCTAAAAATCATTTGAACATTTTCTAAAAGCCATTTGAACAAGTTATAATCAAGATATCAAATTTTGGTTAACAGATCCTTAAGCAGCACGTTCAGGAGTACCTATACTGAAATTTTGAACAAAATCCATTTTTTGGCCGAAAATGACAAAAATTGTAAGTCTATAGCCTTAAAGGATTTTTGGCAAAAAAATAGATTTTGTTCAAAATCATAGTACTATAGGTACTCCTGAACATGCTGTTGAAGGATCTGTTAACCAAAATTTGATATCTGGATTATTACTTGTTCAAATGGCTTTTAGAAAATTGTAATTATTTTTGCAAGTCATTTGAATAAGTACCGTAATAATGCAGATATCAAATTTTGGTTAACAGAGCCTTAATCAGCATGTTCAGGAGTACCTATACCGAGATTTTGAACAAAATCTATTTTTTTGCCAAAAATCCTGTAAGGCATAAGACTTACAATTTTTGTCATTTTTGGCCAAAAAATAGATTTTGTTCAAAATCACAGTATAGGTACTCCTGAACATGCTGTTGAAGGATTTGTTGACCAAAATTTGAAACCATATAAAATATGGTGTCCACAGTTTTAGAAGTACAAAATATGTCCATTTTATATATATTTTTCTTCTACAGGTATGTGATGCATCAATAAGGTGTGGAAGAAGATACCCTGATATCAATCCAAAGGATCTGTTTTTTGTGGTTTGTACGATGCTTGTTGTTCAGTATGGGGTGGCATCTGGTGACTTGTGCGGAGGGGGAGGGAGAAGGCGTTTGTGCGGGGGGAGGGAGAAGGCGTTTGTGAGGGGGGAGGGAGGCGTTTGTGCTGGGGGAAGGAGCTTTTGTACCAAGATATCTGTATAAAATCAAATAAACAAATGCTGAATAAACTTAGCATGTTTTATACCCTGTTTATGGAGAAGTTGATTGATCTTGTAAACCACACAAAGTACTACTAATCAACTTGAATACACCCACAGGATGGCTTCTATTGTACTGTGTATCACTAATAGATACACAGAAGCAAATCATGTGGGCAACTAAATTAATTACTACCCACATGATAGCCTGTGTATAATTAACTATTGAAAGTACTGTATCTTGATGCCTATATGGTGGTCTATATATATACTTCCCACTTACACCCAAGTGCCAGCCTATGTGTAACTGTTCGAAACTAATACTGTTCATGTTATGACCTATTGAGTATATAATCAAAACTTAAAGATACCCACATGACTGCACCTACAGATAGCATTGTAATATCTCAAAGTATCATTACACTTTTGTGTAAAGATATGTCCGTAAAGATATGTTTTTGAATGAATAGATATTTTTGAATATATATTATTGTTTTGAAAGTTCTGTATACATAGTACAGTACATGCATGTACATAAAGGTAAAGTACAGTAAGGATTTTACTTACTGGATTTTGTGACTATGTGGACACTGCACACCAATTGTTGAATGTAAGTCCGTCTTGCCTAAAAATCAGAAAAGAAATCCTTGTAAAATTGTAATAAAACAAAATATAAATTTACACTAAACAAAATGTAAATTGGCTTAGTTGTACAAAAAGCTTGACTTATGAAATCCAATGGTGATGTGTAAAATGGTAAGGTTTTGATAGAAAATAATTGGAAAATAATATTTAACTTAAAGTACAGTGGTGTTGGTGGTTCAGTGGTAATGTGTGTATCTCGCAACGTTGTCCTGGACCCTATCCTCGGTCTGGGACAGCTGTGATAAGGATGTTGAAATTTGTAAAACGAGCAAACCTCACGCACCCACTGTTGCCTACCAATTCACTTGCCTTAATACTTCCTCACACCTACCTACCCACCCAGTAAGCTGACAAGTGGTGGAAGAGATAGACTTGGATAAATTTAGAAATGCCTCTAATTGACCAAATTTATTCATGAAAAGTACAAGAGACTCGCTATTAGATAAATCTTATGGACTGTACAACCAAAACCTGACGAGGCACAACAAAATCAAGGTCTAGTGTAATAAACTAACCTTATGTGGAGTCCACAATATAAATGATGAATTGGGAAATAATTGATAGAAATAATAATGGTATAGTGTACAATACTGTGCTTATCTCTCGGGACATGTGAAAAAGATGTTATCCAGCGTGATGTTACCAATCGCAAATTTTTTCCAATGCTAAAACCCTAGACAATGTAGGTTTCAAGTAAGAACATAACACTACTAGAGAGGCTAGTAAGCTGATAAATACCTACACAGTGCAGGTAAAAAAGATAGTAAATAATGAGGCAACTTGACCAAAGATCTTTTATGTAACCTTATTCCTGTGTATCATTAACTATTTGACTTATTTTATACTGTAATAGATCTGTAGTGAAAATAAAAAAGTCTATTTAACTTTTTATTATATCTTTGTCTACAAAAAACCCATACTGTACTACAAGGCTACTCTTGAAGATATATAAACATGTAAAAAAAGATAAAATGGTAATACAGTATAGTGTATATTACATATATACTGTAATGCATATTATACAGGGTGTCCATAAATGATTACCCTGATTAAAGCATGATCTACCACTGTTTTTAGGGTAATCATTTATGGACACCCTGTACAGACCATTTTATAATGCTCTACATAATAAATTGTCTGAAAACAAAGAGTTTATGAGGTGGAGATCATGCAACACTGTAGTCGCCCTCCTTTATCCTGGCTGGGGACCGGCATGTTCAGTTGAACAAGGCGGAGTTACTACTGTATATCTACTTCTAACTATGGTGCTGTTACTAGTACCACCACCACTGCAACTATTACAGAAAGAGGTTTTACCTGTATTACCTCCAGGCAGCACCTGGTTGTGGGCCCACAGTCAGCCCGTGAGGCGTTCACCTCAGAGAGCCACACAATCTTAAGTTAAAAAACCCTTAGGGTGTGTGGATGGGACGCCATAAAACTCGCAGGCTCCTCAACCCAGCCGTAAAAATGCCGCTAACTTTAAAACTACCAGCAGACATTCTGCGAATAATCGAAGACAATGAATTAAAAATCTGCAAATTGTAAGGGCATGCTGTACTGTATAAATTAAAAACTAAAAGGACGGTGAAGAGCTACAAAAAGATCTCTGTCAGCTTCAAGAGTGGTCGAAGAAATGGCTGCTAAGATTCAATGTCACAAAGTGCAAGAGGATGCACCTAGGTAGTACGAAAAGTAAAGTGGCGTCTCACATGTCCCATCGGGATGAAGGAATAGCATTAACAGAGACCGAATGTGAAAAGGACCTGGATAAGTATGTTGACAATGAATTGAAGTTCTTGGGTCATTGTGAGAAGGTGGTGAATCAAGCATCAAAGCTATTTGGTCTTATAAGGAGGACATTCAGATATCTAGACAGTCCATCCCTGTAACACTCTTCAAAAGTGAGGTGTTTCCCTGCCTGGTGCACGAGATATACTAGAGACTGTCAGCTGATTGAAAATGTCCAAAGGAGGGCTACCAGACTGGTGCCTGCACTATGACACCTCAGTTACCCAGAGATAAGAATGGCTGCAATTGCTTAGCTTAAACTATAGACAGGCAAGGAGTGACAATTGAAGCCACAAGTTTGGAAAATTGTCAGGGCAAACTTTAATGGTGAAAATTACTGCAATCATGGCCCTTAGAGGAAAATTATTGACATTTATTGATCATTTAAGCTGTTTCCATACCGGGTACATGGTTTGAGGGAGTTCATACAGTTCCCCTTTTACCTTGGGTAGCATTACCTTAGTAAAAAAAAAAGGGTTATACTTATCCACTATCCAGTATATATTGTACAGGGGGAACCAAATATATGCAAATTCGCACTTACACTGGGATAATGTCTGTCAATTAGATTTCTAGAGTTGCAAAAGAACATCTGATTCTACCAGGTGACTCTTGATTACAAGATGTTTTCATTAAGAATCGTGGCTCATTTTAGCTTATGTAGCGAGACGGATTATATCCTGTATGTAGTAATGTATACATCTAATGGTATTGTTACAGTTCAGGTGCAGCTTTTAATACTGTACTGTACTGTGGGAAAAAAAAAATTCAAATCAAGAGTACCATTAAACAGTAGTTTTGGGGATTATGTATCTAAAGGTATAAGAGTTACTTGAATGTACCTGTAATTATGGTTCAATGATTTGTGTTTGAGCTGCAAGAAAACACTTTGAAATTTACTGTACTGTATACTTACAAATCGGCAAGTAAGCTGTGGCTACCATATACGGTCCAGTACTGTACCTGCTTTCTGTGTAATTCTTCCTAAGTTGCAGCTCCACCTTAAGGGGTGGATGTCAACCTCGATGATGCCCTCCAACTGTATCAACACTTCTCCATTTCACCCAAGCATCAACTTCACAGCTTGGCATTATGTGGGCACTAGAGTTCCAAATCTGAAATGAAAATAGATAAGAAATTGTGGCCACAAAAGACTTCTTATGATACTTTCCAAGAGCAATCTTTCTAAGGAACAATACCTGAGGCTACTCCCAAGATGTACTTTACCTACAATACCTACAATGACGAGGAGAGGGAGGTCATTTAAGCATAATTTTTAAGCCTACACAAGAATTATGAACACAAGCCATAACACATTACTTCTTGATAAGATCCAGACCCAAGGAATCCACATATTGTCAGCTACAAATACAGACTGTAAGTCAGACCATATGAGGTTCGAGGCTATCTGACTAATGTGTAACCTCCCCCTGGGTGCTTCCAACCATCATTTTGCTGAAAATTCCCTTCCCCAAATAAAATAAAGATTAACTGTATACTGTACTGTCTTGTACATTTACACAGCACTTACCTTTACTGTGGCAGATGAATCTTGAGGTGGAGGACAATGGGGGGTTACTTACAGTATGTACTGTATATTCATGCATATATTTAATTTACTGAAGTTACACTTATATTTAGTCTGCACTTAAATCTGGCTGATATTATAAAAAGTACTCTACTTCAGCCCAACTCCTCACAGATAATGTTCATGAATACCTCAACATTGATTCTGTCTTATATCTTAAGTTTCTCTTCAATTGCTAAGGTTCAGAGTATCATTCCTGTTTCCCTGTGGTGTTGTTAAGCCTTTATTTGCATTGGAGGCCATAATAATAGACCAGGGAAGCATTAAATATGAAAAAAACAAAAAACAACCCACAGTGTACAGAGGAACAGTGGTTGCAACAGAACAAGTGGAGACTGACTGCCCAACTGCTGCTCCACGCAACCCACCAAGACACAGCTTGTCTGAGTTATGGGGCTTTCTGAATTACAGAAGTCTGACATAGAGGGGTCTTACTGTAACATTGACAAGATTACCACTCGTAACCACTTCCACATCTTCAACAAAACAATATTGTCCCTTAATATTGAAGGTCAACAATCTTAAAAATGGTAAAGATATTTACTAAATGAAAATATCTACTGTAATATACAGTACTGTATTATACACTAAGAGGCACAGCAGGACTACCAAAGCTTTCCACTGTTCTCAATATTCACAGTTAATTATATTTATTATTCTTTATATGTTTATGTATATTAGCCATGATTGTGAAACCAATTATATATTGTACTCACCTTTTCCTAATCTTCAAACCACCAAGTCATATTTGTAGTCCTCTGCCCAATATCCCATATTTTTTCTTATCTTCCTTACACTGTCTACATGAAACAGCCAGTGGGATAATTCTGAAAATATATTCACATAAAAACCCAATTATTAGCAGCAACACTAATATTGTGCACCAGAGTGGCTACTTCTGATACTTAGGAAGCTTTTCTTTTATTCTTGAAGGGCATTAGCCCACCCGGGCACGGGTCATTTTTAATGACCCACATCAAGGCCCGGGGGGCGAAAATATAATAAAACAATAATAATAAAAATAATTATGCCGATGATGATGATGATGATAATGGTAATAATAATAATAATAGTAATAAAATTAATATAAATATATTTAATAAATAATAATTAATTATCCAGTGAATTCCTGGCAGGTTGTGGTATGAATTTATGGAGGAAATTATATTTTAAAAGCATTTATATACTGGCTACTGAAATAACTTTGGAGGCAAGAATCAACTCTGGTTGGTTTAAGTACTATAGCAAGTGATCTAAAACTTCATAAAGTTCTGTAAAATCATGAGTCTTGTTATATTGTACATTAGTTTTGCAATATTGTTCATGCAGTCACAGTCACTCATCCGCTACAATATGATAACCTGAAACAAACATTTACGGTAATAGTGGAGATGGTTAGCACCCGAAGGACTTTATAGAATTTGCTCACATTTTCCACGTGCTGTTTGGATGACAGTAAGTAATAAAAATGATACGACAACTTTTTCCTTTAATTTAAGTACTTTATTTTTTAATGTCTCTCTCATCTATGATCATAAATCACCTGTAGTGGGCAAGGCATGAAAGATGACAGAAATTATGATGTAAAACATGGAAAAACTGATTATATGACAGTAATTTGTGACTATGTGCTTTATAGACAATGAAATCAATTATATACAGTAGATATTATCCTAATAATTCTCCCGGTACGACATTTGTTGTCATCCGCTCTTACGATAAATGGAAAATTTTTGATTCTGGTCTTTGCAAACGTTAAGAGTAACGACGGAGGCTCTCGCCAGGAGTTTTGTCATAAATATTTGCCGATTGTCTTTTTTTTTTCAATATTATATGGCAAACTGTGGTGTAATGGTCAGCACGCTTGCCTCGCAAGTGAGTGGACCCGGGTTCGATTCCCAGGCAGGGTAAAGCTCTGGCCAAATTTCTTTATGCCATTTGCCTCTGTCTACCCAGGTGTAATTAGGAGACTGGATTTTAATCAATTTGTGGATAGTGTTCCGAGGTAATGGTTAGCCAGTGCAGTTGGCGAGTTGTCCTGTCTTCTCGGACTATTCCTTGATACTGGGTCATGCAGCTCGTAAACTCAGGGTGTGGTTGTTGTGTTCATGGCTAGATCAGGGTTGCCAACTCGGATTTTCAAATGTCGCTAGGCTGGTACCTAAAAGTAGCTAAATGTTGCTAGCTATTATTCCCCCCTTCAGTAATTTGATGCAAATAATATTTTCATAATGCCGACTATAATGGACGGAGTATAAATAAAATGCATTATGTAAAAATATCATTTTTCAGATTTTCTGTGAAATGTGGCGCAAGAATATTGCATATTATCCCAGAACACTTTGATGTTTTTAACTTGAGTTCACTGCCTGCCTTGCTGTCACTAAAACATACTTTACACATTTCACTTAAGTGTTCTACCACACGAATAGAACAATGTTCAGCTACAAACATGGCCAGAGTTCCCTCCACTTTTTTTGCTTCACCAAGTTTCTTGAATGGTAAAATTGTCTCTTTCTGCACTAAATGGCTATTCTGCTTTCTTGTGTTTTTTAGTGTTTTTGTGTTTTTCAATGTCGCACAACTTAGCAGACAAAGTACACTTGCAAAATTTACAAAATCCTTTTTTATTATCTCCTGGCACCTCCAGAAGCCAATTTTTGTATCTGTCATCTCTGGGCCATTCCTTCCTAAATCACTGCGAATACTGTGGCTTACCCATTTTCTATTGGGACTATGAAGGGTTCAAATTAATAAACAGCATGCAAACAAGCGGAAACTTTCCTTGATGGTTTTTGGCAAAGCGGGTGAACAGTGTCGACTTGCGGGGCAACTCAGGTATGGAGTCTATGGGTCACCCATGGTGGACGCGTATGAGAAGTTTGGAACCACGCAGGCTTGATAGAATTAATTCTATAAGATGTTTTGCTAATATTCTTTAAAATTTAGCGTATTAATGAAATTCATATTGCATATCTGACAAAGAGGTAAGTTACCCAGGTGCTACAAAGGCGAAGGTAATAGACAAATAAATGACGACACGGCAACATTAGCCATGGACGGGCTGACATCAAGTGATCAGGAAATAGACGTGTCCCTCCTTCTGTACCACGACCCGTTCAAATGTATTAAACTTTTCTTATTATTTATTGTCCCTGTAACCCCGTTGCTATATATTATGGCTCGAAATTAGGAAAACTGAGTTTTCATGGACAGTCCAAAAGTATCCAGAAAGTCGCTAGATTTCTGTGGATATCTCTAGATTTGCGACAAGTCGCAAATCGCTCTAAAATGTCGCTAGAAAAAAACAAAAAGCTCTAGATCTAGCTACAAAGCCGCTAAGTTGGCAACTCTGGGCTAGATGGCCCTAGGGCAGGCCATCCTCAAACACGAGGGGCAAGGCTTCACCTTCCTTGTTTTCTGTTTTCTTGTTTATAGCTGTGCAAATCCCCTCTTTTTTCTTTTGTGCAATTACCCGGTAGTTCTTGAAGCTATTTATATACAGCTCATCCCCGACTTACGACGGGGTTAGGGACCCAAATCCAGGTCGTAAGTCAAAATGGTCGTGAGTCGAAAATGCTTAAATAATACATAGAACATCTAAAATGGGTGTCTCTTTTTCTTCTTAGCACCACAAAATTCTCACTTTTAAGCTTGCTAGCCATTTTAAAGTGAATTACAAACGAAAATTTTGTCAGTACACAGCGCAATCACTGACGTTGGGACTCGAAAATACGTAATTTGACAAAATTTTGGTACGACTAAGGCTGTCGTATGTCCGGGTGGTCATAAGTCGAGTAGGTCGTAAATCGGGGAAGAGCTATACAGTGCTGGAGGTCCCATGGTTACGTACATCCGACTTACGAGCATCTGCCAATATGAGCGAAGTCCCATAAAGTTAACCTTTAAATTTACAGTATTTTATTAACTGCTGCCTTAGTTTTTACTTTCATTCACTGTATTTTGTCACTGTGTCTTAAATTAAGGGATTCTTGATGTATATAAGGACTTGAGCTATGATAAAGTGGAATTTTTAAGATTGTTCTGTAAGTACGGTATGCACATAGGGTACATGTTTCAACTCAAGAACGTCCCCAGGAACAGAACTTGTTCGTAACCCAGGGGCTGGCTGTACAGTACTGTACAACAGTTGGTTTCAAATCTCATATTATGGGTTTGGATACATTTCCAATTTCTTTCAAGTATTATTGGATTCTAAGTGATCTGAATGGTTCATATACTTATTGTTTTCTTCCTCAATGGAGTTAAGAAGATAGCCATCTTGTTTTTCAATAGCATTGTTATTACATTAAGTTTGGTATCATGTTGCAAGTTATCTGTGCTTGTGGAGGATGAAGACGTCTTCAAGAGATCATCTTTTAACATGGACCGGTTGGCAAGATGTGCAAGTGTTTAAAATGCGGCAGAGAATTGACAGAAGAAATATGTTTCAATTCAAAACCAATCCGTACTCTTACATCCACAAAGCCGTAAAATTAAATGCCATTTGAAGAAAAGTGTTTTCATCGGTACCTGACATCAAAGTAAGGGTTAATACTGATGACATACCCATTGCTGCATAATTTGATTTGATGAATCTTATCTAACTATATTTCATCGTTGAGTTCGGATATGAATTCAATTCTCGTGCAAATGCTTTGTCTGGTAGATAATTAGGCGCCTTGGCTTGCACTATAGTACAGTACTTCATCTGTCTCGGCAGTGAATCAGAATGGTGGCTTGATCCACACTCAATGTTGTCATACGCCATTTGTTTCAGTGCAACAACTGAGCCGCTCGGTCCGAGCATACTCTAATGTCCCCCCCCCAAAAGTTAAATTACACCATATCAAAGCAAGTTCTTTTTGTTTAATATGCTGGAGGGTTCAGGCTGGCTAAGAAGTTAGGTAGGGTTAAGTAGGTTTTTTATGTTAGGTACCAAAGCTTGTACAGTATTTCTTATCAACTAAGGTTAGGTTAGGTTTAATTTGAAAATAACCCCATTTTAACACATTTGCCTAAACTACGACAGTATCTACTGCAAAATACAGTGTAACTGCAGCATTTTAAAATTTATTTTCTATGGAAGTTCTTCGACGGATACATTGTCAATAATTACCAAAATACTGAAAGTTCTTTCTGCTTAATATGCCAGAAGGGTCTGGTGGGCTCTGTCCCCTGGTTAGGAAGTTAGGTCAGGTTCTGTGCAAATAGCATCTCCACATTACTTTATGACCAAGTACCTGTAAATTCTTTAGTAAAAATCTATATTGATTTGTATATCGGGAGATAGACAAAAAACTTCAGTATTTTCGTTGGAAATTGATATTTTTAGAGTTAATCCAACTTTTCAACTAAAGGGTTTTGTTCTTCATGTTCTATTGTTGCTTCTTTTGGCTTGTTGGGCTAAGGGTAGGGTAGGTTAGGTTTACATACTGGACGCGATGTTAAGTCAGGTCCTTCTGGTTTCTTGGGTTAGGTTAGGTTAGGTTGGACATGTCTTCTGATATATGAGATGATAGTTTTATTTGGAAAAATTTTATTTCCTCCATTTTTGTTGTGTTCTTGATAAACTGAAAAACTTTTCTTCTTTTGAAACGTTTCCTAACTCGGCTCCTTAACCCGGAGACCTGCTCTGAAATATTAATCTTCTTAAAGTTGTCTGAAAGCCATGTAAACTAGTTTTTCTCTATTTTCCAATATACAAATCAATATGGGGTTCTGTAGTTGTCCTCGACCAAATCTTTACCTTACCGAACCCTAATGATTAGGCTGGAACTCGGTACTGTATAGGACCGAGGATAACAGTACTGTACCTACACGGCTTGTGTTCCTCTACAACAATTCAATTCAATTTCAATATTTATTCCTTGATAGAGGAAGCGGGATCCTAGTGCTGTCACCAGGTACCACTGTACAATACCACCATAAGCACCTGGCCAGTGTGACCAGTAACAACTCACCCCTCACCTGGTGACTCACACTCACCTATTTAAATGTCGTTTCGCTGGAGGTATGTCAAATGTTGCAAAGTTACCACGAACAGGGCCGCTAAATTATTATTTTTGTTTTGTTTTAACATATATGACAAAAATCAACAATACCAAATTTAATATAATTAAAATTTTTTATAGGTTCATTGAATTAGGTTTGATTCGTATATATTAAGCTTACTTGTCTCCCATGAACACAATTAGATAAATTTGGCACTATGTTCGTCATATTGTTTTAACATCAAGTCCATACCTGTGCCCCATTCAGTTCACCTGGTGCTTCAGCCACTCATTAACACCCAAGTACCTACGATTTGATGAAGTATTTCTGTATTATCAAAATAAAATCCACGAATTTCAGAAGCAATAATATAGCCGGGTGATCAGGGCAATTTTTTTAGTCACAATCCTTCCTTTTAAATTAACTGTTGTTTTTGAGTTATTGTGTATATACTGTACATGGTTAAACCTACTCTCATCAAAAACACAAAATACAGCATCAAAGTAATACAGACAATTGCATTTCATGTAGTGAAATCTTAAGGTGAAATAAGCAGGTGATCCACAAAAGTAACAGGAAAGTTATGCTGATAGTCTATGTGAACACCGTGCACTAACACCCTACAGACATAACCACTACAGTACCGTGTAATTCAGATACAGTAGTGGCAACAAAAGTAAATATGACAGCATTATATTTTTGCTTCACTCAATACATTACATTATTATTTTATCAATTGGGTGTAAATATGTCAGGTAAATAGGAGGAAGATAAATATGAAGAGGTTACGAGAGATATTAAATTTTAGAAACATTTCTATGACGAATAAAACCATATCTTTTACATAAACTGGTGTTGATCAGAGAGGTGGTCATCAGGGGGTGAGCTTGTAATGCTGTATGATCCTGATGAACTGGTCTGGATACTGGAGTGTCAGTTGGGTGAGGATAAACTCAACTTTCATACGCTCTTCAGCCTTACAGAAGGAACATATCTGCTGGGATGCGACCCACGACCTGATGCTCCCTGCAAGGGACAGTACAGTGAAGAGTGTAGTCACATAAAGGACTGACACACTACAAAACATGACTTTACTTATTTTCCAAGTACAGACAAAGTATTTAAGAATGCTTCTATATGAAAGTAGGGATATTAAAAACTCTTATACATAAACAATTAACTTACTGTACATAGGTAAGGCCAGCGGATCAGTACTACAATCAGCCACTTCCACCACACAGTCGACGATAGCTGTGACACGCGCCGAGTCTTTCATGATCTCTTCCATCTGCTGATCACTGTGACTTATGATGACTTGAAGGTCTTCCGGTGACTGTCCCGCCACCATCACACACAATAACAATAACAACCATTGGACCCGCATAGTGACTGTAGGAGAGAAGTTATTATTACAGCGTTACATCTCTTACTGGATAACTTGTGTACACTGTGGTGCTATAACTATACATTGTAGTACAATAACCATACACTGTAGTACAATAACCGTACACTGTAGTACTATAACCATACACTGTAGTACCAAAGGGTCTACTATACACAATAAAAGAGAGCCATTTACTGTACCTGTGAGGAGGATGTGTTTGGCTGACCACCCTGGCTGACTATGTACTGGACCGCCTCTACATCTCTCCCTTTATATGGTTCTTGTATGGGGTGGGTGAAAAAAAAAACTGACCATGAAGGGACGCTTCTCTACAGTATATTGTACCTGCTATTGGACCATTTTTTTTCCAGCCAGTTTTTAAGATATTAACTAAATCCTCACAGAACGGGTTTTCGGTGTTAGTTTTCGATCGCTGTTTCGAAAGTAGTCTGTTGATGCTTTGTCAGTGGGACATTATGCAACGTTGGTGAATTTGGTAGGATCTTTTGGGGGGAGATGATGCTGTTTCGGACGTCGTCGGTCGTAGAGGAAAGGGGTGGGGGGTAAAGTTTGTGTATCAGGTTAAGTGGTGTAAACAGGAAGGAAGTGTCTTAAAGCCAGTGTTGAAGGTCATATCAGATGAGCCTAACCATAAGTGCTTCCTGGTGTAGCTAACGATTGATCTCATCTTAAGGTTGTTACATCGACTCTTCAGTCAAGTTGGGTGAAGCTCTAGTCAAGGGTGAAGCTCTAGTTAAGGGTGAAGCTCTAGTTAAGGGTGAAGCTCTAGTTAAGGGTGAAGCTCTAGTTAACTCACAATATACGAATCGGATACATTACTTTAAATTGAAATATGACTCGCAGAGTTTTGTCTTCGTAAGTGATTATCTGTTAAAATATACTTAACTTATTTACTTTAGCTAATACATCGTTGAGTGAGTCTACAACACACTCACAGACTCACTCTACAGAAACTCTGGTAACTTTTCTGTCTGCTTATTTTCTCTTCTGAGAGTAGCTACAGTGGTCTAGACAAGGCAGCGTTTGGTGTTGTTTTGATGCTATTTTGGGGGGATTTATTGTTTTGTTTTAGATAAAGTAAACCATATCTTCTATGACGATATATATTTAACGTATGAAACTTTGTCAATGAGGTTCTACTAGGTGGATACTCTCATACACTACGCTACACTACTCCATATGCTTAAGGTGACATTATTATTATTATTATTATTATTATTCAAGATACCCACAGTCAGTTACCACCCGGAAGTTATTCGAATGTAAACAAGTTTGAAAGAACCTGTCAAGTTCCCCCCGTTGCTTGCCCTGACCACTCCCACCGCCACTGCCACACAAGGCCACCACCTAACTCTCTCCATCAGGACCACACCTAGTTTTTACTCAGTGTGTTATATCATACCAGATCTTATGCCATTTTCTATATAATTCTGACCTTTTTTTTTTACTATACTTTTTACTTTTACTCTTGTTCTTTTATGCATTCACTGGGTGCGACGTGACCTCATCATTAAGGGGTCATGGTTAAACAAAAGTATAACGCACATGGGTATTCCATATTGAAGTAACAGTAATCTTCAGGAAGTTATGTTGTCTTAATGTATCATAAATCAGACATTTCAGAAAATGTTAATGACACTCGTCTAATCTCTTTGCCCGAAAGTAAAAAATCATATTATATTATGCAGCCAACATTGAAACAACATGACATGTGACCTGCATATCAAGCAGGGCATGAATAGTATGTATACCCATTGAAAATATTGTGGAGTAGAAGCTTATGCCTTACTATAATAGTTTATAAAAAAGTTAATTTACGTTTTCTTTCTCCAAAAACACCAAAAGAAAAAGAAAACCAAGAATTGATATTGAATATTTATGGGTAACTTTAGTGGTCAGGCGGGATACCAAATTTTTGTATCATTTCGCCACTGTTTTCTGTTATGAGTGAATTATGAACATAAAACTGAAGGTGAATAGAAAGAAAATTTAACTCACTTAACATTCGTGTGATATATGACACCAGGCAAATCCCTAACGTTACCTAAACTACCTCCACTATAACATAATACACCTTCAGAATAATCTCACCTAACTCAAGCTGACATTATACCCAACTCAATCATAACTGAATGTGTTTTCCTAATATCCAGTTAATAGAAATATCTTAAGTTACAGACCCTTGTCTGCCCAGTACTTTCCAACAGTACGTAACAGTGACCTGACCAATGAGAATGAAGTAAAATAAAGCTAATTCTTTATGACCTACCTGAAGAGGGTGCGATGTAAGAAGGATTAGCACTACAGCAGCTGAGAACAACACACCTGTGTATATGTGGACAGGTGTATCTAGACTAATACTGCATTAGTTAAAAAAAATAGATTACCTGAATATTAGTTTTGCGAGAGGTGAGTCCCATCAACAAGGCATTTAGAAAACACATTGAAAAAATCCCTATTGAGGCAGTGTGTGATGTGTAGTATTGTGTGGGGAACAAGAGGAAGGGGAGGTGAATGGGGATCAGAGGGAAGGGAGAGATGAAAAGGATATGAGAGAGAGAGAGAGAGAGAGAGAGAGAGAGAGAGAGAGAGAGAGAGAGATTATAATATATGTATCATAATTTAGACTGATAGATACAGTAGACTGATCAACTAACTGACTGACTGACTGACTGACTGAGAGGACCTTTCGAGCTGCCAGTTTTAACGCAGTTTATGAAAAAATCTTGGTTGCTCGTTTTCTTTATCTCCAATCTTTGGTTTTCTCTCTCTCTCTCTCTCTCTCTCTGTTTTAACTCCATCTCTCGCTCTTTGTTTTCCTCATCTCTCTCTCTCTCTCTAAGCCTTTTCAACTCCTTCTCTCTATCTCTATCTGTCTCTCACCCCTTCCCTCTCCCATATCCACCACACATGGGTAATCAAACAGTCTCCCCTGAAAATCTAAAGTGAGTGACAAAAATTCCCAGATATTGGAACTTTTACGTCTGGCCGGATATAATGATGTAAACCCAGAGAGAAGAGATGTATCCAGGCCTATAACACGTCAGTAAGTTCACATCAGCCGGAGGAGCCTGATTATATGTCTAATTGTAATAGGTTTGCTGTAAGTCTAATTTTCTGATAGGTTTCAGCCCTAATAAGCCCTAATTCTAAATAGGTCACGGTAAAAATAGGAGTCAGTCAAGAGAGAGAGAGAGAGAGAGAGAGAGAGATAAAAAGCTAATGAAATTGTCCTCTTCGTGTGTGAGCGAGAGTGTGTGTGTGTGTGCGTGTGTGTGTGTGTGTACGTCAGGTAATTTTCCAGTGCAGTAAGTATCCTTGTAACCTCCTGAGATTAAAACGACCTTTACCATCCTGGTGAAGATCACGTAAAGTGTGGAAACTAATCATTCAGATGGACCTCTGAACCAGGGATCAATAGCACCACGACCCATTACACCTCTGACCTCCGCATCAATCTCCCCTCCCCCTCCTCCTCCCCCTCCTTCTCCCCATCTCCCTCCCCATCTCCCTCCTCCTCCTCCTCCCCCTCCCCACCCACGTAATATTACCTCGACTCACCTGCCAATAAGAATCAGATGAAGGTGATTTATTCCTCTGATGTGAAGGTAACTTACGAGATTTTCCACAGTGATGGGTGGCGGAGGTCACTTTATACAGCTACCATCCCTCCTCCTGGTTATCTAATATTACTCACTGTGAACAGAATATTGAACTTTATCATTGAACACACACAGAACACATTGAAGAGGAACTTAATACACAAGAGAAGGTCATTATGAGTAAGAAGACCTGGTTGTGGAGGAGGGATATTTTAAATCAATATAAGAGAGTGCATAAGAATTCCCACAGTGAGCAGGTGGGCGGTTTTGATATTAATGATGAAATTCGTAACGATTGGAGGAGTTTGAGTCCGTGCTGAGAGAGGGAGGGAGAGAGAGGCAAGGGGAGGGTGGGGGAGGAGATGAAGGGAGAGGGAGGGTGAGGGAGGAAGGGAGGGCGGCGATGAGGGAGGTGGTGAGGAGCCTGTAGAGAGTAATGAATTAAAGTAAACAATTAATAAGTAACACCTCGGTAGTTCAGACTTAAATATTTAGACATTTAAGACCACTTGTACACGCTCAGTTTTAAAGTATTATTAAGGTAAATATTGAATTATCTCCCCAATAGGTTATGTCTTAAGAAATATTGCGACGTCTTGTGTATTGTTCGCAATTCTGAATAAAATTAAAATTAAACTATTCATCCCAATTTCATCCCCTTTTAGAACAGAATAAAAAAATAACTAATCAACTTATGTCAGTTACCGCATTAATTAATTTCGTTTTCTATTGACAAGACAGCATCAGTAACACGTGTAAATAACTTCGTTTACTGCATCCTGAAGGTTTATTGAGTTACCATAATCATTTAGGTCGTGTCCTGTAGCCTCAGGTCAAACCAGACTCACTAAGTCACAACTACTACTACTACTACTACTACTACTATTATTATTACTACTACTACAACCATCATTACTACTATTACTACTACTATTACTACTACCACTACTACAAATACATTACAATGGCCTCCATCCTCCCTTATAGCCACACCTTCGCCGCCATTTTAATACCCTAAAATTAAATAACCTAATACATAAGTAGCTGTCCCAGCTGTGTTGAGTTAGTTGAGCCGCAGATCTATGCGGCATTCAGTGACTGTTGCCTCATAGTCAATATCTGCAGCTCTTGTCGGCCTTGGGGCCGATGCTCTCGTTCCCCTAAGGCAGAGCAAAAACGACCTAAGGAGCGAGAAGGACAGTCGACATCTCATCCAGGCTGTAACATAACTTCTGGGCTGCTGCTTCTGTCCGGATATCACCTCCGCGAGTCTGGCGTAGAAGCATCTTGCACTTGGTCCCATCCCACCAGAGGTTGTGAACACTAGAGGAGTGACGCTGCCTTGATCAACGTTCTGAATTCTCTCCCTGTATGCCCTTATCTTGTCGTTCTCATGCAGCATCGAGAGCTACGTTACGGTGACATGCGACCATGGGATCAACTACAACAACCATTACCCCTACTACTGCTACTACTACTACAACCACCATTACCCCCTACTACTACAGCAACTCACTGAAGATTAGTAAAGATACCCAAAATAAAAAATACGTCCCCACACAGAAGGACTTGAATTCGGAATGACATAAGATATGCAAATTACTAATGGTCATCTTAAACTCATTA